GTAACAAACATTCGGTGAATGTAAATGTTGGCCCATTAAATTGACCTACTGACTGAATTATCGATAATGATCAAAATTAGGTTGACAAAGAATAATTTATTATTCTTTTTCAATATTTGGAACTGAATAAAATAAGATTATTATTTATTTAGAAATATTTAATGCAATGAGGAAAATAGAAGTAAATATTATTAAAATGAGGGTAATTTTCTAAAGACATAGAAACTCGATTTAGAGAGAAATTAGCCGTCCATAACGAATATAATCGAGAAGTGCATTTTTCATTTGGCATTTTATCTCTGTGGATACGCTTAATGTTCACCTAGACAGGATGCAAAATGAAATAATGGTAATCGGCAGGTTGTTAAAATTGATAACTAACCATGACCGACACCTCAGTTTTGCACAACTACGTCACTTTTGTTTATTTTACTTTCATTTAGTTAAATAATATGCTTTCAATTGTTATTAGTGATAATGTGAAGCTTACCGTGCAGGAATTCCCTCGTTTCATTTCAATATTCACTTAATCGACAAAATTATTAGAATTTACCTGAAACTAAAATTCAACGAAAAAATAATTATTTTTCTATAGGAATTAAGATTTAAAAAATTTCAAATACCTTTTTGAAATTCATTTCCATTTGCTGATTATTATTTTCTTATGTCTATTCGTGTAATAAATTAAATGAAACTTTGCCTCTTTTTCTATTATTATTATTATTATTATTATTATTATTATTACTTTTTGTTTGAAAGAAAGTTTTATTAAATTAGAAAGAATGATAATTAACATCGTTTTAAATTAGTCAGTTTATCTATATATTAGATTGCAATTAAAATATTTCTATGTTACTAAGTTATATCTACTGAATGTGGAAAATAATTTTTATTGTAGTAAAAAATAACTACATAGTTTTATAACACTGTAACAGTGTATCTAATTATTTAATTATTTATTAACTTAGCAAGACTGAAACGAGTTTTATAATTAAAATTAGAAAAAGTGGAATTCCACCCAATAAATCGTGACGCAAATGGTTTTTTTTGCAACGAAAGGAAATCCTTATCATTGAATATCAATTGGTTGTAAAAATTTTTCATATTTATTTTCAAGTCGACACAAATATTTTATTTTTAAAGATTGCAATATAAATTATAAAAAACGCCTTTTATAATATAATTATGTCAGAATTATACTTTATTAGTCGGTTGAATTTATTATTATTATAAATTACTTGTTATTTAAAATAATTATTTAAAGAAATTTTAATTCATTATTTAAAGAATTAACTTTTAACGAAAATATTACTTAATTTGTAATTTATTATTAATAATTGTGATGTTTCAAAGATATAATTAAAATAGTATAAAAAATATGTTTTTTCAAATTTCCGGTTATTTTTTTTCTCCTTTTTAATTGTCTCGTTAGTATTCAAATGATTCTTTCAACTGTCAACTATAATCACGGTTCTATAAATAAATATTTTGTAATTGCATTTCGCGAGTATAGTCGGAATAATAATCATAAACTAGTTGTGACAGTTGTTGTTCCATCAGGACGATTCGTAACAAATGACGCGACTCACAACTAATTCAAAAGATTTTATGACTAATGAATCTTAAAAAGACTCTCTGAATCTCTCAGTCTAATGCGCCTTCGTAAGAGGGAAATTGAAATCAGTTCTATAAATAATTAAATTCCAGATATTTTTCTATTACTAGTGAAATCACGCCAACAACTTTTCGTCATTTTTCCTATTTGAAAATTGTATAAATCTTGGTTAACTTAATTATTCCTGAGAACTAAATTCTTTAAAATTAATTAATTAATTTTCTTAATCGGTCCAAACAACCCAAACATCGAAATAAATTCTTTAATGTTTGCATTTTTTTAAATAACTTTAGTAATTTTAAGTTGCAGGACTTTTTAAAAATTGAAAAAGTAGTGTATGAAAAAGAGCAGTGATGAGCCATTAGAATTTGTTATTTGCATTTTTTGTTTGAAATTTCTGATTTGCATTCTAGTGTCCTTGAATAACCGCCTACTAATTTTTTTGTTTTCAATATCACTTCCCCTCTTTTCGTGTAGGTTCTTAATTGTTTTAGACGACGAACTCTCCTCAAATTATTTCCACTGTGATGATGACTTTTTCAAAAAATTATGAAAACTACTTCAATAATTATAATGTCTCATTCAATGGAAACAACTTTTGTTCCTCGAAATAAATTCACTTTTTTTATAATATCCAATATTTTCGAGAAGCTCAACACTCTTGAGAAACAGGTTTCATTCATTTGCTTGCATAAATTTTATAGAATGCGCATATACATATATATTTATATACATAAGTATTTATTTCGCGCTCTTATCTTGTTTAAATCGTATGCGAATATATGGAAAGTGTATATATAAAGATTCTTCGCAGTAAAAGGCGTATCTGATAAGATTTTTTTTTTGTTCCTTTCAAAATTCCTTTTTTCTCAAATCTATTAGAGAAATATTTTCGAATGCACCGCAAGAGATTGTAATTGGATCGTAAATAATGATTAGACGCGTAACTTTCGCAGCGTGAGATCAAATGTTGCACCTTGAACATGAACGTTGTTGTATTGCACTAGTAAATCTAATCATGCGGAAATCGATTTTTTTCTCCTCGAAAACTATGCGCAAACTTTCCGATTTTCTAGAAAATTTTTAATTTTTACAAAATTGTTGAAAAACAATATATATAGAATTTTTAATTTTGTAATGCTTGTTTACTTAGGTTTTTTCCGGTAATTACACCCTTAAAAGTTATATTCTACAAAGGCAGTGGAGATTGACACCTACGCGAAATGTGCGCGTTTTTCTTCAATCAGAAAATTTACATTTGACGCCCCCTCGTGACCCTTTTACGGCTGTGAGATCAAGTTTTGTTATTCGGAATAATAATAAGAAATTAATCGCTTTTATATTCTAAACATCGTGAGAACGAACATCCATCTCAATATCACTCGATATTTATATTTTAATGCACAATATGTGCCAATGCGTTGAAAATTCAAATCAATTAAAAGCAAATGACGCGGAAACTGTTGATAATTGTAATTTATTTATTTTTATTATTTGCCTTTGGTAATTTCTTTTAGTTGAGTAACTTTATCTAGAAAATTATATCATGCTTTCGTATTTTAAAACAGAATTTCTTCAATTACAAAATTATTCGCAAATATCAATAACTTATTTTTTAAATAAATATTTAATCATTATTATTTTTCTGTGGGAAAAAATCTTTCAAAACTATTACTTTAATTTTTAAAGACGCACAGATGCACGGACTGTGAGAAAGACACAGTTGAGAGATTGGACGCTCACCCCTTCCCATTTGTAACCGTCCAATCGCTCGACCCCCCTTCCTTCTTGTCGCGTTCGTCCTTCGTCCTTGCGTCGAATGTACTCAAACAGTTCCATAATTCGCATAAATTAATTCTCTAGCATACATTTTCTATTGTAATAAATGTACTCACTTTTTTACGATTTTATTATTAATATTTCCCAACTCGAACATGCCTGGCGCTTTAACAAGATAGGCCAAGGTAAGTTCGAGTTTGTTGGCTAAAATGAATGACCTTTTTAGTTTTGAGGTTATGTTCGTTTCTCGAAGATATCTATGATATCTATTATTATACAGATAAACATAATGAAGTGTGTAAGTGTGTTTTCACGATAATGGGAAATTAAAGTGGCAGCGTGAGAGATTGAAATTAAATAAGGAATTGGTATGCAAGAATTTCAGGCGTCTTTTTTTCTCTATCCTTGATAAAGGAAAAACCTTGCACTTAGGAAAGCAATTCACAGGAATGTGGAGCAACAGGCAATCGATGTTGGACTCGAGTGGTATGGTGTGAGTTAAGCAGCACAATACTATCCATTTATGCAAACGATAACTACTCACATCCCTTCACGATTATAATAATGTATAGGTGCGTCAATTACAGCCCAATCCATTTCTGTTGTCTTCTCATTTTCATCTCGCTCTCCATTCATCATTATAGCGCCCCGATTTTCTAATACCAAATGCTTTGTCATTTCAACAACTCTATTTGCAAGTTTCGAAATTTTATTCTTCAACTTTAACTTCTCCCTCACTTTTTTAAATCAAATTACCAATTTTAAAAATAATAGAAAGTAGGAATTTTTATTCAAATTATATTTTTCATTTGATAATCATAATTTTTTTTAAATTTTTCTAATTTCTAATATTATTTTATTATGAATTATGAAAAAATATCTGCATATTTTCGATTTGTCAAACAATATTTTTTAAAGAAAAAAAAACAAAAACTTGAAAAAGAAATAATTTCAAGTTCACATTCTTGGATGCCTCTGACGTAAACGAAAATAAAATTCCGTATCATAGGTCGTGTCGAACAATCAAGTTTTTCAACATTTTTGGTGAATCTACAGTCAAGGTCGATGCCACCTGCGTAAAATAAAACGAATAAAAAGTCTATTCCAATTTCTTTTTTACTCACATCTAGCGTTTTTTTCTAACTGAAGTTCAAAATATAACCGAAGGCTACCAAATGTTTTTTTTATTTACTTTTTAAAAAGATTTTTGTTTATATGAAAATAACACGTTCGGAAAGTAAATTAAAAATTTATTTAAATTTCGCTCACTAATTTATTTGTATGTAAATGTAATATATATATAAATGAAACGCGCTATTTATTTAAATGCAGAAAATGTTTATTAGGTGCGTTGTTGAAAACAAATTTATTTTATTAATTTCTCACTTTACGACATGTTTTGTGATATTAAGTTGTTATTTTTATGCGTAAGATTCTATACAAATATATATATTTTTTAAATTTAATTTAATTTATTTAAATTAGATTAAACTAAAATTAAAATTAAATGAAAATAAAATAAATTACAGTTTTTTTAAATTTAATTTTTACATTATAATTTAAAATAAAAAGAATATCTTCCTTTTTCTTCAGGAAAAAATTAAAATACAATCAGTAGAATTTATTTTATTCATTTATATTTCGATCTTACATCACAATATTAAGTACTTTCTTGAATTATGAAAAATCCAGTAAATTTCATTTTTAAATTGGTGAATCACGTTTCTTTCTATCTGAAATATAAAAATTATAAATTATAAAAACTTTAAATTTTTCCCATTTCTGACAATAACATTGACTTTATTTTAAATAATTAAAATCTTGAAGAAGTTTCATAAAATTATTGTTTATTAAATATTCAGAGAATAATTTTACTTAAAAATTGAAAAATAATTATGAAATTCGTGAAAAATGGCTACAATGCAATGAGACCCGTGCAGAAATTGCCCACCCGGGCCCAGACCCCGCATGAAACAGGGAACCCGACCGGGCCCCGGTCTGGGAGCTCGGCAAATCGGGGGCAAATCGGGCTTTTGCCATGGCCCCGGTCGGTTTTATTGTTTCACCCCGGTTTAGGGAAGCCCGGTCTGGGCCCGGCCAGGCCCCTGCCAAAATTTCTACACGGGGAACTAAATTATGACATATGAAAATAGTTTTTAATAGAAATTTTCAATTTAATTTTATTAATTACTTTTATTATAATTGGATTTTGTAAATTTTAGAAATATTAAAATTTTGTTGTCTCTAACCTATAATTTGAGCCTCTTGATCGGCAGCCAGTGCCACTGCTGTCCAGCAAACAAGTAAAACTGTTGCAACAAGAAGTGCTGAATAACTTTTCATCGTGATTGTTTGTTTCAATTTGACTTGAAAAGTTTTAGAATATTTTTATGAATTGGAATTTTCCTGTCTTTTTATACTCGAACTTCAACACTGTATGCTTATTATCAACCTTTGTTAGAATTATAATTGTCGATGATAAAAAAATTACTATTTTAAACAGGTTATTCTTAAAGGTTAGACAATGTTATTATCAGACAAAGAATGATAGTGTGAATTTGATAACTATGTGGGTTAAAAAATATAATAATAAAATAGATAATAATTGAAATACGTAAACAAAATAGAAAAATAAAATAATAAATAAATAATTAAATAAAAAAATAAAGAAGTAAAACAAATAAAAAAATATAAATAAATAAAATGAAACATAAACATAAAACATAATTATGCTCGAGGGGCAATCGCTTCCGAGAAACTTGGAATGCGCTGAGGTAACATTAATTCATGTCCGAATTTACTCAGCACGGTTCTCCCGCACTTTAATAACACATTAGATATTTCTTACATAATTGGAAAGCGTACTCGTGATTTTCGCGTTATAATACGGAATTAATGCAGAGCAATTAAAACGTTGATGCCCGCTGAGCAAGATGAATGCATTAATGCAATAATAATTCGAGAACGCCTTTCTATGAACGCGATATTTTTTTGCATTCACCACAAATATTATTAATAAGAATAAAAAAAATCAGCTCTTAAATTACTATTTTTCTTCCAAAAAAGTTTGACAACTTTTCAATTTAACAGTTTTTCTAAGGATATCATTGCATCGAAACTTTTTTTTCAATTTAATATCCTTGGGAAAATTGTGAATTACTAAAAAAAATTCATTAGATATTTTATTTTTGTTTTATTTTCCATATTTTAATGGAATTTAAAATTCTTTTTAATTCACATTTTTCGCTATAATAACAAATTTATAACTGTCTCAAAATAAAGTTCGGAATTCTTACCGGGAAAGTTATATTATTTAAGTTATGATAAACATGTCAAAAATAAAATTTTTCATAAGTTGGGCTTTATATAATATTCCAAGTTATATTTATATCAAAGTGAAAAGAAATAATTGGTTTTATTTTTAAATATTATAAAAAACGGAGAAAAAAATTTCAACTCGTAATTAAATAAATAAGAGAAAATAAAACATTTTAAAAAAATGTTTAAATATATTATCAACAAAAGCTTCAAGTATGGGATTATTTTTTATAATTGTTTCCTTTTCTGAATACGATTCTGTCAATAATTTCTTTTTTAAATAACTTAATTCTTCAAGAACTATCATAAAATTATTACTTTTAGAAATTATTTAATGAATAATTTTAATTCAATTTTTCTAAATTATTGAATTTTTAAAGAGTTGCGTTTATAATTTTCATAAATATAGATACTTCAAAAGGTTTTGATTTAAAATTTTAGAAAATTTCAATTTTCAATGAATTTTATTATAAATAAATTCAATTATGTTCAAATTTTTTTTTAAATTTCGTAAAAATTCAATTATCTTTATAAATAATAAAATATTCTTCTCCAAAATTCAATTATTTTCAAAAATTTTATAAAAAATTCTTTACAAAATTTCAATTATTTTGAAAAAATTTTCCTCAATTCAATAATTTTTAATATCTACTATTTTTACAAAAAATTTTCAAAAGAATTAAATTATTTAAAAAAAAATTTTATTAAAATTCTATACAAACATTTAATTAATTTCATAAATAATAAAAATTTCACTGGAATAATATAAATATAAGTAATTTATAAACAATTAAAACAAGAAAAAATCGAAGACTCGATCGATTTTTTCTTATTTCTAACAATATTTTTGTAAATTGTTGAATTTCAAAATTGTTTGAATTTGAAATTTTTGAAAATTTTAATTTCTATGAATAAATAATAATAATTAAATATTTATTTTAAATAAAACTATTGACGTTTCCTAAAAAAAAATGAATTTTGGAGAAGTTACGAATGATTGCAGAAATTTGATTATTTTCAAAAGTAATAAACTTCTTTGCAATATTAATATTTCTTGTAATAATAAATATAATGATTTTATCATTCGATCATTTGTAATTATTATAAAACATGAAGAAATCGATATTCTTCATGTTTTATAATAATATTCTTACAAGTTGTTGAATTTCAAAAAGGTTTTGAATTTGAATGTTTTGAAGAATTTTAATTCCTCATGAAAAATAATAATTGATTAAATATTTATTTAAAAAAGAATTTATTTTTGTTTTCGAATAATTTCACAATTAAATTAAATAAATATAATACACAATTTTTTTGAATATCTAATAATTTTGAGAGTGAATCAGAATATTCTTTAGGTTCAGAAGAAAAGTCAAAATTTTGTCTGGAAATCAGGGAAAAAAATGAAATTTTTGTGTCAATCCTGTAATATTATTCGATTGTGAAAACGGGAGAATTAAAATTAATATATCAGATATTGCAACGAGTGTGGTACAAATGAAAAGAATTGTTTCTCGTGCGTTGGTAATTAGCTTTTGTATAAAGGACGATAACACGAATCAATAATGGGTCCCAGATTGAAAATTACAGTGGGGAAGAAATAATAGTTTGTTTGTCACGATTTAATCAGTTTGAAATCAATTAAACGAATCCAGGGGAGAGAAAAAGAGAGAGAGAGAGAGAGAGAGAGAGAACAGCAGTTTGTGTTTGAACGTTCTGTTAGATGCCCGCGGTTCCCAAGCACATTCCATCTAAAGCGCTTTCTAACACGTGATACGATTTATCTCTAATTTTCGTAATGCTCAACTTTCATTGTGATCAGAGACATGTAATCAAAAAATTGGAACAATTGGAATATTTTTCAAAATTTAGATAATTTTTCGTTTTGAAATGATTTAACTTTAAACTAGTGTAATTCAATTTACTTTGTTCGTTTTTAGTATAAATGTAGAAATATAATCAGCTTCGTGTGATTGTGGGACTTGAATGCAAATTGAAAATTTGAAAAAGAGAGTAAAAATGTAAAATATCTGAAAAATGTTGTGAATTTCTGTGATTTAGCGCACGTGACTTGGACATTAGCGACACACGTGTAAGCGCACATGCCATTTGATTCTGCTTCGAAGTTGTGTTAAGCGCATAGGAAATGTCTCGGGAATAACTTTTGCGAAACCGTTGAGTGGAATATCGTTAACCTTGCTGGCACGGCCAACCGGTAAAAGCCACGTGACAATTGCCTTCTTTTTTCTTTTCTTCTCAGTTTAAAAATTTTAATCCCCGTGGATAATAATAAATTATGCACAAGCAACGAGAGGAATGAAATTCCCGACGTGCTTCGAATTATCACTCGCAACAAACTTCCTTTTCTCTCTAACATCATTTTGGAATTTTCCCGCAATTTGTTCCTCGACTGCCAAAGAATTTGTTCCTCCTGCAATTTCTCAACTTATTCTTATGTAGAATAAATTTCTTTAGAATTAAATTCCCCTTTAGAAGAATTTTCTAAAATCTTTTACAACCTTTAAGAATTGATTTTTATAGAGCTAAAAAATTATTTATTTACAGTAAACGAGAATACAAAAGAATTTCGTATTCAAGAATCGATTATTAAAACTTGTTGCCAAAAGAAATGCTAAATAATTAAATGAAATTTTTGTTACAGAAAATTTACCACCGTCAGAATTGAAGAAGTTCAGAAATAAGCAGAGAAAGCAACGCAGGAAGGCGGAACTCGAAAGGCAGCAGGCTGCTCAAGCACAGGAGAAGAGGGAACATCACAATAAATCTCGACAACAGACTGATCCCGATCTCGAGCAACCGATTCTCGAGGAACTTATTCCGGAAAAATTGGAGAGGGTAAGTTTCACAAAATTTCTCTTATCACAATAATGGTTCTAATTTTTTAAGGTTGAAAATTGACTGAAACTAAGATTTTTTTGTATTGCGGAAAAATATGGACAAATTTTAATTTTTCTTTTCTTCTCAATAGGTGGAAGATCCCTTGGAGCAAGCTATCAAATTTTTACAACCCCTGCAAGAGTTGGCTTCCGACAGAATAGAGACACATTTAATGGCTTTCGAAATATACATTCGAAAAGGTAACATAATTTTATTTAAAGTTGTCCGTAAAAAAATCCCTCGAATTCTTTGAATCTCACTGAAAAGTAAAACACTTTTACCTACATTTTTTTCTAGTTCGTAAATATTTCACTTTTTTTCTTCTTATTTTGTATTTTACATTCTGGAAAAAATACTACAATTGAATAGTATTTACGAATAAACATTGTTTTAAATCGGCGCCACACTGGACACATAAATATCACCAAAATCAGCTCAGTTTTCACTTGGTTCAATATTTTTTTACAACTTCATATAATGTAGATTTTATTTATTATCTAAGACAATCATCTCAACATAATCTCAAAACTAAAATGTAATTTTTGAAGCAAACAAAAACAATATAATAATTCTAATAATAAATTCTACAACTATTTAATATAATAATTAATTTTTAAATAATTTTGAAAAATTCAATTGCAAATTATTAAAAAAATTAAATTTTGACAGAATATTTCTTAAAATAATTTTCTAATAATTGCTGAAGCAAAAAATCACTCGATTTTACTTGTAATTATTTCATTCAAACATTCTTTACAAATAATGGTAATTATTTCAATATTGTTAAAAATATTTTGTTAGAAAATTATAAACAGTGCAAATGTATACCAAATTGTTTTTGAAGGAACGCTTTTTTAACACGAAAAATTATTATTAAGTTCTGAGATTAAACTAGGGTCAACATCCTCCTTAAATTAGTGATAAACGAAACTCTTTTCGTTCCATCGGCAATATTATTTTTGTTTTCGTTATTAACTTAAATGAATTCGAAACAGGTTTTTAATAGTCTAATATTTGGGGGGTTGGGTTGAATGGTGTTGTTATGGATTTATCATCGGAAGATACAGGTTTCTGATCAGAATTGGATTCGTTTATTATACATAGCTATTTATAGATTTGGAAAAGCCATTTGTGTCAGCTTTTAATAATGACAGAAGGTCCAGTTCTAGCATTGTGTTGATTCTGGGAATGATGACAGATGAATTTATTTCTATATAAAATCGCAGAATGATGTGCCATTATAATAACAATTCCAACTTGTATATTTTACTCTAGAAAGTTGCGTTGCATTTGAAATCTTCATAAATAGACCAATTTCAAAAAGTTTCAAATTTTAAATTTCAGAAACTTTTAATTTTAAATCGATTTAATTAAAAGTTTTACAAAACTTAGATTTTTGGAAAAATTTTAATAAATCAAGTTCTTAAATTCTACGTAGACATAATTATTATTTTCATAAATAACAAGAATTTCACAGGAATTCAACTATTTACAAATTTTTTTATAATTTCTTCGAAATAATTCAATTATTTTCATAAATAATAAAATTCTCTTTAGGAATTCAATTATTTTCAAAAATTTTAATAAAATTCTTGGCAAAATTTCAATTATTTTCATAAATAATAAATTTTTTTTAAGGTTTCAATTATTTGAAATAAATAATGAAATTCTTTTTAGGAATGCAATTACAGGGTGTCTAACAAGGATTGAGAAAATAATTCACTGACTTTTCCATGACTTTTTACTAATTTTATTTCTGCTTTCTTGGGACTAAAATATAGTAACTGACATATTTAACAGTAAATTAATATCTAATGATGAAAACAAACGATAATGAAAATCTTCTAAGTTTTGTTAGATAAAAAACATTTTTTTATTCACAAAAATTTTAATTTTTGTATAAATTTTTAGAAATTTCCCTGACTTTCAATGAAATTCTCTGACATTCCCTGACTTCCCTAACTTCCCTGATCGTTAGACACCCTGAATTATTTTCATAAAAAATAAAACTCATCGCAGAATTTCAATTATTTTTTAATTTTAATCAATTTACTCAGGAATTGTAATTATTCTTAAAAATTTTATTAAACTTCGTCGAAAGAATTCATTTCATTACATGTTTTTGAGTATATCTAATCATTTTTAGTGTGAAGTAGAACATTTTTTAAGGTCAGGGCTAAAGTCAAAATTTTATCTTCGTTGAGTATTTTTTCGATATTTACAAATATATCCCTGCATTGCAATTTTCTAGAATTGTAAAAAAAAGATTGTAGAATGTAAAAGTAAGATAAGAATTGAAGAGTTTTTGTTTCCGATTAACGACTGAATTTTGAGTTTGATCTTTGCTCGTGACTAATTTGCCAATTGCTTGTTTCAGGACGGACACTGTTGATGTTGCGATCGATAAATCGCGCACATCGCTTGGACCCCAACAATCCCGAATTGCACACGTGCCTTGTGCGCTTCTTGCAGCACACGAATAAGTCGCACCTGGAGGGCGCATTGGCCGAGGTGGTGAAACGCCAGACAAGTGGAATATTCTCAAGTTGCAGTGCGCAGCAATTGAACGCGCAGTACTTGAAGAAGAACAGCAAGTCTCTGCCACACCTGTACCAAGGCGCGCGCATGATGTACCTCCTGGACCCGACGGTGCAGTCCAAGGCCCTCTCCTTGGTCGCCGACATGGACAGCCTCGAGAACGTCTCTCTCGACGTGTGCACGAGGTTGCTCGCCTCCCTGCAAAAGGGCGACTTCGGCTCCTGCGAGTCGACGACGGCCGACTTCCGGGTCAAGTGCCACTCCCTCTTCCCGTACGCGACCGCATTTCGTCCCCTGGAAATCATCGAGGCCAAAGTCACCGTCAATCATCAAGACGACTACTCCATCAAGAACTGATCCTGGCGTCTCTAATTAGGACAATCGAGAGGAAGTTTCATGGAGGGGGGGCGGGGATACCAATTTTTAATCGATCGATCGTCTCGGTTTTTATTTAATTTTTTTTCCACTTTTTCTGTGTTTCTCTCGCGCGCGCGATTTTAAAATGCTCTCGTCGTTTGTCTCTTGGAGAATCGCGATAGGACCGAGTAGACAACGCTGTACAGGATGCGTTTTTTTTTTTTTTTATTTTGTAAAATATTGTAAATGGCGAGACAAGACTTTGTATACATATGTGCTAGAAAATGAAAAAAAGAAAAAATGTTACGCGTGATTTTCTATAACTAAGATCTTCGTTACCGACGATAAATCTCTACTGTGTAGAGTTTTGTCCCTTTAAGTAGTAAAATTGTACCGATTTTGGGACAAGTTTTGAACTCTGGTAACTGTACGGTCCGTAATGTAGAGTCCTACATTCTAATGGCTAGATTTCTTCTTTATCGATAATCGCTAGGGTAGAGAATGCTACCTTGCCGAATGTTGTTAAATATGTGACTGACTTTTGTATTGCCGATTTTATGTAAATTTGCCGAACTCAGAATCTGTACCAAAATCGTCAATTTTATTTAGAATTGTCGCCAATACCGCTAATTGTGATGGAACATCGAGATATTTTTTTTTCTCATTCGTTCTTTTAATCTTGAATATATAATAATTCGATTATATCAATTTGGACACTTGGTGAGAAATTATTTCCTTGCATTCGATTCCTGGTAAACTAACTTTCAATTCCTGTTGAATTTTTATTTCTTTTTTAGAATCCATGTGGGAATTTTAAAATTCAAGACCATCGAATCTGAAAAATTTGATTTTGTTCAATCAGAATTCGATAATTCTATCGAATTCTGATTGAACAAAATCAAATCGTTTTTCGGCAAAATTTTTTATGTGAACGGATTTTTTATTTAAATTTGCATTTCTATTTAAATGAGTTGTCATTTAACCGAATTATTATTCAGTTGAATTTTTCTTTATCTGAATATTAATTCGTTAGAAATTACATTTATTGAAATTCATGAATGATAGAATTTCTATTTGTCCGCATTTCCGTGAATATTCAGATATGAAATTAGTAATAAACCGTATTTTCTGATTCGGTGATAAAAACCGTTTTCACCTTTTGCTCTTCCGTTCGATTTGACGGATTTCTTGTGTTTTTTTACTTCTTTTTTTTAATAAATTAGATCAATAAACTAAACAGGAAAAGGAAGTTGTGAAATTTTGTTATTAAATATTGGAAGAAAAATACTTGTAATATACGATGAGAGATAAAATTGAAAGTAGATGGTAAATTATCATCTGGAATTACTTTTGTTGATAGACAAGAATTGATCGAATTAGGGAAAAATGTAATACTCGATTTTGCATGATAGATTTATTTAAATAATTCTTTTAATTTGTATTTAAAAAAATATATGAATTGAGGCTTATAGTGATAGTACAATTTTGATAGTTTAAATAAATTTTAAACAAAATTTATTTTAATTAAAATTTTAGAATTGTAAAATTGTAAAAAAAGTTATCAAAATTCGTCTCGTATATTGCTCGAATTTTTCTTTAATTTTTTTTTGTTCTCTCTTTCATCAGACATGCAAATTTTATAAATTATAAAATATCAAGTTCCACTATTAATTAGGCGGGTTCGAACGTTTTGCAATTCTGTAGAAAACAAAATTTAGGAATTTTAAATAAATTACCAATTTTTGGAAATATTTAAAACCATTCATTTTGAATTCATTTTATTTAAATATAAATTCCTGTTCTTCCAATGAATTTTTTCGCTCTCTGTCTATATATCTCTCCGAATATGGTTTTGATTTTTCTAACTCATATTCACAAGAAAATACAGATATAAGTGTTTTTGCAAGAAAGTTATAAATGTTACCACTAACGCGTCATTATCAAAATTCTCACAGTCATTTGTAGCAATTAATATTCAAACTTCGTCGCATTAAATACATATAGGAAAATAACAATATAAACCAGAATTCTCCATTAATTTGCCCATTTCTTTAGAAATTTCCACACTTGTATAAAGTAACCGAAGATGAAATATCAAAATAAATTAATCGATAAGTCTATTCTAATATATCAAATTCTGGTCGATATGTCGATATTAAATAGTTAATAACGATAATGATGGATATCACAATGTTGAGTGATTTATCGATATTTTGTTATTCAGTCGATATATTGATGTCGAAGAAAAAAAAATATATATACTTTTAAAAACGGAGATTTTGCGCACTAACGCTTCCCACACGATTTTGTAAATTGCGTTGGGCTCAAATATTTCCATTCTTTTCTTTTCCCTCCTCGTGTTCTTTCCTTTCCTTTTTGTTGTAAACTATCCGCATCAAAGTGTATTATTTATTTTCACGTGTGCTTGTATAGATTCGAAACATTATATTGGGAATGCAACACTTCCTCTCATTTGTAAACTATATCGTCGAACACATTTTTTATATATGTAAATATTTGGCGCCGATCAAACATGCAAACTATATACATTATGTTTTACTTCTAATGAATTCAAGAAAACATTTATATATTTTACTTGAGAAAAAAAAGGAAACTCTGTGTAATAAACAAAAATTCATGGGAAAAGAAACAAATTTTGAGAATAAAGGACAAAACGTATTTTTTTCCCCTACATGTTTTACTTTTCAAGTTGGAAGACGAAATAATTTTCTTACAAAAATATAAACTCTTTGTGGTGAAAAAAGTCCTTTGGATATTTGATCTAAAAGTTTGTGAAATTTAAACGAACTGTATACTAACATCGTAATTTTTTTAATGGTACTGAAGTCCTCAAACTTAAAAAAAAAGAAAAAGTTAAAGATTTTTTTCCTAGTTACATAATTCTCCACCAATTTTGAAGGTACAGTCACCAACGAATAATTTATTTGAATCAAAATAATACATATCGTCTCATTATATTTTGTTCAATCAAAAACAACTTTCTTATTAGCTAAAAAAAGATCTAGTAACCTCTGATTAATACTCTAACTTTTACGATTTGCTCGTTGAAAACGTAATTCTTTTTTATAAAAATAGCACTTGACAATAAATTGCAATTTTAGTTTGCGGTTTGTTTATATTTTCAGAAACTTGGATGAAAGTCAAACATTTTTAATTCAATTTTATTTTTTCTAAATATTTATAAAAAAAATTAATCTCCAATAGATAAAATATTTGTAGATCAAAGGGTTAAAAAAAGATCTGAATTTCTTCATCATTTTAATTAAAATACACTACCATAGATCAGTTTATACGAAAAGGAAGATATATCTCTTGTAAATGTTGACTTATAGTAGCGTCACGTCGGTTATTGATAATTATTAATTATTAATTAATAATCAAGACATCGATCATGTGTATTATATAGTCATTTCAAGTCGATCGAGTATGAGAGTCAGGTCTGCGAGGTTGGCGTAAAAAAGGTTTGGAATATCGAAACATTTTTCGATTCTTATTATCTTTCGACAATAAGAATAATGATTATTTTCACTTTATCAACTTTCTAGAATCTAACATATTGGATATATCCAAATAAAATTCGATACGAAATTGACATAACGAAGAAAGTTAACATAAAATGTCTAAATACCCGAAATTCGATACACCGAACGCTTTGAGAATCGTCGGTTTTTTATCGTGCATCCTCCGTTGATGTCCTTGAATGTTCGCGTGAAATTGAGACCATTTAGCATTAAATGCTAAAAGAATTTTTGTACATACGTAGTCAATAATAATTATAATTGGGTCCTTAAAAATCAACTAATAATATAACAATAGAAATTACTGTTTATAAGAAACGGGGATTTCTTTTTATCAACATTAAAAACAAATTTATAAAGCAAAAAATATATCGTAAAAAAACAATAAATCATTTATTTTAATGTCGTGCTCTCATTTTTTTTAGAAATTTTTTAAAAAATTTATTTTCAGTATGAGTGATGTTTGCAAATTATGTTCTTGATACGCGTGACTGTACGGCATTATAGATATTTATATAAGTTAAGACGAATAAACACGAATTAAAACAAACGATTTTTTTTTCATTAAATCCTTTCCTCCATTTTAGAGATTCAAAATTTTTTATTTTTAATGTTTTCAGGAAATAAAATTGGCGCTATCTATTGTTTCCATAATAAATATAAACAAATTATTAAAAACAGAAATTTGAGCTACACTTGCGTAAAAAAATAAAAATTTACATGTTAGGTTAAAAATTTTCTGACATTTTTAGATTTCAAAAATCCCTGTCAAGATTTTTTTCATCAAAGTTAATATTTTAAATCAATTTGTAATAAAATTGAAAAATTACTTTTTATAATGAAACTAATTAGACAATGAAAAGACAAATTAATTCTCCGCAAAGAAAATCGTGGCCCTGAAAAGGGCCGATTGATAACGGACAGGCTTTAACTTGTTAAAGTTAGATTACAGCACGTAAAGCTGTATTAATTCTTGGAAGCGGTGTATTTCGTCACAGCCTTGGTTCCCTCAGAGACGGCGTGCTTCGAAAGTTCGCCAGGAAGCAAAAGTCGAACGGCGGTCTGAATTTCTCGGGAACTGATGGTACGCTTCTTTGAATATTTCGCCAGACGAGAGGCTTCATTTGCAATGCGCTCGAAAATGTCGTTCATAAAACTATTCATGATGCTCATCGCCTTGCTTGACATCCCGACGTCATTGTGAACTTGCTTCAGAACTTTGTAAATGAAGTGGCCATAGCTTTCTTTCCCCTTGCGCCTCTTCTTTTTCTTGTCATCCTTGCTGACAACGCTTTTTACAGAATTTTCAGGCTTCTTCTTGCTGACTTTGGAGGCCTTGCTTTCAGAAGCTCGAACAACTTTTGAAGTCATTATGGAAATCCAAAACAGTACGTAGAACTCTAGTGTTGACGATCCACAAAACGTTTATGAAAAAAGAACCGCGGAACTGCTACTTTTATAAGCGAGTAGCCGTCGCGGTTCTCCCACTTTTCACGAGGAACCAATCAGAATGCAAAGTTGCAAAAAGTGGGAGAACCGCGACGGCTACTCGCTTATAAAAGTAGCAGTTCCGCGATATTTTTTTCATAAACGTTTTGTGGATCGACAACACTAGTTCTACGTACTATTTTGTATTTCCATGATGACTTCGAAAACAGTTCGAGCTACTGCAAGCAAGGCTTCCAAGGTCAGCAAGAAGAAGCCAGAAAAATCTGTCAAAAGCATCAGCAAGGATGATAAGAAAAAGAAGAGGCGCAAGGGGAAAGAAAGCTATGGCCGCTTCATTTACAAAGTCCTGAAGCAAGTTCACAATGACGTCGGGATGTCGAGCAAGTCGATGAGCATCATGAATAGTTTTATGAACGATATTTTCGAGCGCATTGCAAATGAAGCTTCTCGTCTGGCGAAGTATTCGAAGAAGCGTACCATCAGTTCCCGAGAAATCCAAACCGCCGTTCGACTTTTGCTTCCTGGCGAACTTTCGAAGCACGCCGTCTCGGAGGGAACCAAGGCTGTGACGAAATACACCGCTTCCAAGAATTAATTCTATAGCTTTAGATGCTGTAACCTAACAAGTTGAAGCCTGTCTGTTCAGCTTTACAATTATCAATCGGCCCTTTTCAGGGCCACGATTTTCTTTACGGAGAATTAATTTTGTCTTCATTATAAAAAAACTATTTTTAATAATTATTATTATTTTCAATTGAATTGATTTTTTTTTTAAATTAAAATATTAACTTTGAAAAATCTTGATTGACAGGAATTTTTAAAACGTAAAGATATCAAAAAAATTTTTAACCTTACATTTTTATTTTATTTTTTTAAATAAATGTAGCGCAAATTTCTTTTTTTAATAATTTAGATTTATTATTGAATAATTAGATATATCTAATTCTATATTTTCTGAAATTATGTAAAATAGAATTTTGATAAAGTTTTGAATGTTCAAATAAACGAAATATTTTTTTAAGCTCTAATATTTTTAATAATTAATAGAATGAAATTAAAAAAAATATTATAATTAATTATTTTTATAACTAAAAAGACGTTTTTACTTATAAAAACAATATTTTGTAAATAAAATTAAAATTAAAAACATTAGGGACATAAAATAGAAATTTGTTTTTAATGTTGATAAAAAGAAATCCTCGTTTCTCATAAACAGTAATTTCAATTGTTATATTATTAGTTAAGTCTTAGAGACCCAATAATTATAATTATTATTGACTATGTATGTACAAAAATTACTTAGCATTTAATTTAGGACAGTACGATAAAAAACCGACGATTCTCAAAGTGATCGGTGTATCGAATTTCGGGTCCTTATATTATTCTTGTATTGATATATAATTTTACACTAGATTTAATTCAGTTAACTATAATTCGTTTCTCAATAAAATTGTATACAAATTTGTTTTAAAAATAATCCCAACGTTCAAAAATTTAGTGGCCCTGAAAAGGGCCGATTGATAAGTTTATGAAGGAGACGCGAAAAAAATCTAATTGCGTTCGCCTCGAACGCGACGTGCCAATCGCATATCTTTCGGCATAATAGTAACGCGCTTGGCGTGAATGGCGCACAAATTGGTATCTTCGAAAAGTCCAACCAAATACGTCTCACAAGCCTCCTGAAGTGCCATGATGGAAGTGCTTTGGAATCTCAAATCAGTTTTGAAGTCTTGAGCGATTTCCCTCACCAAGCGTTGAAAGGGAATTTTCCGCAAAAGCAGTTCAGTGCTCTTCTGATAGCGACGAATTTCACGCAGCGCAACGGTTCCAGGTCTGAAGCGATGGGGCTTCTTTACGCCGCCAGTGGCAGGTGCGCTCTTCTTCGCCGCTTTCGCCAACATTTGTTTCCTCGGTGCTTTACCGCCCGTGGATTTGCGCGCCGTCTGTTTGGTACGAGCCATGTTGATAGTTGATGCAGATGAATTTCAGAGAAACAGTCTTGTGAAATAGGTACACCACAGTCCACAATGAGACAGTAGCGAAAATTTGCATCCTTTTATATGCTGCAGAATATAGGAATACCCTTATCAAGAGAGAGAGGGGGGAACGAACATCCGATTGGCCAGTAGCAAAGAGGAGGGGATACTGGTCTTTCGCGAGACTATAAAATACGTGGCAAGCACTCCACTGCTATTCAGATTGATTCTTTAGTCTACTGATTGAACTTTCAATAATCACTCAACCATGGTTACTAAAACTGCTGCAGTTAAATCTCCAACTGCCCAGACTTCGGCTTCGAAATCGAAAAAGTCTTCACATCCTCCGTCATCCGAGATGGTGATTGCCGCGGTCTTGAATCTCAAGGACAGAAATGGTTCTACCCTTCAGGCAATCAAGAAGTACATAACTGCGTCGTACGATGTCAACATGAAGACGCAAGCGCGCTACATCACCAAATATTTGAAGAGTGCTGTCGAAAGTGGAGTTTTGATTCAGACAAAGGGAAAAGGAGCTTCTGGTTCGTTTAAACTGTCCGAAGAGAGCAAGGCGAAAGTGAAGGTTCAAAGTGGTGGAAAGTCGAAGAAAGCTACTTCTCCGAAATCACCAAAAACTGTTTCTGAAAAAAGAACTTCAAAAATAACGGCGAAACCTCGGAAGGCAAAGTCAACTGGTCAAACCAAAACTGATAAACGTACAGTGAAAACAAAAGTACCGGTAGCAGTTGAATCAAAATCAAAGAAGTCTGCAGCTAAAAAATAAATCGCTTTTAGTGGCAATAAAAAACAACAATCGGCCCTTTTCAGGGCCACGATATCTTTTTACAAGGAATTTTTTTGTTCTTTACATTTCCAAAATTATGTCACTTTTTATAATTGAAAATTTGCTCGCTTTTGATGCCATACTTATTAATTTGTTAGACTTTCTTAATTTTAAACCATAATTAGTGACAGGAAGCTTATGCGACTATTTCGATAATTTAATTCAAAAAATAATTCTTTATTTTCAAGTTTTATAATTATGCAAATAATTAAATACAATCAATCTGAAATGTAAAAATTAAAAGTTTGCCCAAAATTGTAACAAAAATTTACTTAAACAGTTCCTCTAATTTTTATGCATGTTTTTCCAAAAAGCAGGGTTCTTACAGAATCTAGAAATCATGGAAAAGGCCTGGAATTTTTAAAGTTTCTAAATTTTTCCTGTTTTTCATTATTTTTTTCTGTTCAATAGAAATTCAATTAGAAATTATATACGACGTGTAAATTAAATTTAAAATTAAATTTACAAATTTTTTGACATTATATGTATTTCAAAATTACTCAGTCAAACAAAATTTATCAAAGTTAATATTTTAAATCAATTTTCAACTTTAAAGAAAATATTTTATAATGAAAAGACAAATTAATTCTCCGCAAAGAAAAGTGTGGCCCTGATAAGGGCCGATTGATAATTGTAAAGCTGAACAGACAGGCTTGAACTTGTTAAACTGTTGAAATTAGCTTACACCACAAAATTGAAAAGCTATATTTCGTTGTCCCTACTTTTTGCAACTCTGCATTCTGATTGGACTAACGAGAAATCTACCACTTGCATGCGACATTGCGACCACTACCATATAAATACATGATTTCTGCTTCTGCCAAGTATTCTTCTTTAGACGGCTTCAGTGTTCCTGTCTTCGAAGCTTAGTGATATTCGTTTCTGTAGTTTTTACTTTGGGATTTTTCATAATTTATGTGATTGATGGGGGGTTTTGTTACGCCGCGTGTAATTATTGGCCATTTCTTTGTAAAAAAATGTGTTGAATTCATTTAAACTCGTTATGTTTTAGGTAAATTGGCCTATTCACATCTAATATCAATCGGCCCTTTTCAGGGCCACGAAAAGTAATCGTAGGAATATTTATTTGTTCAAAATGGACTAATACAATTGGTAGTAATAAACAGCATTAGGGGCCATTCACATATTACGTGATACATTTAGGGTGGGTGGGTACGTGTAAGCAAAGTATCACGCTTTAACAAATTTTCTATACTATAGAAAAAGTATCACGCAGGAGGGGGAGGGGGTCTAAAATACCTAAAGTATCTATCACGTAATATGTGAATGACCCCTTGCAAATATTTTCACTTTAAATATATTTTATTTTACACATATGCACAAGTTTTTAAACTTCTTGAAGAAAAATATAAGCTTCCTCTTCAGTTTTTTGTTTTGAATGGAAATTCTGGATGTTTCTCGACGCCTTTAAAGAAACTGACGAAATCCACTACTCGACCTTCTGGTCCTTTGTCAAGACTTTCCAGAGCCGTCATATCTGAACTATCCAGAGTCCAATCGAGAACTTTAAAATTTTCCTGGATTCTGTGTGGTTTAGAACTTTTTGGAATCACCGACACTCCTTTTTGTATTAAAAACCTGAGTAAAACTTGAGCTGGAGTTTTTTCATGTTTCTGGGCTATCGTTTGAACTGTTGGATTTTTCAGTGGATAGAAGTTTGCTTCTGGTTTTCCGGTGAACTTGGCGAGACCTGGTGATCCAAGGGGAGAATTCGCCATTACTGCAATTCCATTCAATTTGCAGAAATCGAGCTGCAAATAATACAATTTCGTTATTAAATGTTTATGAAGACTTGGTGCCTTTTTATACATTATAATAAAGGAAGGAATGGATAAGAAATTCAATAGAAACCTACAAGTTCTCTTTGCTGGCAGTAGACGTGCATTTCCATTTGAATTACGGAAACGGAAATTTCTGAAATGTTATTGATTCTTTCAATTTGTTGAATATTGAAATTGGAGAGGCCAATGGCTCGAACTTTTCCTGCGTTAACCTGTTTTTCCATTTCCTTCCAAGTGGCTTCATTGTCAGTACTCATGTCCAATTTTACCTCTCCGTCCTCATTAAACGGAATCAATTCATCGCCGACTTCCTCAAAAGTCCACGGCACGTGAATTAAATAGAGATCCAAATAATCCAATTGTAAGTCGTTCAACGTTTGGTTCAAATGTTTCTCCACTCCACTAGGACGATTTCCCGTAGGTGGTAACTAGATCATTTTTAATTAGAAATTATTTCCTTTTTTCTAATTTTTAATAAAATTAACATAGATTTTAACATTTATGAAGAAAATAATTATAATTAATTAATAAAATTAAAGAGGGATTTATTTCGAAATTTGTAACGTACCTTGCTCACTATGAAAAGTTCATCTCTAGTAATTTTTCCTGAGTCAATCCATTTTTTTAAAACGTTTCCAATCGCTTTTTCGTTGAAATAAGCGCGAGCACAGTCAATGAGTCTATATCCTGCTTCTAAGGCCGCATTCACAGCAGTCTCGACTTCCTCGTCGGAAAAGGAGGCGAAAGCCTGTAAATTAACAATTACCAATTAAGAAATGTGAAGAAAAATTTTAAAAATTATATAAAATAAAATCACATACACTCCAAGTTCCGAATCCTACAATCGGCAATTTTCCTCCTCTCGGTAAATCAATTACTTTTTCAACTGAATTCTTTGCTTGCCGATCCTCATGATAATTTCGGAATGATAATCCTGTCACGCTTCTTGAAATTTCAAGAATATAATTTTTTTTATTTTAATAAATATATCATTTTATTTACTTTTTTAATTCTTCAAGCAAAAAAAATATGTTTCTTACCCTTTTGCGGTTCCTTTCTTTAGGTCTTTCATGATGAATGAAATAGTTAATGAATTTTTTTCGGAGGAACTCTGACTTCAACTAGGCAGTCAGGTCAATATTATAACTGTGACTTCGAAACAGTCTTTCAAGATATATATCGAAAAAAATATTATGAAACGAGTATAGATACCTAATTGAGTCGTTAGATATTTAATTGTTTAAATTAACCAATATACCATCATCAATGTTGAAAGAATGATATTTTAACTTAATTTTAATTATCTTGGAGTACATAGTTGACGAAAAATATTTCACAAAATAATTATTTTGTTTTTGAAATAAATATTAATTAAAAACATAAGATTACAAAGTAGAAAATTATGTATAAAAGAAAATTTCCTAATGGGACGATCGGAGATAATATTAATCGTAAATTGTAATTCTTTTAGGGAAATATATCTAAACTTGAGATTTTTTACATATTTAATATTTCTTTGAGAATTTCAGTATGAAATATTTTTTTCAAAGTGAATCAGAATATTCTTCAGGGTCAGGGAGAAAGACAAAATTTTGACTGGAAATCAGGGAAAAGTAAAGGAAATACAAAATTAAATTTTTATAACAACCTTGTTCAAATTTTGCGGTTGTACAAATTATAATAACTGTTTTATTTTCCAATATTTTTTACAAAACTTGCAATATTTTTGTAACGTTCTATTTTTTATTCTTTACCTTTTATTAGAAAATAAGTAGTGACAAAAATGTACCATTTTAATTTACACTATTGTTTATTTTTGTTTAGGAATACAAACAAAACTATTTTTCTCAAGCAAAGAAAAATTTATTTCTTTTTATACAAATATGACGTGCAAAAACATTGCCAAAACAATAATGTATACGATTAAACCCAATATTTGTCGTTCAGGCCAAAAAAAGGATTTTCTTTTTACTCCCTACTCCCTTATCACTCCTTGAAATTGAAAAGTATATTTTTTATTAATTATTTTAGATACTTGTAAGCATTAAATAAGTATAATTTATAACAAATGCGATTTAATCTTACAGAGATAATAATTAAGATAAATATATTGTGCAGAAAGAAATTGTGAAATTTTTATGGAAATTAATCAAAAATGTGTTAATTATCATAATTATTGAATATTATAATACTGTCAAGTTTTAATATGTAATTATAAATTATCAAATATTAGAAATTTATTAAATGAAAGATTTTCTTAATTTGCATTTGTGACTTTTTTCATTGACCTTCCATGAATACTGATACACTTTATACAAATTAAATTTTTTATTTTTAACGTGTATTTAAAGCCTTTTAGTAAATTTAAACTGATTAAAAAAGAAATAAGTGAATTAATAATTAAATCGTTAGATATTCCCTTTGTTAGAGTTTAAGTTTTAAGTTTTAGCACCATTTTACAGAGTTTGTCTTTTTTAATAGTGCTTTAATTGTAATAAAAAAATATTGTATTTAAAAATTCTCTATTATAATTTTTTGACTCCATCATTTCAATAAAATTCGACCATACAAATATTGTGTTCATATGTGTGGTTGATTTTAATTTTTTTGAAAAAAAAATTGTAAATTTTATAATGAAGCCTAAACTGAAATAATATTTTGTTTATTTAAATTTCTTTTGCTATTTCCATTCCCTGATAAACTTTAATTATTTTTACGAGTCAAAAAAATATAGTGAAGTGTAATTTTACGAAGTTGAAGTCCACAACGTTTATCAACGAAAAAAATTTATTTAATGCATTCAAGTATTATTTTTAATTTAACTTTTAATTATAAAATAATAATTATTATCAAAATATAAACATCAATCCTTTTTTTCTAAATATTTTTGTGTCAAATATTTATGCGTCATTGTTAATTAATTTACTAAGTGAATAATTTTTTTTCGTTGATCAACGTTGTGGACTTCAACTTGGTGTAATTTTTCAAAATACAAATAAGAATTCAAGTATATTTAGTTTTAACCTTTATAATTCAAATGAAATTGATAATAATGTAAAGAAAAAGATAAAACACCCAATGAGTAAAAATATAAATATTTTCATCTTTAATTCTAAATTTTCTCGTTGGTACAAAATATTTTTTAAATATTTACATTTCTCATTTAATAAAATGATTTATTTTGAAAACATAAAAAAACATTATATTAATGTAATATTATCCAATTTTTTGCCGTTCCTTATTTTCCTAACAATAAGAAACTCGAATTTTTCTTTTTCTAAATTCATTAAATTTGCAAAAATACTAATTCCAATTTATTTTTGAAAATATCCAATACCTTAAAAATACAAGAGTTCGTTGAACACATTGACATTAATTATTAACTAATAATAATAAAATCTATTTAAATATTTAACTCTTTCTTAATTCTTCATCGTTCGTATATATGAGAAAACTCACTTTCGATTTATAAACTTTTTGGTAAAAAAAATACTACACTCTTTGAGAATATATATTTTGAGATTGCGAATCCAAGTTATTAAAGCGTCAATAAACTGGCGACACTTTGAATATGAAGGATCAACAGTACTTTTGAATAAAAGCCTTTTGTTAGATATTAATTTCCATTTTGTTGAAAATCAATTTCCATCAGTAAATTATTGGGTACGTATTGCCTGTAAAGTTAATTTAATTTAATATTTTTATTATTACATATGAGTAGGGAAAAAATAGAATTTGAATTGTGATACAATAGAAATAATAGAATTTGAAATAATTAAATACCTGTATTCCACATTTGCAGCATCCAACATTTTCTTTGAAGCGATTGTCCCAATTTTGTGTGCCTTCTTGTCAGATAAGAATAAAATTTTCTTTATTCCAGCCTGAATTATTATTTTAGCACATTCGTTGCACGGGAACAGAGCCACGTAAATTGTGCAATTTTTAAGATTTTCCGAATTTCTGTTCAAAATTGCATTCACTTCCGCATGGCAAACTATGTAAAATAGAAATTAATTAGTTTTTATATTCGGAATTAAATAAATAATGTACGAAGTAAATAAATAATATACAATACCATAGAGAAATTTAGACTGCAACATGTCAGGTTGATTTTTTGTCCATGGAAATTCGTCATCACTACACCCCTGAGGAAATCCGTTATAACCTATTCCAACAATTATTTTATCTTCGTTAACAATGCAAGCGCCAACTTGTGTATGAGGATCTTTACTTCGCATGGAAGCGAGAAACGCCATTCCCATAAAATAGTCGTCCCACGATAAAAATGATTGCCTCTTTTCACTGATATCACTGAAAATTTTAATTATTTCATCCTACATTTCATTATTTCATCAATGAAAAAATTAATGGAAACTTTAAATCAAAAAATTACCTTAGTTTCAAGTCACTTTGGAATTTATCACAGAGAGATAAGTCATTTCTATTTAACAGCGGTGACTGGCAAAGAGAATGTTTTTCACTTTCATCCCTGTGAAGAGAAATTATTGTCAACAATCACATAAGTTATTTTACAATAATTAAAAATTATTAAAATTATTTTTATTAGTTTCAATTTAAAAAAAAACTAACTTCCTTTGTGGAGACGGCGGCAACTGATCAACTTGATCCAAATTAATAGCAGTGAAATCTATCACAATTTTTTCTGCACTTGGAATATACTCACTGGAAAATTAACGAGAAAACTTATCTTGTTGTCAATATTGATAAAATTATATGTAAATTTAACTCTTCAATTTTTATAAAAAATAATTGTTTTACTTATCGTGATACCTATACTTAACATTTGCAGCATCAAACATTCGCTTTGAAGCAATTATTCTGACATCGTCAGCGTTCTTACAAAACGCATAAAAAATGGTTTTTATTCCTGACTGAATTATTAATTTAGCACACTCGTTGCAAGGAAAAAGTGCAACGTATAAAGTGCATTCTTTCAAATTGTACGAATTCCTGTTGAGAATTGCGTTCATTTCTGCATGGCACACTACAAAATTTTAAATAAATAAAGCAAAAAAAGAAATTTATCGTCAAATTCGAATAATTAAAATAAAATAAAATTTTTAATTTTATATATAATAAAAAATAATAGAAATAGTACAAAATTAATACGAATTCGAAATTAATATCTAAAAAGTTTTAAGTAATAAATGTATACCATATAAATATTTGGAGTTTAAGGTATTCCCTTCATCTTTGGTCCAGGGGAATTCATCATCACTACAGCCTCTGGGAAATCCGTTATATCCCACTCCAACAATTCTATTGTCTTCATTAACTAGACAAGCACCCACTTGACTGCATGGATCTTTACTACGTTTCGCCGAAAGAAAAGCCACAGACATAAAGTAATCTTTCCAAGATAAATATGACTGTTTTTTGTAGCATTCATTTCTAAAAGAGAAAAAAAAAGAACTAGAATGAAAAAAAACAAATACCGGCATATCTGGTGCCGGTTCAAATAAATTGTTACATTTTCATAATTATTGCATATTGTTCAAAATACACGCACTGCTTTTTATAAAGAAAAGAAACATAAATGAAAAACATGAAAATACGGTAAAAACTATTTAAAAATTTAATACCATTTAATACTTTCAAATAAACGAAGAAAAATATTTTATAACCTCAAAGATGTTTTTTCAATTACCTTCCTTCAGTTGACGTCATAGTTCTTGACAGTTAAGATGTTCATAAATTATTAAACCTTCTTTATTGTAACTAATAATTAAACGTAATTTATTTTATTTAATTTAAATTATAATAAATTGGCAGAATATAATTTCAAAACTTTGGTTGTTTTTGTAGGATTCGCACCAGAGTTCAGATACTTTTGTGATATACTTCATACTTCGTGCTGTACTGCTGGTGAACATTGTTAGGGTGCGTTCCCATGCAGCTGTGCGCAAATGTAAAGTAAAGGCGCTTGCACACTTCAAAATTTTTAGGCGAGCAAGGTCGTGAAAATTTGTTGCTCGCCCAAAAATTTACAAGTTTGCATTTACCCCTTCCAATTTGTGACTATCCAATTGCTCTCCATTTTATAAATTTGAAACAAAAATTAATTCCACGTAAAATAAATTCGTGGCCCTGAAAAGGGCCGATTGACATATGGCTACAATTATTAAAAGTGTTAAACACACATTTTTTGGTTCTAATTCGAACAGTAGCAGAATAATTATCCATCAAAACCATAAAGAGTACGACCTTGACGTCTTAAAGCATAAACGACATCCATTACAGTAACTGTTTGTCTCCTGGCATGCTCGGTGAAAGTAACGGCGTCGCGAATTACGTTTTCTAAAAACAGTTTTAGAACATTCCGCGAAAGTTCATAGATTAATCCGGAAATTCGTTGCACTCCTCCTCGACGAGCCAAGCGACGAATATCGCCTTTAGTAATTCCTCTTATGTTGTCTCTGAAAACTTTGCGGTATTTGATTCCTCTTTTTAAAATCTTTCCTCCTTTTCCAATGCCCTTTCCTGTAGGATGCACTATTACGTAGCCTTCCATTTCCAATGATGAGCGCGACAACGAAAGAAAAACGCGAACAGGGCAAATGACTGTGTCGAATGTCTTGCACGTACTTTTATATTCTCGGCACACTTCGATATCCCCTCCACTGCTTTGCCAGCTAATCACGTTGTTTTTCTCCCTACCATTTGCTGGTACTTTTTAAATTCCAACACATGCGCAGTTAAAAGCGACAGGTTTAGACAAGTTTTTCCGTTAGAGTTCTAAGAAAAACCTGAATTTGTAAATTCATTGAATAATGTTGAATAATTTGTATACTACCATCAAAATAAAGAACAATCACATAAAATATTTTTACGTAAATAATCTGAATGCTTCTGCAATTGCAAGAAATATTTTTTATAGGTTTTTGGACCGATCGGATTATAGACCTGTGTATCATTTACCTTACTTGACCTTCGTTTTACAAATTATTTGAAAAGTAAATGTAACTTCCATTTGGAATTTAGTTTTAGAAGCTTATAATTAATATTTTCATGTAATTATATTAAACAAAATACTATCAAATCTCGGTTGCTATAGTGACAGGCTAAACAATATTAAATTTTTCATGAAAATAACAATAAATTTACCTTTAAAATTAATTATTCCTATTTCTCATTATGCTAAAACAAAATATTCCAGTAAAAATAATTCGTGGCCCTGAAAAGGGCCGATTGATACGAGTACAGATGAAATCATGTCATCTTAATTTATTCTTTCTTTTCAGTCCTCTTTGGCAAAAGGACAGAATGAATGTGAGGTAAAACTCCGCCTTGAGAAATTGTCACTCCAGACAAAAGCTGATTTATTTCTTCGTCATTTTTAATCGCCAATTGAATGTGACGAGGAATAATTCTACTTCTCTTATTATCGCGAGCTGCATTGCCTGCCAATTCCAAAATCTCAGCAGTCAAATACTCCATGACAGCCGCCAGATAAACAGGAGCACCGGCACCGATGTGTTTCGCATAATTCCCCTTGCGGAGAAAACGATGAACGCGACTCACTGGAAACTGAAGACCAGCTCGTGCAGATCGACTCTTCGGCTTCGCTTTTAATTTGCCTCCTTTACCGTGACCAGACATTTCTCACTTGTAGACAAACTGCTTGTAAAACTATTCAGATGAATCAGATAGTTTCTCAGGAACTAATGAATGTTGAGATCAAAAGCGCTCATATTTATACCACTAATGCCCGCATGGAAGTGGTAAACTGAGATTGACCAATCAGAATGAAGAATCACAAAAAGTGGGGGGAACGGAATCAATTGAGGGTTGAGTGCAGTAAGAAGTATTGTCCAAATCGACAAATTTGAAAAATAGTTCAAATTAAAATTTTTATTATCAATCCTTGTGTAGGGTGAAAAGGTGCATCTTTTTTTCCTTTATAAAAAATTGATAAGTTTTTTAGTTTTCTCAATAAATAAGAAAAACCATTTTTTTGAAAGGAATAAAATTTGATTCTTTTTTCACTTCAATTAGCGATAATTTACACAATTTCATGAATTTACGAAAAATTCAAAATGGATGTTGTAGATTAAATTGTTTTAAATGCAAAACAATCAAAAAGATGTCAATATGTTAATAAACAAAAAAGTTATTAATTTGTTGCCACAACACTGCAAAAATTGTGCATTGCGAACTTTGAGCGCTTCGTTTATGTGGGAAATTTTGAACAGTAACAAACTTCCAGTGAGAAAGTTTGTCAATAAGTTATAAAGAAGTTTTCTGGAAAGTTACATAATAATCGGATAAATAGAAAAAAAGTTATTAACGTTAAAAACTAACGGCGTAAATTAAACTTCTAACGCATAAATTTGGACTAGCGCGTGGAATGCTGCGATCGATAATCACACGCACAAATGAAAACATACACTGCAGACAACAAATATCTCAAAAAAACTTCTTTATAACTAAATTAAATATTTTCTCACTGGAAATTTGTTTGTTGCTGTAAAAAGCTGTCAAATTAAAAAAAAACCGCATTATCAAGGTCAAAAAGGAGAAAAAGCGTAAAAGAAAAGAAAGTTATGTAAATTAGTATTTAAATAATGCTTTGAAACAAATTACACGATGAGATTTTCAATAAAAGAATAAAAAAAAAATTAGTTAAACTTTATACTCATTCAATTAATTAAAGAAAATGTACTAAAACATCATTTACTTTTTACTAAGTTTCAATAGAAATATTAGCATTTGTATTAGTCACCGATTTTTTGCTTCAAAATCAATTAAAAATAACTGATAGAATTTCGTTTATTGCAGGACGTGTCGTAGCAATTCGACACGAATGTTTTCCGATCTTTCATAATTTTTTTTTAATAATTATTAGAAAAAAATACTATTTTTATTAACACCTGAAACAAAAAAATTCCATGTCAAAAAATATCGTGGCCCTGAAAAGGGCCGATTGATAATTGTAAAGCTGAACAGACAGGCTTCAACTTGTTAGATTACAGCATCTAGAGCTGTAGAATTAATTCTTGGAAGCGGTGTATTTCGTCACAGCTTTGGTTCCCTCCGAAACGGCGTGCTTCGAAAGTTCGCCAGGAAGCAAAAGTCGAACGGCGGTTTGAATTTCTCGGGAACTGATAGTACGCTTCTTCGAATATTTTGCCAGACGGGAAGCTTCATTTGCTATGCGTTCGAAAATGTCGTTCATGAAACTATTCATGATGCTCATCGACTTGCTTGACATCCCCACGTCATTGTGAACTTGCTTCAAAACTTTGTAAATGAAGCGGCCATAGCTTTCTTTCCCCTTGCGCCTCTTCTTTTTCTTGTCATCCTTGCTGATGCTTTTGACAGATTTTTCAGGCTTCTTCTTGCTGACCTTGGAAGCCTTGCTTGCAGTAGCTCGAACTGTTTTCGAAGTCATCATGGAAATCCAAAATAGTACGTAGAACTAGTGTTGTCGATCCACAAAACGTTTATGAAAAAAATATCGCGGAACTGCTACTTTTATAAGCGAGTAGCCGTCGCGGTTCTCCCACTTTTTGCAACTCTGCATTCTGATTGGTTCCTCGTGATATCTGCCCTCTCCATGCAAACACCAGCATATAAATACGTGCGTTTTTTTTATTTCTCAGCATCTTGTCAAATATTATCTTTCAAGACTATTTATTCGATTCGGTCTTTTATTTTCTTTGAGTCGCGTTCATTCTGCACGCAAAGGAAATTACGCAAAACACATCGGTGGCTGTGCTCCTGTGTATTTTTCAACTGTAATGGAATATTAGACAGCTAAAGTTTTAGAATTGGCAGGATGAGCTTGAGAATTAATCGGACCTTTTTAGGGCCAACAAAATAATTTTACGAGGAAGTTTGTTCTTATTACATTAATTACGGCATCTGTTCCAGTTGCGGCGACGTTTTGAAAATTTTTTAATATGTAATGTTTGAAAAATTTATTTATTTCGAACTTGATACAATTGCATATAAAGAAATTACTAATTTAATTATTTGAGAAAAAAATTGCTTAGCGCCGTATAATTAACATTGAATGGAATGTATTTTCGTTACGCCGTGCAACATAACCTCTAAACATCTTTTATTGCTCTAATTTGTTTAAATCAATTTTTGTAGTTTTTATTAATGTTTTATTATCTGAATATGACACGAGCTTTTAGTTTAATAAGCTGTAAATTTACTTCTTTCATTATAATTGGTCGAGTATTCTATTTCAAACGTGTCTAAAACCAGAATCGCCCGGTAACAGCACTTTTACCCGATTTAATATTTTCATATAAATAATTACGAGTCTTTACAGAAAAAATACTCTTTGATTCTGCAATCAAGAATCTTTTCCATTTCATAAAAAAGAGATTACGTTTATTAGTAAACTATTGTTAATAAATACAAATATTAGTAATATTAATTTCTTTCACAGGTATTGAATTTTTTTTTACAATTTTGGGCAAACTTTCGATTTTTACATTTTAGATTGAGTGTATTTAATTATTTGCATAATTATAAAACTTGAAAATACAGAATGATTTTCTAAATTTAATTGACGAAATAAAGTTAGAAATTTCTTGTCAACAATTATGGTGTCAAATTAATGTAAATGAATAATAAAGTCTAACAAATTAATAAGTATGGCATCAAAAGCGAGCACATTTTCAATTATAAAAAGTGACATAATTTTGGAAATGTAAAGAACAAAAAAATTCCTTGTAAAAAGATATCGTGGCCCTGAAAAGGGCCGATTGATGTTTTTTATTGCCACTAAAAGCGATTTATTTTTTAGCTGCAGACTTCTTGGACTTTGATTCAACTGCTACCGGTACTTTTGTTTTCACTGTACGTTTATCAGTTTTGGTTTGACCAGTTGACTTTGCCTTCCGAGGTTTCGCCGTTATTTTTGAAGTTCTTTTTTCAGAAACAGTTTTTGGTGATTTCGGAGAAGTAGCTTTCTTCGACTTTCCACCACTTTGAACCTTCACTTTCGCCTTGCTCTCTTCGGACAGTTTAAACGAACCAGAAGCTCCTTTTCCCTTTGTCTGAATCAAAACTCCACTTTCGACAGCACTCTTCAAATATTTGGTGATGTAGCGCGCTTGCGTCTTCATGTTGACATCGTACGACGCAGTTATGTACTTCTTGATTGCCTGAAGGGTAGAACCATTTCTGTCCTTGAGATTCAAGACCGCGGCAATCACCATCTCGGATGACGGAGGATGTGAAGACTTTTTCGATTTCGAAGCCGAAGTCTGGGCAGTTGGAGATTTAACTGCAGCAGTTTTAGTAACCATGGTTGAGTGATTATTGAAAGTTCAATCAGTAGACTAAAGAATCAATCTGAATAGCAGTGGAGTGCTTGCCACGTATTTTATAGTCTCGCGAAAGACCAGTATCCCCTCCTCTTTGCTACTGGCCAATCGGATGTTCGTTCCCCCCTCTCTCTCTTGATAAGGGTATTCCTATATTCTGCAGCATATAAAAGGATGCAAATTTTCGCTACTGTCTCATTGTGGACTGTGGTGTTATCTACTTCACAAGACTGTTTCTCTGAAATTCATCTGCATCAACTATCAACATGGCTCGTACCAAACAGACGGCGCGCAAATCCACGGGCGGTAAAGCACCGAGGAAACAAATGTTGGCGAAAGCGGCGAAGAAGAGCGCACCTGCCACTGGCGGCGTGAAGAAGCCCCATCGCTTCAGACCTGGAACCGTTGCGCTGCGTGAAATTCGTCGCTATCAGAAAAGCACTGAACTGCTATTGCGGAAAATTCCCTTTCAACGCTTGGTGAGGGAAATCGCTCAAGACTTCAAAACTGATTTGAGATTCCAAAGCACCTCTATTATGGCACTTCAGGAGGCTTGTGAGACGTATTTGGTTGGACTTTTCGAAGATACCAATCTGTGCGCCATTCACGCCAAGCGCGTTACTATTATGCCGAAAGATATGCAATTGGCACGTCGTGTGCGAGGAGAGCGCAATTAGATTTTTTCGTGTCTCATTCATAAACCCATCAATCGGCCCTTTTCAGGGCCACTAAATTTTTGAACGTTGTGAATTTTTTTTAATCAAGGACAATCTTTTATAAATTATAACTAATTTTTTTGTCTTGAAATTAAGATATATTTTTTGGTAAATTAAAATTTAATTAATTTTTCATTGATATTACTGGCATATGTGATTCAACTATATTGTATTTTTATTTATTTGATTAGTTTATGAATAAATTTACAGTTACTTGAATGACAATATTGAAAAAAGAATGTTTTGTCTCGAAGAACTTTAAAAAGTAATCTAATCGAATTTAGAAAATTAATTTTAGTAAGCTTAGGCTCGCTTTCGTCCAAAACCAATTTGTTTATAATTTTTAATTTAAAAAAATAATTATATAATAAATTGGTAATTTTTGGAAAAAATATCGGTCGTTGCCAACTGTCAACTGGATTTGAACACCGGTTACTACCTGGTTACCGGCAACAATCCCTTCAGGTCATAATTACTCGCTGGCAATTATGACCCACGGCTACAACGACTATGTAAATTATTTCTGCATCTGACATATTGAGGTATGTCAGTAGGGATACATATAATTTGCTCTTAAAATATATTTACAAAATCTAATTAATAACCTCCATGAATTATTTATTGTAAAAATTTAATAGTTCTAAATTATTTACTACTAATATTTAAAATGCGATATTTAGTTAAATCTGAATTAAAAGAATGTCTATCAGCGCTGAAAAAGAAAAATCTGTTATTGATTGACTAAAATTTTTTCTTTAATTAGAAATAATTATAATAAAAAATGTCTATAGCATTTAATAATTCAATTAATATCAAATGGATATTTTTACTTAATTTTCAGTAAAATTTTATTTTTACGCAAAAACTTATTAGCCCTGAATAGGGCTTTGTTTCTTTGCAGGTCACGAACTACAGTATAATTATTATGATTTTTCGTTGTGTGTTTATATATTTACACATGTTTTGTCCACTTATAATGTATAATATTAGAAGAAAGATTTTAATCGAAGAAAAGCAAGACCGGAAAATATTTTTAAAGAACTGTAAAAATTGCAGAAGTTTAAAACTTTTAAAGACAAGGTCATATACTAATCTGCTAATTTCCACAAGGGGATTTTTAGATTCTTTAATTTACCAATCATGAGTTCGATATAATATTTCCTGATCGCTAATTGGCGCGCTTTCTTATCCCCAAAATTGTTAAATGAGTTGCGAAAAGGTGCTGCCAACTCATTCAGTTTTCGTCATTCTTTCCACAAGCATTTGCGAAGTTCATAACATATTTAGACAAATTTATTACTTTCTAGTTAATTTTAATTAGTTATTTAGCATCATTACATTTAAACTATTATCCGATAAGAATATAATTAATTTATATTAATTTTATAGTTTGAAATAGGTATTTGAAAATATTGTTAATTAATAAAAAAAACAGTTTCCAAGTTATTGTAGAAAAACTGAATGGCAAGTATCTTTTTATTAATAAAAAGATAAAAAGAGTAAGAGCAACAAATGTCAACTCCGTCTTTATCCTACTCTAAGAAAGAAGAGCACGTTCGATACGCACTCGACAATAATGAGAGTTTTCCAGTTCTATATTATCAAGTTCAATGGTGATAAACGCACAGGTGAATACAGGTTAGGAATAAGAATTCGTAGAATTAATGGTCAAATTTTAATTTAAAAAAGTTTCCTCACTTTTTACGTATAATGGAGGAAGTTGACAATATCATTATTCACTCGTTGCGTCAAATAGGCTGGTAAGTTTCTTACTTTGTAATATCGAACAAGTAAATGAAATGTAGATATTCGTTATATCAGAAATACTTCAAATGACAAGTTCCGGTTTCTTTGCGGTGTCAGAAAAGTGGGTGTTTCTCTAGTCGACCTTTGAAATTTGTGTATTTTTACTTGCTTTTTTCTTGGTAGGAATAAAATTTAAGAGACTGAAATATATTTCTTGTTTATTTGTGTAGAAGCTAATAATTAGTTTTATTATATTAAGATTTTGATTATATACTCCAACTAGATTTTAGAATTTTAGTTTTTTTCTCTATTTTATTATTGCAGTATATTTTTAAATTTATTTATGTAATACTCACATTTTTCGTATTTTACAAAATTATTTCTCATTACCTTCTTTTTTTATTCATTTAGTAAAAATTTTTAACTTTTTGATAATTAGAATTCCGAATATTTTCTGCTTTAAATTTTTTATTTTCTCTGTTATGTATTTGTTTCAAATAATTAAACATTTCGGTAGGTATTTCACGAGACTAAAATATTATCTGTGTATGTTGGAATTTGATAAGGCAATTAATTTTATTTTATTTTAGAAAAATGCAATTAACATTCATTGAATACAAAAATTAATGAGTTTTAGAATCAAGTTATTATTCTTTCATTGTGATAACTTTTCGGATAGAAAAAAACAGTGGCAACTGCTTGCAAAAGTAAAGGTTTGTACGTTTTGTTCGGGAGATAATTTTTTTCGTAATTTTTCAGTGATATCGAAGAAAGCATAACGAATTTAGGAGGCTTTAATACCGAATTAGTTGTAGAAGCAACTGTAAGATGTTTAGATACAATTCGACCTGGTCTTGGCTTGTCAGCAGTACTGCCAATCAACATGGCAGCACGATTTCGATTAGGAGCCTCTTTGGCACAAGCTTGTTCGGTAAATGAGAAATATTTGTAACTTTTATTGATTAATTTTCTTTGGTAATTTTTATAATAATTAGAATTTATCACAATTGGCAGGAAATTGGATACAGAGGTGACATAGGCTATCAAACATTTCTCTACAGTTCCGAAGCTGATCTCCGGCGTGTACTAATGTTCTTAATTGAAAAACTGCCAAAGGAGAGCGACAATACTGTTAACGAACCAACTAGTAAAATCGCCTTGTTAGAAAAGTCTCTCGCCACGACAATATCGCAAGACTTTCAATCATCCTGGATTTCTGATTTGTCTCAGGAGCGCGAAAGGTTCACCGGAAGAACGAAAGCGCCCTTCCGAACTGTACCAATTGACGTTGCTTCGGACGAAAAAGGAGAAGGTAAAATTATTTTCTCTACTTATTATTTCATTAATTCAATTATTTTATTACTATTAAAAATGTCTCTTAATTTCAGAATACCGAGATTATTATATTCATTATCAAAAATCAGTGCCTGAACAAATGCCGACTCCTTTCAGCCTCTTACCCTCTGTCCTATCGCATAATGCAAGGTCGACAAATATCCTGCCAACGAATATAATTGAAAGGCTAGACTGGCTCAATTCTCAGCATGAAGAGAGATCGTCGAGTTCAACTCTCGGCAGCATTCATGCCCTGAGTAGATTTACGTCGAGTGAGAAGGCGGAAAGTCCTCAAAGTCCTCAAAATGAAACGCAACAAATAGAGGTGACATTTTTTAAGCAAATTTTTCAGAAAATTCCATGCAAAGGTTTGAAGTTTAAAATTTCAGGAGTCCTCTGCTTCGAGTGTGGCAGTATCGGAGGAATCTTCGCTAGACAAATTAGACAATAGTGGGCAGGACTCGATAAAAAGACTAACTTTTGACTGTGAAAGTTTGCGAACCGAAATCGAGGATCTACAAGTGGAGAGTAAGAAGCTCAGTGGGAAATTGGCGCACGTGACAATCGTCGAGCAGAGCGAGGAGAAAGACCTCACGGCCCTAGAGAAGCAGAGAAAAATAAAAGCGAAAACTTATGATTTACTGGAAAATGGAGACGAAAATATTCAGAAATTAAAGGAGACTATCGAAGCGAATTCGAATAAACTCATTGGATTAGTTAGTCAATGGGAGAAACATAGACTGCCTCTCATCCAAAAGTATCGGGAAGAAATGGAAAAACATTCTTCGAAAGCCGTACGTATTCTCACTTTCAACTACTTTACAAGGAATGATAAATATTTCTTTTTAGAGCGCGAGTCAAAGAAAACTTGACGAATTGAAGAATTTGAAGGAGAAGGAAAAGGAACTGTCGGAGGAGAGTAGAAACAAGGACCAGCAGTATTCTCAGTTAATAGCCGACGTTCAAAAGCTCCCGAAGGAAATCAACAGATCGGCTTACACTCAACGAATCCTCGAGATAATCAATAATGTTCGCAAGCAGAAGGACGAGATCGACAAAGTCCTCGCGGATACGCGCAGCATTCAAAAGGAGATCAACACTTTGACCGGGAGATTGGAGAGATCTTTCACAATCGTCGACGAGCTAATCTTCCGGGACGCAAGAAGCAACGAGGCTTCTAGAAAAGCCTACAAACTGCTCGCCACTTTGCACTCCGACTGCAGCGAACTCGTCACCCTCGTCGAAGAAACTGGCGCTACAGTTCGAGAAATAAGGGACCTTGAAGAACAGGTACTAAAAAAAATAAATAATAAATAAATAATACTAAAATAGAACTTCAGTTTACACATGGCTCGAACTAAGTCCGTAAATCCCGTAAAAGTCCGTAAATTTGCTTCAAGTCCGTAAAAGTCCGTTTTTTCAAAAAAAAAAAGGTCCGTAATTTTTGTCAGTAATTGGTCGGTAATTTTTAATTTTTGGTCCGTAAAGTCCGTATTTTTAAATACTATTACTGGTTCAAGCCCTGTTCACAATTTTGCTCCAGAAAATAATGAATTATTTCTCTCTTCAGATTGACTCGGAATCAACGAAAAATGTGGGTGCTAATTTAGAACGAATAACGGCAGATCTGAAGCAAATGAAGCAGGAGACGGCCATTTTAACGACACAACTTCAAAACAAAAATTCGTGATCGTTTTATTTTATTTTGCTTCGTGCTTCAATGAAAACGACCAAGCCATACCGATTGTGCCTTGGCACTCGGAATTATGAGTTTTACAACTCGGAAGAGCTCAACAAGAAACTCGGATCGAGGAGCCTACTTTTCTAATTGTAAGAGCGACAAATTTTCCTACTGTACTTTGAAAACGATTTTTCCTCGAGTAAACGACAAAGTCAAAATCACAGGAGGCAAAGGGAGAAAATAAATCTGATGAATGATGCGAGGGAGAATATTTCTGTCCGACAGCGAATCTAATGTACAAAGTCGATGTTTATTAATTAACTGCAACGGATTTTGTAATTTATCCTGTCAAGATTAAAAAGAGAAGACTTATTTCTTGGTTTTGTTTTTTTTAGACAAAAAGAAAACGTATGAAAATTTTAACAAATCTTATTTTAGGTTCATCTTACTACAAATAATTTTTTTTACTCAATTTTAACTTTTCTTTTCAGAACATCTGGTGGAACGTACTCCTCATCGTTTTTCAATTTCTTCTTCAATAATTTTGGATTAATTTTCATTGAATCTATTTTCTTTTCTATTGCTTCTATTTTCAGTTCTATTTGTTCTTGATTTTCAAAGAATGTTAATAATCTTTCTTCTTCTTCCAGTTCTTTTTTCATAGTTTCAATGTTCTTGATTCTCTTGATCTTGTCCATTTCTGACGAATGTTTCTCGAGAACGTCTTGTCTCAATTTTATCCACTCGGTAAAGGTCTGAAAAATTTATTTTTAATTTTAATTTATAAAAATAATACTTATTTTAAACAAATTTATCACTAATAATTTTTGAAGACTAAATTAAATTCTCTGTTTACAATTTTTTTGAAAACATGAAAATTATTTACTCCTTGTACACGGAAAAAAAAATCAGCCTAATAATGCATGGAGTCTATTGGTTCGATTTTTACATGAGCCCATTTTGCAAATATCACACAGGAGTTTACTAAAAATGCATGGCTTTTGTGACTTTTGCCACAGCACCATGCGAAAATAGGATGGATTCCAAGCTAATCACGCATGGTAGTGTGCGTGCAATATACACAACAGACGCTCATGTGTTTTTAGCCTAGTATTTTTTTCCGTGTATAATTATGAAAAGTAATTTTTTTGGACAAACCTGACACTGTTTGGCAATATCACTCTCCTCTTTGTCTTGCACTGTCTTCTTGACAACATTCTCAATTTCTTCGAGAATACTTCCGGCTTTTAAATCCATTTTTTCCAGCTCCTCTAATTTTTGTTTGAAGGTGGCCATTTCCTCGCTCAATTCTCCCTCGAATAGTGTTGGTGAGTCTTTCTTTATCAAGTCAAAGACTTCTTTATACACGATTTCCTTCTCGTCCCTCCACTCGTCAATCAATTGAACGACTTTTGAATATTTTTTGTACAAAATGAATCCTCGCAATTGACAAGTTCTGCCAAGAGTGCCACCGTGATGTTTCCCGAAGAAAGCCATAGTTTTACCGACCAAATCTGTCGGTTCGACTAAGTCAAAGTGATCATCGAAGTATGGATTACGAAGATATTTCACTCGCACCTTGGTCTCTTCTTTCGATTCGTCTTTCGGTTCCTCAGGAACACTCCAATTTTGAGGATTGTCGAGATACTTGTGACAGGAATAAAGAGCCAATGCGTTCGCAATAGGACTGTCGGAGTCCTCCTGGATCATCAAGAGTGACGCTATTTTCGCAGCTGCCGTGAAATCTTCCTTCTTAATGTACGTGTCCATAAGGAGATTGAAAGTGTGATGATCTGGAAATATTCCATAGTTGAGTCTGTCGTTGAGAACGTCGTAAACTTGATCCGCATTGTCGTTGTCAAGAAGGTATCGAGTCACTGCACAATGCGTCGATGGTAATGTGAACGACGACTCGGGGCCCATTCGCAGTCTGTAAATCATGTCCAGAAGATCCTCGGTGTGTCCTTCGTTTTTCAGAGAATTCACGAAAATATCAATGTCCACTGCTGCGATTTTTCCCGATGTAATCTGTTGGTTATCCAGTTGAAGGTAAAAGTCGAAAGGATTCACCTTGAGAAAAAATAACAGAAAAATTACTAAAATATTCATTCGCAGGTGGTCACAAGTTTCAGTTTATTAATTTACTGACATCAAAATTATTTTCCCTGACAAAATTCCTTTCACAGGAAAATATGAAAGTTTATGGAAAATGAGTACTAAAATTTATGAAATTTAATCATTTCTAAAAATTAAAATTACAACCCTTCCTGAATTAAACTATTTTCTATAATTTTCATCTCTAAATCAATTATTTTAACTAATTTTCCGAAAGTTCTTAGAGAATTAAATTATTTAAATACGAAAATACTTAACGTTTTACCTTTTTAATCAAGGAAGTTTCAAGTCTTTGATTCCACTCATTTTCACATCGATAATTCTCGGAAAGAAAAGTTCTTTTACATTTAATCAAATGCTTTTTACTCAAAAAAAGTTTTTCATTTGATCTCAATATTTTCCACATCCTCGTTGAATTATTCATTGTAGTTTGTTAATAAAAAACAATTTTCCAAAATTTATAGGTTATATAAAATAAGAGTCGAATAATTGTTTTAAATTTTCTTCTTGTGCATTCAAAAATTGGCGAATATTGTAAAATCTTTTATCGAAGGTTTGTATATTTTCCTGGAAAATAATCACACTTTGTTAATTCATTGTTCACTTTTCTTTTTTTTGTCACATGTTATGAATGTTATGTTGTTTTTTGTAATTTTCCGGTGCTGAAAACTGCACATGCGTGTTACGGCGTTAATCAGTTTATAGGTTATGTTTATCTTTAAAACATCAGCAATAAAAATAGTTTCTTTCAACTATTTTTGTAGTTTCAAGAATTTATAATTAATAATTTAAATAACAAACTCGTAACCGAGTTTGTAAGCAATAGAACGATATTTATAAAATTGTTTATGAAAATAACCAATAAAAAGGTATTCTATTTAATATTTTATTCATTTTATGCATTTTATAACAATTCTCATATTTTTCAAAATAAATAGAAATATTTCAATTTTCAATTATGATTTAATGAATAAGTATTGTGGTAGAATGGCAAAATAGATGAAAATAGTAATAAATAATTCAAATAGGTTGGTTGGAATTTTAGAAAAGTAAAATAGATTTCGTTAAAATTTGTCACTTTTTCAGAAAGTTCATAATAAATAGAAGTTGATTTTCGTTTATGTATTTCTGTCAATTTACTCAAATTCTTATTATGTAAATACTTTTTTAAGCAAATGAAATTAAAATTGGTGTGACGTAAAAAATTGTATTTTCAGAAATTGAAATGCAGAACTTAACAAATTGTGTACGATTGTTGGGAAAACAATTGCTCCAGCCAAATTTAGTTGTTGTTACACAAACTGCCAATGTACAAAAACTTTCAAAATTTGAAGAATATAATGAAAAATTTTATCCTATTCAAACCCATGATGAAGAACGAAGACCAGCAGTAAGTTAATTTCGTGTTACAATTTTACTAATTACGGATGAATATTTTTAAATTTATCAATTATTTACAGTTTGTTTGTCACGTGGAGAAAAACGTGAAATATAGTCCAAAGAATATGTGGTATGTTGCAAATTTAATTCGAGGAATGACAATTGACGATGCCATCGAACAAATTAGTTTCGTCTTAAAAAAAGGTGGTGCAATTGTTAAAGAGGCACTTTTGACAGCTCAAAAGAAAGCCGTTGAGGAACATAATGTCGAATTTAAAAGCAACTTGTGGGTTTGTAAGTGATGAAAATCCAGTAAATAATTTTTAAATGCAATTTAGCTAAATAAGATATTTCTTGTAATATACTTTTTCATAACAAAAATTCCGTTCATTTTTAAATTTTAACTATTTAAAAATTTTTCAGCGGAATCATTCGTGAATAAAGGACTTGTTATAAAAGGAATGCGAAAACATGCAAAAGGAAGAATAGGAGAAATTCGATACATGCATTGTAATTATTACCTAACTCTTGAAGAAGGAAAGCCACCACAAAACTATTATCACTACAAAGCACCAAAATCCAAAGAAGAATTACTGCAAGAGTATAAAGAAGGCCTGCGAAGGCGAAGAGTCATCAACAGTTTGTAATTTAAGAAGTATAAATAATTTTTTAATTTTTAGATGCATACATATTTTCTATCGCAGTTATTTTACCCAATCTTCAATTTAAGGAATAAATTTTACATTACAATTCGCTAATTGAAAATTCGTTAAATAAAACTTGATTTATGAAAATTTACTGAATTAAAATTTCTTTCAAAATTAAATTCTAATAAATTAGTATTCAGATTAATAAAACTTCAAAAGAAATAGAAACTTAATTGAAAGCATATTATTTTATAAAATTACGAAATTTCGATTATTCTGACATTCTTTAATTAAATATATTAGAAATTTAAAAAAATTCTATTAAACTTTTTGAAAAAGATTAATTCTGTAAAATTCTTAATTAAAAGTATGAAAAGTTAGAATTTTCAAAGATTTTAATTTAAAACCTTTTGAAAATTCAATTATTTCTAAAAATCTACGCTATAATGCTTTCAATATTTAATTATAATCTAAAATTTAATCAACAAATTTTTAAATAATTGAATTCTCTTGACAAATTTTAATAAAAATTTAATAAATTCATTTTTTGAGAAATTTAATAAAAATTGTATTTAAAATAATTGAAATTCTGCCAAGAATTTTATTAAACTTTTTGAAAATAATTAAAATTCGGAGAAAAATTTTATAATTTATAAAGATGATTTAATAATTGAATTTCTGCAAAGAATTATATTATTTTTGAAAATAATTGAATTCTTGAGATTCAAAATTCAAATTGTTTTAGTGTTTTTTAAAAGAATTTTATAAACGGAAAATTAGAAAAAATGTGGTAAATAATGAAAACAATGTAAATTAATTAATATAAAGGAAATTCATTTATTAGCCCATAATCGACATTTGATAAATTAAAGTTGTTTACAACTTTAGCTTGGTACGTCTCCAGTGACGCCTCTTGGCGTTATATCTGAAAAAAGAAAAAATATTCATATTTTAATAAATAATCACAACTAGAAACTCAATGTTTAAATATTTTTAATATATCAACTAGATTTTAATTTAGATATATATGTTATTTATTTTTACTTTTCTAAGCAAATATATTTTTTAAGTTTTAAACGAACAACTAAACGAAATTAAATCCTTTACACTAAATACTATTCTGGTCAACACAAAAAATTTCTGACAATCAAATAAAGAAAGTTGTATGATTCTCTTGAATTTTATTTTTTTGGAATATCGTTTTGTGTATTAAATTTATGTTTGTATTTATCATGTAGTAATAATATTTAGAGCAAAAATGTCCATTTCAATTCTCAGAATTTCAAGAACATAAAACGTTTCGAAAAGAAATACTCAAATGTTTGTTATAAAGCCAAAAAAACGTGAAAAGCGGTTAATATTTCAGATTATTCGTAGAATTTGATTATTTTTATAAACATGTAAAAACAATCTAGCTTCTACAACAAAAAATCAAAATAGATTCAACGAGTCAACCATAAACATAACCTTAAATGTCAATCTCAAAAAATATACATAAAAACTGATAGATTGAAAATGAATTAAATGTAATAAAATAATTGCAAAATTTAAATTAATTCTAACAATAGAACATAATACTATTAATAGCGATAAAAATTGAGGAAACTCACCTGATTGTATTGCCTGTTCGCATTCTAACCCACTGTGGAATGGGTCTGTTTTGTTTCAACTTTTTCGCAAGTTTGCGCTTAATAATAAATGTCTTATGGGCCGACTGAAACAAGAAAATATCAGAGTTTAATAATATAATAAGTTTTCACTTACATCTTGAAGGATTAATAAGATTAATTTGGATTTTTATGAAGAGATAAAATTTTACACACCATTTTGCGTTCGTAGTTTTACGAAGAAGGTCCACAGAAAAGAAAATATTAAAGAACTGCCACTCAAGTTCAATTCCGGTTAAGCGAGCGACATCTGTGTCATCTGTCGCTTAGGGTTCCGCTTGAAACGAACGTACCTGAAACTATGCAACCTTGTCGAACATCTATCTGCTTGCTTGGTTTATGGTGAAAATGTCAACAAGGTCAACAATATCAACATAACCTTTTTGTTGTTTAGTAAACGAGTAAACAATAATGAAGACTGATGAATGCGATTTTTAATTCGTATGCAATTGAAAGTAAATAGTGTAGAAAATAAGAACAAAAAATGTGCAGTCGCCAGCAAAAGCCCCATGTGTTTCTCCCACTATGTGATAAATTGAAAATCATCGAAGCTGTCAATGCAGGAAAAACAATTTCGTCCATAGCGAAACACTACAATATTTCTCGAACAGCAGTTGGTGATTTAAAAAGAAGAAAGAGAAGTCTGAAAGATGTAAGCAATCTGAATGAAATAGCGTTGAAAAGGAGAAAGGTAATTAAAAGAGTTCATAATGAGGAGTTAGAAAGAGCAGTATTAATGTGGTACAACGAGAAACGTGAAATGGGTCTACCATTGAGTGGTCCGATGATTTGCGAGAAAGCACTCTTTCTAAATGACAGGTTAAACGGTTCAGAAAAATTTAAAGCCACCACTGGCTGGTTGGACGCTTTCAAGAGACGTTACGGTATTAAAATATCGCAGGAAGAAGTAATATTCTCAAGTGGAGATGCTGCAGTCGAAGTGTGTTTAGAATTTCAACAGTTCATTAAGGACGAAAATTACGATTTGAGTTTGGTTTTTAATGCAGATGAGAGTGGGATGTTTTGGAAGAGTCTGCCGAATGGAAAAGAAGAGAATCCACAAGGTATATTTGCAGAAATGGCAGAAATTCAATTATTATCAAAAGTAATCAAATTCTTCGCAGAAATTTAATTATGTTCAAAAATTTTTAAAAAATCCTCGTCTAAATTTCAATTATGTTTAGAAAAAAAATTAAAAATTCTTCTCCGAATTTCAATTATTTTCAAATTTATTCCTTAGGTTGGAGGGACAGCAAAGAAAGAATTTCAATTCTATTTTGCGCGAATGCAGATGGTTCTTTCGCCTTACCACTTTTAATAGTCGGTAAATCTTGGAGTTCGCGATCAAGTTTCAATACTGCAGAGAATATGCTAGAGCTACCTGTTATGTATCAAAATCAATCTGCAGCAAGCATGACGTCGGAAATTTTTCTCGATTGGTATACAAATATTTTTATTCCATCAGTGCTGGAAATGCAGGAAAAAACGGGAAATCACGGTAAAGTTTTACTATTAATTGACACTGCCAAGTGCCATCCGTCGGAGGAGATTCTCAACTCAGTGAATGAGAATTTTCAAGTAAAATTTATACCAACGAAAGTGACGCTATTAATACAGCCAATGGGTCAAGGTATTATTGAGAAGACAAAAAGGATCTATCGAAGAGCTTTAGTTGAATCTTTAGTGAGTTTTGATGAAAGCATAACTGTCGATGAGTTTTTAGAGTCCCACACAATGGAAGACTGTTGTTTTATACTTGCCAGTGCATTTGAATCCGTAAGCGTTTTTCACTTGAGAAATGCCTGGAATAAACTCTATGGTACATCACAGTTCGATGAGAAGATTGTCGATCACGATGACGAGACGATGGAGGGATTGTACAAAGGCTTCTGTCAAATGCTGAACAACATAAAAGGTAATTAAAAAATATTCATACTGTCTAATGTCAAATTTATCCAATTGTCAAATTTATCCCATTTTCAATTTTTTAGGTTTCGAAAATGTTTATCCAGTGAGCATCAAAAGGTGGCTAAATGCAGATTTGTACGATACAGGATGGGAGCCGCTACTTGACGACGAAATAATTGAATTTGTCACCAAAAAAGGAGATGAAACTGTTAGCAATGAAACGTTAATTGACAATTTATTTAACCAATCGTTCGAGCAGTCTGAAGATGAATCAAAAGAATTTAATAAATTTGTAGAGCAGCTTAAAAAAGAAAATGAAAATTGCCAAATAGAAGAATTCGAACAATCATCAGTTGTACCTAAGAATGAAAATTGTTATTCCAAAGAAATCTTCCAATCGGAGTCACCTGTAACTAAAATTGATAATCTTCAATCGAAAAGTCCTTCACAATCCAGAAAAATAGAAGGCGCCATTCAGTTTTTACATGATTGGTGCAAACAAAGAAAGGAGTACACACTATCAGATTGCCTGCTTTTGCGTAAATGGCAAACACTTGCCAGTAAAGAATCAAAGAAGAAAAATTAATTTATATTCTTCTATAAATTTGTTATTATAACATAAATTTTAATTTTAATGAGACATCTTGAGACTGATTTAATTTTAAATCTTTATAGATGTACCGTGCCGTGCGTAGTGTTGCATTCGAGAATCTTTCATTTCATAAATTAAAAAGAGCAACCTACATGTATTTTTCAGGAATTTCTGGTTTTCTTCTATTCTAAATTATTTCTCGTTTAAATGCATCACTAATCATGTGATTTTTAATGTTGTATAAAAATTATATTTAGTGTTATAAAACTGTACAAGAGCAGAATTAATAATATATTTGCATTAAATTAACGATTATCAAATGTTTTAAATGCAATTATTATTATTTTCGAATAACCCGTAATTGATAGTATGTACATATTAGATAAATAATTTTTTAAATTCTTCCACAATTATTTAATATAAACTAGCAAATGATACGCGCACCAAGTGAATTTCATTATTCTCATAAATAATAAAATGTTTCTGAGAAATTCAATTATTTTCAAATCAATTTTAATAAATTTTCCCGAAAGAATACAATTAATTTTAAAAATATTAATTATATTCGATTATTTTCAAGAATTTTAATATAAATTCAATTATTTTCAACAATTTTGATGAAAAAATGTATTATTTCTACAAATAATTGAATTCATAATGATGAAATCCGACAAAACTCGTTGTTTAATTAATTAAAGTCAAATTCAGGAGTGAGATAGTAGTCGCCACTGTTACTGATAGAAAAAGATAGTGTCATTCTCAGTTTGATTCCCAACCCTGATTGTAGCGATAAAGTAACAATCTACCTTACCATTGTCAGAGAGGAGTTGGCAACACTGTGCGCATCCGAAGTTAACTTCAGCTAGTAGAGTAAAGATCAATTGTTTTCCTCCAGATTGAGAATGACCCTCCTGACAGTCGACCAGTCGACAGAGCGAGGTTTCTTCGCTTTGTGTCAACATCAGCTGTTGTTTAGCTCGCGCGTGCAATGACAGTTGTGAAGTTGTGTGTTTGTATATGTGTTTTACAAATCGTCTGTGACGTGAGTGAAAATGCAAGTCCTTGACAAGTTAAATGACATGTGCTCCTGAGTGAAAGATGAACGGGAGTTTAGCAATATTACGTGGCCCCGAACAACATCCATCTAGGTTCGCGGATTACTTCGTCATCTGTGGCCTGGACAAGGACTCGGGCCTCGAACCCGATAAATATTTTGGTAACTTGAATCATTGTTTTTAAATAACTTCCCTCTTTATTTCTCTCATTAAAAAAACAAACATTGGGAAACACGTGATTACAATAATATTAAAGCAAACTTATTTACTTTCGCAAATATCGACTTTTTTTCTACTGATAACTTTAAATCAACAATGATTTTCTTTATTCGTTGATTCGTTTTTTTTATTCGTGATTTTCAGATAACTATACTTTTTTGAAGCCAATGACAAGTTGTATTGTTTTAAATTTTATTGCAAAGTGGATAAAATAGATTGATGAATCGGAATTTTCGAAAATTACGTAAAAGTGAGCAAATAACAAGTGGAAAAAAATGTTTTGAAGATAAATACGGCAGTTGAAGTTTTAGATAAAAGCGATGACATGAAATACAAGAAAGGGAGATAACTTTTAGAGTCTCATAAAGTGTGTTTGTTTTGCGTGTGATTGCCCCACATTTTCCTTTTTAATAGGATTTATATTTTCGAGAACAAAACAATTTTCCACATTGTCAAACGAATATCAATACTTTCTTGTGCATTCATTTCCATCGAGAGTCTATTAATTAAAATCAGTAATGTGATAAGGCAATTTATTATTTTTCATTTAATGATTCATATTAATTGGAATTATAGTTGAAGGCGATTATTATTCTCGTACAATAGTTGTTTTTGTTTTAAGGCAAATAACATTTTTTGTTCATTGTATGCTATTCATATATGTTTTGCTTGAATACACAAAATGATTTGATGAACTTAACCAACTGTGACAAAACGAATGTCAATTTAGAAAAGAAAGGCTATTTACAATTTCTCCAATTTATATAAAAAAGTAACTATATTTATTAGAAGTTATAAAACAACTTTTTTGTATAATTATTTTTATTAATTGTATTATAAAAATAATGACTTCTTAAAATATTAAATTACTTTATGCTTATTATTTACATCTGATAAATATCGAACGAAATATAAAATCGCAAGAAATTGTTTAAATATTTTAAATTGTCATTCAATTATAAGTTATTTTTATTGCTGATAATTGCAATTATTTCGTTTAAATCTGTTTGTTCGACGGAATTTTCATTTCTAGTTACAGATGTTCTCATTTTGTGAAAGTTCGATTATTTGTATTGTTTCGTTAGGTGTAAAAAGTGAAAAGGATTTTCCTTGTCCCATTTTCTATAAACAAGACGCTCTGATTTCAACTCATTGTCCTCTTGAACTCAAACTGCGCACGCAAACAATAATGCCCGCAGGAAGTGGCAAGGATCTTCCTGAGAAATTGCTGTCCTTTTTAATAAAAAAAAAAGATCATAAAAGGATGGTTAAAATTTCTAAGAAGCTAAAGTGTACTTTTTACATAGGGGCTTTAAATAGAGAAAGAATTTCGAAAATCTCAATTGTCAAACTAAATTTCAAGGCACAAAAGATGTTATTCAATAAATGTTGAATTATTATATTTCTTGAATAAGTTTACTTTATTTAAACCTTTGCAATATTTTGTATAAATTACGGTTAATTTTTAATTTCCTTAAATGTAAAACTAAATTAATAAATAAGATTGTTTTAATTTAAAGAAGATTTCTGTCAATATTCTATTTAGACACATTTTCAAACTAATTAAAAATAGGCACAATTCTTTCAGGCTGTGTTAAAGAAGAACCTTTGTTCTTTCAGAGCTGGACCACTTTCCAACTCGCTTGATGGAAATTTTTTTAATTAGACTGCCACTTTTATTAATAAATTCAGCATTGTGGAAAATGTAATAAAAAAATAGGAATTCGCGTTAATTATAATTAAATTTTTATTTTATTTAAAAATGAAAAAGAAAAAATGTGCTCCTCCCATTATTCGAAATGTGTGCGGAGAAAATTGTCCGCCAAAAAGCAGGAAGTTGATTCATGGTTAGTGCCTATAGAGTCGTTTCTCAAGTTGTGTGTGTGAAAGGGAGGTTTTTGAAAAGATGCTAGAAAACTGCAGCTGCGCCACCCTTAGATGTAGACCTCACAGCACGTCATTTTCAACGTTTAAAATTGTCTCATTTCTTGAGCAAACAGTCGGGACTCCTGAGGAATATTGCAATGTGTTTCAAACCGAGGTCACTGGTCGCAAAGAGTTATAAATAATCTCTCTTGTCTAAATAAGAAAATCTCACCGTAAAAAGGCAAAGGCTGGAAAACAATGTATTTTCCGTGATAATTAGTAGTGGATTTTATTATTTAAATTAGTAGATGATAATTATAGTATTATTATTTAAAATTAAATTTTTTTAGAAGTATTAAAATAAATATTTCAGGGCTCGAACTATAAGTACTGTAAAAGTCAGTTTTTTTGAAAAAAGGTCCGTGAGAAAAGACAAAAAGTTTGTAAATTGTTCGATAAAATAATATCAATAATCAATATAGTTTTAAAAAGTTAATGATACAATAATAAAAAAAGACTTTGTACAAAAGATCTGATTCTTTTACGAATTTTAAAAGGATTATAAAATTAATAAAAAGTAAAGGTGCAACGTTGGAGAAATATTAAGTGATCGAGACAATTTAAAGTCATTATAAGGGCGGTGACAGGATGGGTTGGTCGTAAGAAGTACTTATTCAAACGATAAAGTCACACACGATTTAATGACCAATTATTATTGGTCAAACGATACATAATAAAATATATTGTTTTAATATACTGAGTTGAATATCGCTACAATAATATTTCATTGTTCTCGTATTTAAATTATTATTTATTAAATGTATTGTAAGTTATCAATTCTGCTTTCCTAAATGGAAAATAAAATAATTTTATTTTGAAAGATGATTCAAGTAATCTAGTTTACAGTTTCATTGAATGCTCATTCTGAAATGAAATAATCTCGCCCAAGTCCCGATAATTAAACTCGACGAATAAAAATAGTTGTCATAAAAGAGGTCGCGCAAAGTTAAGGTCAAAGTTGATGAACGTAATTGATACGGCCCTTAAGCCGTCTTTGTTGTAGAGAGAATATATAGAAGCTTCCTGACAATGCAGAGGGCAATTATTTATTTAAGATCTGCTTCACTATCTTCACTACACCAATTTGCTGCCAAGTTTGCAACGGGACGTTGTCTTCTAGTCATGCAAAATTACTTACATAGGAAACAGCGTCAAGTCTATGGTTATTTTCAACTAATTAGAAAATTCCACCTAAATTTCCTCATCCCATAAAGACTGAATTTTAGTTTTAATGTTCAAAAGTTGAAAATTTGAATAAAAAAGAACCTTTTAATTTCAGTAACCATCGAATAGTCTCGCGAACTAAAAGTAAACTTTTGATTCATTTCATTCATTTGCCTGTTGAGTTGCTTCTGACAAGAATTAATAAATGGCGTTTTTATTGAATGATTCGTTTATTTCGAGTTTCTTTCTTTCCTTGAAATTAATGATGAAATATATAAATCGAGTCTGTTCTTGATATTATTTGAAAGGTTTTAAAGTCCTTTCGCTGAAAAACCGCAGAGAAAATATAAAAATATGCAGGTGGTGGTAATGAGGTTATGGTTTGAGAAACAATTGTGTCGACGGTGTCGACTTTTAAATAGATCTGGCACTTTGTGGCCTGCGACGAATGGCTTGCGCCTTAAACTAATTTCAAACACATTTCCGCCCTTTAAAACATGTATACGATGTATACTTAAAAGTCGAACCCTTCTCGTATGAATGACCCCACATGATGACATCATATTGAGGGGAGAAACTTATTCGAGTAGCAAGTTGTTAAGAACAGACTGATTTTCACACACGTGAGACAATACGCTTTAATTTCTTATTATACTTTACTTTTCAGGTGAATGTCTCTTTTTTAATATTGAATTTTTTCAGACTGACCTATTAATTACCATCGAAATACTAGAGATAATAAAAATTATTTTAAATAGTTTGTAACACTTCCACTAACTATTTCTTTGACATTTTAATATCGTTGCATAGTTAATTGATTATTGTCATTATTGTTTACCTATTGGCCCGTTGTTATTCATGTCTAAAAATCCAAATAATTTTTGAAAATATGTAAAATTTTTATGTTTAAATTTTTAGAGACGAAAAAAATAAAATTTTAATGGTTGTGGATTATTTACATAGTATTCAAACTTTTATATATGATTTGAGTATAATCCCGTTTAGTGCAGTTTAGTGCCTCTGGCGAAGGGTTTATAAGCTTGTACTTGATCGTCGAAAATATTGAACAGTGCGTGAAAAAAGTAATCGATACAGTCCCTGGTTTGGTTTGGCTAAACTTTTTACACATTGGTTTTCTGTTCACTCGATTACTTTCTTCGTTTTCAATGGCTTCATTTTTCGATTTAGGAAAGGATATACTCGATGCACTTTTTAAGTAATTTGATTAACTAATTTGTTAAATTTGGCATAAACAATTTTTTTTATTTAAAACTTAGAAAAAGCTGATAAAATTTATCTCTAATTTTTAACTAACATGTACAAAAATTAAGAAACTTTATTATTTTAATACTTAGCTGCTAAATTGTTTATTTTTTTTTCAATTGGGAATAAATATTTTTATGTTTATTTGAACAGTTTGCTTTAGAGTGTAACAATTTTTATTCAAATAATATTTAAATTTGACAAATTTTAGAACTTCTTTTGTTGTAAGAAAATGTATAAATAATATAATTAAAAAAAAAAAAAAGTGTTCAAAGAAGACTCGTTCACTTTGGCCCTGAAATTAGATTTCGTTTGATATTTTACGATTCAAGGTTCAATTTCAATTGTTGTTTATTCAATATATTAATTCAAGTATCTGTTTGGTTCTTTGTTTTATGAATTTCAATAAAGGAAGGGTTCGAAGCCATCCAACCAATTTGGCAGATAAATTGCTTACACTGTAATACTGTAAAAAGAAGTGCGACATTATTAAATAAATTCTTTGTAGATTTTACTATATTTCAGGGTTGCCACGCAACTTGGAAACCTGGAAAAGTCAGGGAATTATTAAAAAAAAAAATTGGAAGAATTTTAGTTGAAAATTCTAGAAATGAATAATCGTAATGATGAAAAGAATTTTTGAAGAAGTTACAATAACAAAGTAGCAAGTTTTAATTATTATAAAACATGAAGGAATGGATTGCTCCGAGTCGAAGACTCGGAGTGATCGATATCTTCATGTTTTATAATAATATTGTTATTGAATTTCAAATTTTTGAAAATTTTAATTTCTGTATGAAAAAATAATAATGATTAAATATTTATTTAAAAATGAAGTAATATTTTTTTATTTTCCTTAGAGCATCGAAATATTGAGGATATTCCAGGTACGTCCTAGGGATATCCTCAGTATCCCGATGAGAGGGTTTAAAACAGTTTACGCTCAATTACCCACTTTGATGAAGGATATGTAATTTGTTCGATGAAAGAGCGAAACAATTTATGCATCTCTATATTCTTTCTCTTAAGTAATTTAATGCCCAATTAACTATAAATTATATAAACAACTTTTCTCCATCCCAGTAGCAAATATACTTTCTTTGTTACAAAAAAATCACAATATCATTTATTATAAAAAAGTTATTTGTCTATTAAAAAAATAAATAGTATATTTTCTGGTTTTTTTTGTTCATCGATTTTAGATAAATTTAGAAAAAAATCAGATATCAACGGAGTAATTGACGATTGCTGTGGGGTTGATTTTCGTTTCTCATCCAGATTTATCAGATGTTCTTATCAAATATAAATCGTTTTTTTCTGGATTCCTTAATTAATTGCTAAAGTTTCCAAATTTGGAAAAAATGAAAACAATTAAGAAATTAATAATTTTATATTGTTGATTAATTTATTACTGAGGATTTTTTGTTAAAAATTGTATTTTTCAAGTTCTTGTGTACAGAAACCTTTCTAATTGGATATAATGTTCAGCTTGATGCAGTTTTCAACCGGAGATTGACCCGCTGCTCGAGGTTCAATCGATTTTGTCCTTTAATTAGCAATTTCCACTGTTTTTTTTCACCAACTTTTGTTTCAATTATCGCATTCTCGTTTCAATGGTGTTTAATTCAGAAAATATTTTTAAAACAATGTTTCTAAATTTTTTATAGAAAAATTCGCACAATATCCCTTGTGCTTTTTTATTTAAACAACGAAAATTGAAATTTTGCAGAAAATAAGCCGCTTTGTATTGAAATATATGCTAACTTATTGTCAGCTGTATTAATATCCAGTTGAACCATTTTCCTGAATTATTTGCAAACAACGAAACTTTTCCTATAAAGATGATTATTGGCGAAAAATTTCCATCTCCTGGCATGCTGCCAATGTTAACGGTGCTTTTATTTCTTTCGTATCTGAAATACAAAAGTGGAAAACGAAAAGTGTGACTATTGAGTTTCCTGTCAGAAAATACAATAAGACTGTCGAAAGAATTTGAATTTTGACTGCTAACGAAAATTTCTTTTATGGCTGTTTATTAAAATATTTTAATAAACTAAAAAATTGTTTGTAAACGAAGAAGAGTGCTCAGAATTGTTGAGCATGTTTCTTTTTCCTCTTTTGACGAAATACCGGAAGCTCTTTAGATTTTTAGGCATACACTCTCGTGCACTTGGAGTCGTGCCAAAAGTTGACAACAGGCCCATTCAGGTCGAGTTCCGAACGATACACTTGCCGACGTGGCTGCGATTCTAATTTTTTTCATTTTTTCTCCCCGTCACTTGAAGACACATTGATCAATAGGCAGAAAAAATCGTCTCTTTCACGAGCCAATGTTTGACGAAATAGCAGAGGATGCAATAAGACCGATGAGTAGTCTGCCGAAGGAAAGTATTAGTCTTGAGGGAATTTCTAAGGATTCAGGGGATTCAGTATTTTTCTTTCGTCTCAACCGTCTCAACTCTCCAATCTGCATGGCCAGTATCCAAAATTGTTTCTTCAGTAGAAAATTCTCACTCAACTTCTTTGCCCATATTCCCTTCTTTTAGTTTGAAAAATTCTCTTTACTTATTCTAGTTATCCATTCTTTTATAAAATTGTATTAATATCGAATTTTTTCTTTTTCAGGAGATTCTTTGCATAGTACACCGTTAGATCGAGCATATAAAAGTAAAGTTTTAGGACATTATCCGGATTCTGTGCCATGGAATCCATTCGACTCACATGCAGTTTGCATGGTAAGAATTTCACTCAACATTTAAATTAGATATAGAGATAAAATAGCAAGAGAGGAATTTAATCAAGTCCATACTAAATAAAAAATTATTCTTTTGGCGCATATAGTTTTGGATATATTTTGCAGGCCTCGTACTCATATCTACAAAAACCTACTATTTAATAGCTTTTTTACAATTCGCTATTTGGATACTTTTTTTTATTTGTTACACTAAAAGCTACTTTTTTCCATGTTTGAGAATTTACAGTACTTTCAATTTGTTAACAGTTGAAATAGCAAAATTATTTCAAAAAATTTTAATAACGTTTTTGGAAAAAATTCAAAAAATTTTAATAAAATTCTTTAAAACGATTCAATTAGGTATTTAAATATTTATTTAAAAAAAACTATTCTATATTTGAATGTAATTAAGAAATACTACTTTTTTTCTGTGTTTAAGCTTCTTATTGGTACTTTTTTAAAATGAATTTTGTTACTTTTCCGTTTAGTTGTGTCTACCGAGCGGCCTCCGATTTCGCACTCAAAAACACGCGGTGGAGCCGATGTTTCACTCTTTTGTTCTCACGAAAGAAGACGGACACAGAACATATGGTTTCAGTCTCGTCTTCTACGAAGAATGTCGAAATCGGAAAATCTGCGCCGCTATGCAAACACTTCAAGCTATGCACATCACAGAATTAAGCAGTGGCCAAAATGGCTCATGCAATACGTAAGAAAAATAAATCATCAAAATTAAACTCTATGATTTGTTTTCCATATTTTTTAATTTTTTAATATTTATAAATTACATAAAAAACATAATTTGACTTTTATTTAAGTTTATTTATTTGTTTTAATTAATTTGTTACTTTGCCTTCCTTCTTTGTTGTTTCACTGTGAAGAAAGAAGGAACGTTTTTATTTTCGTTATTTTAATTTCGTTTTCTTTTTTGTTTCTCTTTCCTTTCTTTTTTTTTATCTATATAGAAGTAGTGAAGAAGAAGAGAATTTTCTTTCTAGTCAGAAGAAAGGTCAAGAAAATCATAATACAAGATCATTGCCAAGACATTTTAAATTATCGGCTCATTCACCTGGAGCCGCTTTAGCGTATTATGACTCGACCAAAGACAAATTATTAGTAACAAAATCGATAACCTTGCTCTGCCAACAACCTTATCTTCATGCTGCACGAACTTTTCTCACGAATCTCTACAAGTAAGTTTTCAAGAAATATTTTTATTTTTCCTCGAATTGCAACTCGAGAGACGTCAAGCAAAGTTGTGCGTTTTTAATTAAAAATCGTGATGTGAATTCGCATGAATGAAAGTTAAAAAGGAAATGAAAATATCCTTCAGGGCTGCCACAGGTCAGGGAATTTAGGGAAAAGTCAGGAATTTTTATTAAAATACTAGAAAAAAAAGTAATTTTTAGAATTCATGAAAAAATTCTGAATTTTAGTGTCTTTTTTGTTCGCCTCATAAACTATTAAATTACCACGAACTCTGATACGAAACCTTCAATTTTTTCAATTTCTAACAATAATTTCTTTTTAAATAACTTCATTCTTCAAGAACTGTCATAGAATAATTATTTGTAATTAAATTTTTTAATATGTACCTATTTAATTAATTATTAAAAATAATGGATTTATAGAAGAATTTTAATTTAAAAAGCACCAAAAAAATTACATTTTTGTGAAGTTACAAATGTTTGCAGAAATTGAATTATTTATTTATTTTCAAAAGTAATAAAATTCTTCGCTGAAATTCAATTATTTTCAAAAATTTTCCAAAAGAATTCAATTATTTAACAAATATTTTAATAGAATTTTACGCAAACATTTAATTATTTTCATAAATAATAAAAATTTCACAAGAATTAAATTATTTACAAATTGTTTATAAACGTCTTTGCAATAATTCCATTATTAAGTTAAATAATTAAGTTTTTTTACAGGATGACAATTATTTTCAAAAAATAAATGATTAATAAATAAAATTCTTTTTGGGAATTCAATTTTTTTGTTAATAAATCATGAAATAAAACTCATGACCGAATTTCAATTAATTTTAATACAATTTTAATCAAATTTCTCGTAAAATGTAATTATCATTCTTAAAAATTTTATGGAAATGCGTTGTTGTATTTAAAAAAAAATAATTTAATTCTCGTAGAATTTTCGAATAAAAATTAATTTAAAAATAAATTTCAGTTAAATTTTTAGATAATTGAATATTAAAAGCATTATATAGAGTGAATTTTTAGAAATAATTGAATTTTAAAAGGTTTTAAAGTTCAATTCTTTGAAAATCTGAATCAGAATATTCTTTATGGTCAGGGAAAAAGTCAAAATTTTGTCTGGAAATCATTGAAATATAAACTTGTAAATTGTATCGAGAAACATTATTCAAAGAAAATTTTTAGTTTATAAAATCTGCGCATATAAATATAATTTTAAATATTTTTGCCATTCATTTCTTAATAAAATGTGTAGTATTAAAATTAATTTCATTTTAAAAGGAGAAATAAAATATTTTTGATGAAAATGAAAGTTGACTATTTTGCCAAGTTGCTTTTAATGGTTGCACAACCAGTTCGACACAAATTATTGATTGCAAAAAAAATGAACTAGGTGATTACATAAAATCCAGAAATGGAAAGTAAGTTATTTCTCTCAAGTGATTAATAATGATTTCTAAATGGCAGTATTTTTTGTATTCTCATTTTTTAACAATGTCCTACAGTTTTTCAAATTCTAATGTTTCTGACAGTAATTCCAATCAATTCCAATTGTTCTATGGTTTAATTACTTTAAATACGTACATTTGTTAAGTAAGCTAAAATAAAAGTACTTAAATGTTAGACTGTGTATTCCTTGTTAATTGACAAAGTGATTGCTTAAATTTTATTAGTTCTCTCGTTGTGCGTATTGACCTTGGAAAATGAACTGAGTTTCTGAGTTCCTATTATGAAATTGCAATATATCATGGCAAATATTTAATTTTGTGGTTTTGTTCAATTATCTACGTTATTGGACACTGTAAATTGTTTTATATTAATACAGAAATATTTGAAATAAAGAAAATATAAATCGACTTTTTTATGTTTACTGATGATTACAAAATGAAAATTAAAAAAAAACCTAAAATAAGTTTTCAAGCGTCACAATAAAATAATGATACCTAATTAATAAAATTTCTGTTTTTTTACAGATGCGTTCCTAGACATCCAGGGCCAGGGCTAAGTTTAGAATCATACGTTTACAATCTTCTTTACAATGTTCCGGTTCCCCTATCTGGGAAATCGTTAAAATTTTTCGTTCCGAATGACGAACCGGCAAAATCTCCATTGGATTTGGTGATTTATCAACCTTCCCTGTCACAGGAATTACCACTCCTCGATTATCCAATAAAGGAGATGTTTTCTTGGCTGGGAGTCGATGTTGTTATTCAACTGTTCACCTGTGTCCTTCTGGAGAACCAAGTTTTGCTGAGGAGTTCCGATTTCCACAAATTAATGGTCGTCTCTGAATGTATGACTGCACTTCTGTTTCCCTTCTCCTGGCAACACGTCTACGTCCCCATTTTGCCCGCCAGTCTCTATCATTTTTTAGACGCCCCTGTGCCTTTTATTATGGGTCTCCACGCTCAAAGTGAGGGAGGAATTTTGAAAATTGCCAGCGAGGTGAGTACTTTTCGATATTACTTTTTTTGTCTCTTTTTCTGAATTTCAATACAATTACCGTATTTTCAGGCGAATTTATGTTATGTGGATATTGACAAATCGACGAGTCAATTTCCCGAGGAATTACCCGTTTTTCCACATAAAATGCAATTCATTGCTGAAATTCGATCTCTTCTGAATAAATACAAAGTACCTCACTTGGAAAAGTAAGTAAAGCGGAATCTTTTTTTTTTAAGGAAAAATATTTTAATTGTATTTAGCAACAAGTATTTTTTTCTCCAGGACTGATACTGTTGTTATGAATTATCTGAATGGTGATATCATGACGAGTAGTTTAACCCTTCCTGGTTCCGGAATTCATCTTCCCCGAAGAAAACATTCCTTGCACGATGTCCTTGATTGGGACAGACCTGAACCTCCAATGCAGACTGACGCCTTGCAAAGAATCGTTGATATTGTCAAAAGAACAGGTTCGTTTTACGTTTTTACAAACAAATTTCAAAATTATTATTACTGGCTTGCCACAAGTCAGGGAAATTTGAATTAGTCAGGAAATTTTATTAAAAGTACTAGAAAAAATTAAATTTTTAGACTTCATAAGAGAATTCTGAATTTTTGTGTCTTTTTTGTTTGCCTCATAAACTATAAAATTGCCAGGAATTCTTTTACAAAACCTTTAACTTTTTCCTTTTGCTAATTTACAGGAGTCACTTTGGATGATATTGAGTCGGCGGAAAATTTGACAAAAACTCAAAATATAACGTCCCATGAAGAATATCAAGAAACGCTCATTTTCAATAATGCGATACGGGAGATTTTTATGAATCGTTTCGTTCAGCTTTTTTCAAGTTACGACCATTTTGTTATTCATCCGAGTCAAGTGAGTGTCTATTGAAAATATCGCTTTTCTCGTGAAATTCTATTTTTAGCTCGTATTGAAAAAATGTTTCCATTTCTCTCAGGATAAGGACGAGTGGCTAAATAATCGGGACAGCATGCATGTTTTCGATAAAGCAACTTTTCTCTCGGATCAACCTGCTCAACATTTGCCCTTTTTATCCAGATTCCTTGAAACTCAAATGTTCGCCTCACTCGTCGATTGTAAAGTTATGTCAGCTTGGAATGAATTGGACTTCAATATTCGACTGTTCGACCAACGAATTTTTCAATTAAAGTAAATATCTGTTTTCTATAAATAATTTTTTCTACTTTTCTATTTTTTCCTTTTAACAAATTCACTTTTCAATATTATTTTTGTAGAAAAAGAGTTGGAGAAGGAATAATTCGATCACCTCGATATGAAGTCTGCACGAGTGTAACGGAAACGCAAAATTTGCTGGAACAGAGGCTGACTAACGTGGACTTCGAAGCAAGTCCTCCGACTGAAATAGTTCCACATAGAGCTGCATATTTTCGAAGTTTTCCTCTTTTGGATAGAACGGCCCTCAACAAAGAACCCGCCCAAAGGTATTCTTTTAATTTTAAGTATCTTTTTTCACTATATTTCCAATGTTTTAACACAAATTGTTTACTTCCCCGCTTTCCGCAGTATTCTTCGGTAAGAATAGTTATTTACCATTAAATTGTGCATTTTTTGTCGTTTTACCACGACACTGATATTGTTTTTAATGACAGGGCTCGAACTAGGTCCGTAACAGTGCGTAATTTCATTCAACAAGGATGAAAAGTTCGTAAATTGTACGATATAATTTGGAGAATTTTAGAGAAATTACAAATGATTGCAGAAAATCAATTATTTTCAAAAGTAATAAAATTTTATTCTTCGCAGAAATTCAATTATGTTCAAAATTTTTTTTGAATTCTCATCAAAATTACAATTATCTTTATAGAAATAATTAAATTCTTCTCCGAAATTCAATTATTTTCAAAAATTTTCCTCAATTCTATGAAATTCAATATCTACTATTTTCATCAAATTTTCCAAAAGAATTCAATTATTTAAAAAAAATGTAATTAAATTATACACAAACTTTTAATTATTTTCAAAAAATAATTAAAATTTCACAAGAATTTCATTATTTACAAATTTATTTATAAATTTCTTCGCAATCATTCAATTATTTTCATAAATAATTAAATTTTTACGGGGATTCAATTATTTTCGTAAATAATAAAATTATTTTTAGGAATTCAATTATTTTCATAAATAATAAAACTCATTGCAGAATTTCAATTATTTTTAATACAATCGAATTTCTCGAAAAATGTAATTATTCTTAAAAATTTTATTAAAATTCGTCGAAAGAATTCAATTATTTGAAAATTTGTTGATAACGATTCTTTATATATGGGAATTGAATTTTAAGAAACATTCAATTATTCAATAAATTATTTCTTTTTGTATTTAAATAATTGAATTCTCGTAGAATTTTCTAATGAAAATGGATTCAAAAATGAATTTTAGTTAAAATTTTAGATGATAATTGAATATTAAAAGCAATATGGCGTGAATTTTTAGAAATAATAATTGAATTTTTAAATTAATTTTTTTGAAAAAGTTTAATTGAATTTTTTTAATATTATTTTAAGTTTTTATTTTCTAATTTTTATTTAATTGAAGAATTTACGAATAATTGAAATTTCGTAAAGAAGAATTTTAGTTAAAAATTCTTGTAAATTATTTTATTATACTCGGTTATCTTTAATTATTAAAAAAACACAAAGAAATCGATCACTCCGAATCTTCGACTCGGAGTTATCGATATCTTCATGTTTTATAGTTATGAAAAATTGAATTTATAGTTTTAATAAAATGTTTTCTTATTTGACTCGGACTGGTTATATTTTTGTCACTAATTGGTCCGTAATTTTTCATTTTTGCCCCGTAAAGTCCGTATTTTTCGTATTTTTAAATACTTTTACTGGTTCGAGCCCTGTAAATGATGATTTTTGATTCCTTAGTTGATTTGTAGTAAAAATTAATTAGTTAATTAATTGCATTCTCTCATCAGCAGTAGAAGAGGACAAACCCAGTGGAAATACAAAATGAAAGCTCTCGAGTCAAATGGAAAAGTAACGACACCGCAAGAAACCCAGTCGCCCAGACCGCAGTCGAAATTTTCCGCCGACCTGAATCCAGCTTTAATTGCTCAAACGAACTGGACTTTCGTTGAAACCTTGTTGAGGGTAATTGCAAATTCCAAAAAATACAAATAATTAATTTTAATTAAAAAAAGATTGAAATACATACCTACAAAGTTAATTTACAATGAACTGAGTGATTAATTTTTAAAAATTGTAGGACTGTAAATCGAAAACGAAACGGATGCTGGTTGAGAAAATGGGATCTGAAGCTGTGGCTCTTGGACACGGAGGTGAATCTCTTTCGGACGTGGAGGAAAATACGTTGGTTGCGAGTCTTTGTGATTTGCTCGAACGCGTTTGGAGTCACGGTTTACAGAACAAGCAGGGAAAGAGTGCTCTTTGGTCCCATCTCAATATGTATCAGGAACTGGAAGACGCTAACGATACTTCAAAATCAGTCGATGCGAATTTTCTCTCTCCTGGTATGTAAACGAAATTTCTTCATTTCCTTCTTTTCTGTTATGAAGAAAAATGTCCTACATTTATTGAAAATACACTTTTGACAATTTTACCATTTTATCCATAGTGCAAACTGCAAACATAACACACAAATCATTTTTATTTATAAATGATAAAACACAAAAATTAATAAACGATTCCAGTCAACGCAGTTTTTAAACTGTAATTATTAATCTCTCATTTTACGTTAAGTGTTAAATTAAATTTCAATTTGATATTGAAAATGCAGCGTTGGCTTGGTGCGTGCTTCGGAAGCGGCTTGACTGTACGTTGCTCAACATTCAATCCTTTTAGTTTTATTTCACTTGCAATATGAGTAGTTTTTGTGTGACATGACTTTAAATCGAAAGGATTTAACCTTTTCAATTTTTTGTTTTCATTTCAAGAGTTTTAAAACTTTGCACATTTGTATATATGAAAAAATAAAACTTTCTTTCGGTTTTATTTGCACACTTTTTTGTAGTTTTAAGTGTTAAGCACCGCTTTTGATGTTTAGATATTAGTTTCACAAAATCGCAAACTTCTTGCTAACGGCGATGGAAATAATAACTTTTCTAACATTGTACAAACTTTTCCAAAAGTTTCGAAATTTTTTTATATATTTAATATGTTTAAAGCTGTATATTTCAATTTTATTTTCTACTTCTGACTAATTTTCTGCCTTCTAACATATTTTTCTTTTACAGACAAATTATTTTAGTTTTAAATTAATTTTCGCTCTGGAATTTAGAGGAACGATCTTTTTATTCTTTACGAAAATTCCTAGTATTTTTTCTGAAAAAAATTTTCATTTTTACTTTATTTTATTAAAAATTTTTTATTTTTAATAAATTATTAGACTGTTATTAATATTTTATTTTTATTATTATATTATTTTATGATTATTAATTAAAGTTTAATTTAATTACTTTTTGTTAATTTGTTGTGTTTATATTTATGTTGTAAATAGCAAAGAAACCTTCGACTAACTATTTTGGGTTGACGGACCGTTTCGTTTCGTCTTTAAAGGAGAAAAACATTTATAAAATCGCTACGTATATCAAGAACAATTTTAACGGTAAGCCGTCGCCTTTGGCTTCACCGAGACTTGTTTCTCTGCTCGATGATATTTTCCATAAACGACAAAATAAATAATAATAAATATTGAAAATAATCGTCATTTTCAAACCAAAAGTTTGAAAATTTATTAACAAATTTTTCCATTGGGCTTGTAACACGCACGTTTAATTGCATTTTGGTGGATTGTACTTTCATTTACTGGCATGTCTTTTATCTTCTAACAAACTAATCTATTTAATTTATATTTTCTTTACAGATTAATATTTTTATGATTGTTTTTATTTAGGAAAATATCTTTATTTTAATAATTGTACAAATAAGAAATATTTTTTTTGTGACAAGGAAATATGTTTTGTGAAATTTACCTTTTTTTTCGTTTGAATTTATGTAAAAATGTATTTATTTGCATGACGACGCTAATAAAACAAGGTAAAAATTGTAAATTACAGTTAATTTTTGAATTGAAAATTTTTGTTATTGCTCAAGTTATGATTTTGAATTTTAGACAATTTTTACATGAAAATAGTCAAGTGCATGTAACTTTTCAATTTACCTTTTTTATTTTTAATAATCTAATACACCTATTGATAATAAAAATACTTTTTCATGTATTATTTCGCTTTCGTTTTCTTTTTGTTTGAATTTATAAACAGATTTTGAGAATAATAGTTGCCTGCTGGATTTAAATGAATGCATTTTGGTTTGAATAATAAGTATTTGAAAGGGATGAAGAATTGATGAATTTTCTCCTGAAATCTTAGACTTATCGAACCTGGCTTTGGAAACGGACGTTTCGCCGACGAGAGGAACTGAAAGGAGTAGAACGCCGGTTGAAAGGAAATCAATAGGTCCTGAACAACTAAGACCTCTTCCCGAATCTTTAATCTTCGATATTCGAAATGTTCAAGCGATGACGGATATAAAAACTCACATTGGATACGCCAGAGCTTGGGTGCGACTGGCGCTCGAGAAGAAGCTACTCTCTCGACATTTGAAGACACTTCTCACTAATAGCGGATTGTTGAGGTAAGACGAGAATTTATCATTGCTGTATTTCTTATTTTTGAATTTAGTACTTTGGAAAATAATAATTCTGCTAAAATTAAAACAGGAACCAGTACAAGAGATCGGCATTTTTGCGCTGCGAAGAGGAAAAAGAGCAATTTCTGTATCATCTATTGACACTGAACGCTGTTGACTACTTCTGCTTCACTAATAATTATCCCTCCACAAAATTACCGTACAGGGTCGTAATATTTCCGAGCAGAAAGGCAAGCGCAGCGACAACTTCCGCCAATAGTTGGATTGCGATTTCCGGCACTCTCTGCGAGACGAATCCTGTTCCAATACCGAGAGGAGCACTCGAATTTGTCTTTCATGTAGGTTTTTGATTTAATACCAAATTTAATATTTTTATTTATTTATTTTATGCACTAATAACTAGGTATCACTGTTTTCCTTTTAGCACAAGAATCTGGGCGTTTTGTCGACTTTGCGAATTGGCCACGACAATGCGGGAGTGTCTCCAAAGTGGATGGTCGAGCACGTTGTGGTGCGAAACGAAGTGACGGGGCACACTTTTAAATTTCCTTGTGGACGATGGCTTGGTCGCGGTATAGACGACGGTTCCACGGAAAGACTGTTGGTGGGAGCTTTAGTTCCGAAGAGTATCGACAGTGAGGAATTGGTGGAAACGTGTTCAACTCCTCCACGATGCAGATCTCCTAGTATTCCCAGAAAACCTTCATTGTCTCAAAATGAACTTCAACACATGCTTGGTATTAAAATCAATTCTAGATGTAATTTAAAAAGTTTTTCTTCTTTTTCAATAATGGAAATTGAATATTTAATAAAAATAATAATCTATCTTTGATATTAATAGAATAATTAATAATAATAGTTTTTGTTTCTTTCTTTTTTTCTAAACTTTTTTAATAATTTTTCTTAAATGTTTTCAATTTTAAAATTAATGTAGTGAAAATCATTGAATTCTTGCAAAATATTTATCAAAAAATTTTCAAATAATTGAATTCTTTCGAGAAATTTCATTTAAATTGTATTGAAAATAATAATTGAAAATGAAAAATTCTTTAATTTTTTAAATTTGCTGGTAAATTAATAAAGAAATGAAACTAATATTTAATATAATAAATTGACCATTCTTTCAAGTTTCATCGAGATTGGGGAAAAAGTCAAAATTCTGTCTGCAAATAAAGGAAAAACAAAAACAAATTTTAATGACAACTCTGGATTAATTTTCAGTTGAGAAAATTAACTGAAATTCGTAAAAATACTAACAATCGATTGCATAATTTTTAGGAGAGGCTGTGAATTCAATAGTGAAATTTCATTATCGAAGGGATCCACAGGAAGGATCTCTGACTGCCTTACTTTGTGGAGAAGGCGGTCTTGTTCCATCACTCGAACAGATTTTTCTCTTTGGATTTAAAAACCAGAGGATATTTGGTCGCAACTTTTTCGTATGGGATTATTTTTGTAAGTATCGAAATAATTGATAAAAAAATAAATTTTGTTCAATATTGTTTTTCAGCAAATTTTATGTTTTGAATCTGTTTGCATATGAACTTTACTGAATATTATTTTGATGTTTCGGTTGCTTGGATTAAGAATATTATTTCTATTATTCTTATTTTCCCAGTGCGAGTGAAGGAGAATTTCGAAATGACATTACTTGAAGAAATGGACCAGTACTCGCAGAGACTCGGCAGAGACAGAAGAGGTCACATGGAGAGCAGTCACAGATTCGCAATTTTGCGATGCTATTGCCACTTGATCGATCAAATAAACACTTTCAGTCAGACCCTTGGAAAGGATGGAAAGTTCCAGTTGTTCGTTTGCCTATCCGCAAGGTTAGGCACATTTCTTAATAATTTTCAATTTCTTTTCTTCTTTTTTATTATTTTCCCAAACAGTTTCTTACACAAGTTTTAATTTTTGTAGAGAACAACTACTGCATCCGATGCTGCGTCCGATGAGCGAGGCACGAAGCACAGTGGAAATGTACGAAGAGCTTTCCTTTCTCAGAAACGCAACGTTGCTCACGTTCCTAATTCAAATTCTTGAGCCTCTCAGTGAATTTCACATTGTTCTTGAAAAAAGTCTCACTCATGGAATTTCCAGTCTCTGTTAATTCGTGGATCTTCCGATAATTATTCCTCGTCGCTAATTTCCCAGGCAGTACAAGATTAGTTTTAAGAAATTATATAGAATTAGATTGTTAGCGGGGGGAAAAAATACTCCGAAGCGAGGTAACCAGAAGCTTCGCAAATTGAAAGTTCAAATTTTACGACCTTTTTACATATATTATATTGAAAATCGTTTCCAGTGAGAAATTCAAATTCGAAATTTAAAAAGAAAATGTGATTTGAATTTGAAAGCGTCGATTTGACTCTCAGTCCTAAGATGAAACCAAAGATATGATCTTTTGCACTATTTCGTTACCGCGTGATTGACATTATTTTACGAAAATACTCATTTTTATTGCTGTTGATCTTTTTTCTTTACATGTAAGTGAGAATCTCGATAAAGATTTTATTTCTTTCCGCATGTCGTGTAAATAAATAAATGTAGTTAGAGAATTATTTTATTTACTTTTAGTTTGTTTTTAAATCTGTTTCTAATCAATTTCTTTCAAAATTGGAAAATTTTTCGATTTTCTCATTGATTTAAAATCGACTTCTAACTTTTTCTTTTATTGTAAAGTGAAACTGAAATTGTAAAGTGGACTGAATTCTCATATTCTAAAAGATATTAAAAATTAAAGGAAGTTTAAATGATTTCAAGCAAGCTAGTAAATTGTCTATTCTATGAAACTAGTGATTCAAATGTCTCGATTAGATATTGTGCACATGTTACGTAACTAATATTTTAGCATATTCAGTTTGAAAGAGAACAGAACTAGGAATACGTTTGTCCTTGTTTGAGAGAAAAACTTTTCTACCCTCTTTGTATGCGATGTTTGTTGGTTAATTGTAAGTGCATTTTAATGTCCTGAACACCCGTGAAAGTGAGAATATACGGATTTTGTACATAAAAAACGTCCAAATGCACAATAAAAAATAAAGTAATATAATTAGTCATAAAAGTGATTATGGACCAAAACGTAATATCGATTTTGGTGAACGTGTGTGATTTTTGACATTCTTCGCTCTCTACTAACTATTTTTTAAAAAATTCTATAAAACTGCCCAAAATGTTTCAAAGTAACAAAAATATCTCATTTAAACTTTTAGCCCTTTTCAGTTTATTGTTCAACAAAGTGTTATTTATCATTCGTCTAAATAATTTCTCATTAGAAATCTTTTTAATTTTTCTACTTTCAAATTTTAAATATTTTTCCAAATTATGTCCAATTAAATGTCTGTTTTTTTCCTTCAATTATGTACAATGTACAACTTTGTGCCCAAATCTCATACTCAGGAATAATTTTCTTCGTTCGATAAATATTATCATGTGCCAAAAGTGGGTTTTTCAAAAATGAGTTTTTTTCAGCAGCAAATTAGAAAAATCATTTTATTCAGACATTTTGAGAAAGAAAAAAAAATTTGATATTTAGACAATGATGTCCAATGTGTATTTTAATTCTTTATTTTCACATAAATAAATATAATTAAAGAAAAAGATGCTATTAGAATTTAAGATAATTTATCGAGAAAAAATAGGAACTTTATATTTCAATCTCGAGTTTCTTAACAACTCCAGATTTGTTAAAAATAATAATAAATAATAACAATAATAAAAAATAAAAATTAATAATAATATAGTAATTACTACATTAAAAATTACACTTTTTTGCCCTATTAGTAAAAACGTGAAATTCTTCGTTAAAGTGTGAAAATTTTTTTATAAAAATTAAAACGAGTTGATAAAAGTAAATCAAGAATAAATTGTTAAACTTCTCTCGTAAGGGAAATTTTTTACTTGAGATTCATTGATATTTTTCCGATTTTACTAGTAATATTTTCGAAATGAAGATATTCATCAATTTTCAAATGATTTTCAGAATTTTAAAATTATTCTCGACATTAGCGGAATAAAAGTGGTTTTACAGAAAATTTTAATTGTATAATTACAAATGTGTTTTAATAAGTGAAATTGTCCTGCACTTTTTGTAAATAAAGCGTAACTTTCTCGAATACAATTAACAAAACTCGAAATTCACTTTGAGAAGAATGTCTATTATGTGATAGAGATTTATAGATGTAAATAAAATATATGTAATAGAAAATAAAATGTACAGTAGAGTAAAAAATTATATAACCTATACTCGAAATATATATTGACGGTGAAAAAGGTTCATATATTTGACTTGACTTTTTTCCAATCAAAAAACAATTCTTTCCAAATATTGTACAATTTTGAAATTAAAACAATTTTTTTACTGTTCAAATTTGATAAAGATTACAAAATCGAACTAAAATAAATTGATATTCATGTGACTTTTATTATTTTGATTATTAACGGACTTTGGTTGATTTTGGACTTTATCAATTTATAATATTTATTTCGTAATCACTCAAATATCTAATCAAAATTGTGTCAATTTTGTTGTTCCAAAAATAAAGAACTTTGCAAACATTTAATCTATATTAAAATTTTGTCATTAATTTCCAATCTGAAATTATAGAAGACAAAATTTTAAAAAGCATTTTTGCAAAGCATTAATAAACAAAAGAATACATGGGAATTTTATAAACTTTGTGATAAAAAAGAAATTACTTGAGAGGAGTAAAGTTTTCATATTAAAATGTCACATTTAACAATAAACAGGAACAGGTATTTACAAATGTGTTTAACAATGTATTTGTTATCGAAAATATCGATTCTGAGGTAAAAGAAGAAATTTCCCGTAAACGATCTGATAAGATTTTAATCTTTTGCGAAAAAAGAGTTTATAAATATTAAGTAATCATGATTTTAATTTTTAAAAGCATCTGTTTTAGATAGAAGAGTTTTAATCGAAAAATTCCCCTCATTCGCATTCGAGGCGATTATAATTCTTCCTTGTTAATTATTAGTAAAATAATTTTACCAAATAAACTGTAAATATGGCCAATTTTCTAAGTTTTTCATTTTTAATTGTTTGTGTCCTACTTCTAGTACAAAGGAATTTATCATCGCCTATTGTAAGTTTTTTACTCTAAATATTATTTACTTTAATAAATTTTGTCAATAAAAAAAGCGTCGTAAAATAATTAATAAAAATATTTTCCTTGATCGGTAAATCAAATTTTTTTTCTGGAAAAAAACGTAAATTAAAAATTTTTAATGTTAATTCTCGATATTATGGGCTAGTAAAAATGGTAAAAATTTATCACAATCAAGTTTTTTTTCTTACAAGTGTTAAAATTTCTTAAACTGCGACTACATAGTTGGAAATTTTAGATAGAATAATATATTAAAAGTACAATTTATTGTACAAAGTTCATTAATCATTCAAAATTTTAAGCCCCTGGGCCCCTGTCAATCTTACCTGTGAAATTCTTTTTCAGGTAGGTGGACAAAGCAGAATTGATGTTTACCAACCGGACATTTTGAAGTTTATAGAACTTGCTAGAAAAGAATATTCCGGAACTGTACAAAAAACATACGAACCTATTATTATTGAGGTTAACAGAGCTACCTCACAAGTTGTCTCTGGAATAATGTACAGAATTAATTTAACATTCGCAGCTAGTATCTGTAGAACCGGAATTAAAAATTGTCCTCAATTAGAAGGTGGAAAAGAGGACAAATGTACCTTGGAAGTATGGTCGCAGCCATGGATTGATAATGGTTCACCAAAGTATAAATTAATTTGTTAGAAGCGTAATATTTATAATTAATTATATAAAACGCATTCCTAATTAATGTATTTGAGAAAATTTTAATATATTACTAATTTTAATTTATATTTTATTTTAATTAATTACATTAAAGTATAAAGCGTTATTGTAAACATGTCTAAAAGATGTTAAAAGTAAATTAAAATATAACTTTTGTGGCCCTGAATAGGGTCGGTTGTTTTCTAAAATGATGAATTGAGTAATGATGTGAATATTATTAACCGCCAAAATCATAAAGAGTGCGGCCTTGACGTTTTAGAGCAAAGACGACATCCATAGAGGTTACAGTCTTCCTCTTGCCAAGTTCGGTGTAAGTAACAGCGTCACGGATTACGTTCTCAAGGAATATTTTCAAGACATCAAGAGTTTCTCCGTAGAAAAATCCAGAGGTTCGTTTTTCTCCTCCACGACAGCCGCTCATTCTTGAGAAGATAAAGTTCGTACGTCGACAAGATGGAACGATGAAAGTATCAAACATCGAATGCAGTTGACCAGTTTGTGCCTCTATTTATATACTGTCGAGAGTCACATTTCTCCCACCACACTCCAATCAACCAATCATGGTTTCGTTTCCCCTTCTCTTCAACTAAGTGGAGGGGGAAATTGCGCGATACCTATATAAGTATGGTCGGTTTTGCGCAACCTTTTTTTACTTGCTATTCGTCAGTTGTACTGTCTACTTGTTTTTTTACGTTGAGATTTATTTATCATGGTATATGTCGAATTTAACTACTCACAAACTTACCTCTGCGTTAAACACCAAGAAAGTATCTGGCCTCTGAAGCTATCGGAAAAAACTCGCCTAGAAATGGTGAGTGAAAAATCCCCATATTTGCAGGACAGGAACTTTTTTTAGATCAGAAGAGCACTGAGATCCTTATTATTAAACTTCTTTTTCAACTTTTTGTTCGTGAAATAAGTAGCCCAGAATTTCAAAATAAAATTGCGATTCCAGAAGCGCCGTCATGTCATGATCGCTTTTCAGAAGAGCTAACGGTGCTTGGTCTATTCGAAAACGTTAATTTTCACATATCACTATCTCATGGTCACTTGCTGACAAAATTGATATGTGACATTCGACTGCAAAGGCATAGTAGTAGTAGTATAAAAATTCATTTTAAGTAAAAACTATGTCACGCTTTTTCGGACTGATTTTTACCCCCTCCCCACTTCGTCACATTTTTACATACAAAAAAATTTTTTTTCCATCACACTTCGTCACACACTGCTTGACACCCCCCACCCCTAGGAGTGTGACGTAGTTGGTGAACGACCCCTATGTTAATAATCGTATTTTGGTAATCTGTTCGCAGTTTAAAGTTGTTTGCTTCTTAGTTTTCTAATTTTTTAAAAATAATTTTTCTTCTTAAATATTTTCAATTTTAAAATTAATAAATTGAAAATCATTGAATTCTTGCAAAGAATTTTATTAAAATATTTGAAAATAATTGAATTCCTTCCAAGAATTTTATTATTTGGGATAATAATTGAATTCTTGCGATGAATTTTACTATTTATAAAAAAATTGAATTGTTTAGAAGAATTTATTAAAATTTTAGAAAATAATTGGATTTTTGCAAAGATTTTACTATTTAAAAAAATAATTGAATTGTTTCGAAGGATACTTATTAAAATTTTAGAAAATAATTGAATTCTTGAAGAATTATATTAAAATTTATGAAAATATAAACAATAATAATTAATTATAAAATTTTGATTATGAAATTATTCAAAAATTAGTTAATTATTAATAATTATAAATAACTTGTTAGAAATACAAAACAATAACATAAATTTGATTTTAAAACTTTCTTTATTAATATTTTAAAAATAATTTTTAACGGTCCTTGTTAAAGACAATAAAATAAAATATTGTAAAGGTTGGTAAATAGATAAAAAAGAATCGATTTTGTATAAAATATGAATACTTTATTTTGAATCGACTGTGCGCCTTTATGACGCACAAGATATGTACAACATGTCAGGCATTTACATAGTGGCGAATTAACTTTAAAAGATACGCTAGAATGTGTTAAATTTAAAACGATTTCTGTGGGCTAGTTAAAAGTAGCTACAACAACAAAAACGTAAAGAAACGTTTTCGTTCTGATTTCTCCACTTAGTTTAAATCATTACTTCATAATCCCGAGACCATGCAACGTAATTACTTGGTCTCGGGCTCGAATTACTTCAAATGCTCTCTTTATAAACTTTATCAAACAGTTTATAAGACGCCTTTGATCTGAGGTAAGCGGTTGAATTTTACTTCTTGCGTTGTAAACTAAAAGAACTCACTTTACACAAATATTCGATCTGCGCGTACTCTTAACTTTAAAATTTAAAAAAAAAAACTAAAATTGGAACTGAACTTTGACCTTTTTGGATTTATCTAGTTAATTTTAAGAACTCGAGCTCTTCTCCAAAACACTGACTTCCATGCAATGAGAATACAAAATAACAAATTACAAGTGTTTTGCAGACGAGCAAAAGTGGTAATCGCAGTTTCGAGAATCGTGTCGCTGTTATTAAATGTCGGCACTTGACGCGTGGGATAGAATTTTTTCAACGGGCGAGAAGGGGAAATACATTAGAAGAATGAGTGAGAAATTAAATGACTAGATCTTGAAAAATCGCGTTTCAATTTTCATCAATACTTAATCAACGTCGTTTCAATTTCAATAGACGTGAATCAGATGATCGAAAACCACCCAAAGTCCCGATTTTCAAACTGCGACACGATTCGATTATTGGAATTATTGCCGAAAATAAATCGAGTTTAGTACAATCATACACCTCGAATTTTTATTTTTTAGAACAATGAACTGCGATGTGACGCGCTGCATCTTTTTTTTATCATTTTTTTTTTCTTTTTTCATCCATTCAAAAGAGCATACATATTTAACGGCGATCTCGGTGCTCGAGATATTTTATATTATTTCATTCCTATTCATTGTACTACAATTTGGTTGACAGTAAAATTATGAACTAACTAGTTTTTATCGTGGCGTCGTGCTCGCTACGTAATAGCCGAAAAAAGCCAATCATCATCTTTCGGAATATTTGACAAAAAAAGTCGAAAATCTCTAACACTTTGGTGAATTAAAAAACAAAAATCATTGCACAGAATTGTTGTGTTCGCGAGCGCAACGCCTTACTGAAACTCGAGTTGCTGTCTTTTTTATTCAGATGAAAAATCTTTTATAGTATTTTTCGATGTAATTTATTGGTTTTATAAATAAGGTCAATAATGAACAGTTTTCAACTGTTTACATATTTGACAAATAAAAAATAAATTACTATTTTCATTTTTTGAAAATGAAAATTCGTTTTTTAAGGAGAAATCATAATTTTAAAAAAATACTTTTCATCGAAACTTGGTTTTTACTATGAAACTAGGTATTTTTGTTTCTAAGGTTACATTACATTTTACAATTTATTGATGTCTATTCTTTTTTGAGTCATCAGTTTATTGTAAGTTTTTTTTTCATTTTTTTTAAATGTAATTTTTTCTTTTTTGGAACTTTTTTTTAATGAGAAAATAATTTTGCATAAGAAAATATTTTTTTAAAAATAAAAATAATTTTTTGTAAACATACAAATTGAAAAACAACTCGAGCGTGTAAATTTAATTGCTAACCAGTCTATTGTGGTTCCTGCGCTGCTAAGACTTGACTATGAATTGCTGCTTGCGCATCGGAGAAGAGCACAAAGAACGAAAAAAAATTGCTCTTTTGCTTAAAAATCTACGCCATTCGATGCTTAAAATTAGGAAAAAATGTTGGTCATTTTCTCAATTAAGTACTAAGAAATATTTTTTGTTTCTCGCACTCCGGTTCCCGTGAGGGTTTCTTTTTACATACTTAAAAAAAAACAACGCTCAAAAATTGTTCTCACTCACGCAATATGCTATCTCAATCGCATTCCTTTTTTTACAAGTGTAGATTTACTTATATATTAATTCTTACAGTTACATTCTTACAATTTGACGTGTATTTACAAAAATTTTCTGCGTTTCGTTTGCAAACAATTTTTTTTTCTTTTTCTCCTTTGTTTTTCTATATATATATATTTATTTATATATTATATACGATTGCTATTTTACAGTAAAGAGTCTTATTAATTGAATGTAATATGGAAAGTAGAATTTATTGAGGAAATTTTCCACAAGCTTCGTTCAACTCGTTTTACAAGTATAAAAGCAAAAATGAACATGTTTCGAGAAGAGAAAATAAAAGGCGGAATACTTTTGAAATAAAACTGAATAGACTGGAAATATCTTTGATTTGGTAATGGATCTCTTCACTCACACATTAATACATTCGTTGTTGCGCTTCGGCTTATTCAAATTTCGAAATTAGAAAGCCAAATTATCGGATTTACAGCTACACTTAAAAATATTGAAAAAATCCTGAGAGATGAAAATTCAATTTTTGAATTTGCAGTTTCAGCTTTTAAATTTCCGGGATTAAAATTCAATATCAGCGGACAAAAAGAAAAGGTTTACGCAGATAAACAATAGTATCAAATACAATGCTGATAAACTTATCAATTCGTTGCTTCCTGCCTACCTAATATTTTTTATATATACACGCGCTAAATGACTCGATATGTCGACTATTAATGAATTTTTTTTTCTTTTTCGCTTTCTCGATTATTAATGATTTTTTTTTCTTTTTCGCTTTCTCGTTAGTTTGACCGTGATACAGATAATAATAATCGTCGGCTAAAAATTAAGTATACTTAATTAATTAATGTGTAAAGCGTATTGCATTGCCTTCCCCCAGAACGCCTCCCACATGATCGATTTTTCATTTCAACAAAGAAAATTGCCTCGCAAAATGTTTTTTTTCTTTTTTTTTTGGTTTTAGTTTCATTCCGACGACAATTTAAAAAAAATCTTACGGCCGTCGATTTGTTGGGAATCTTCGAAATTGAGAAACTTTTCTTTGAGAAAAGTTTGAAACCACCACGAACCAATCACGATCCAGAAGGCGTTGCTTTTGTGTGCACTAAATTTTCGATTGTGATTCACACCACCCTCGGCTTCAATCTCTTTCGCAATTTTTTCACAATCTCCCCCGATGGGAATAAATTTGAAGAAAAGTCCCTGCCAGGACAAGATTTTTGTTTCGAGTCTTAGAAGTGAACATCTCGAACGTCTGTTGGCGTGCCAGCTTTCTCGTGCTCCAAAATCTTGTCCTGACTAGAGGTCTGGTCCCCCAAAGGCCTTTGTTGTGACGCCATGGAGCCTGAGGATTGTGATGCTGCTGCAGACACCTGGTGAGCGTTGCCGCCCCTCGCTTCTGTGACCATTTCCTCGATCTGACCCAGACATCCTTGGAGATAATCCTGTTATAAAAAAGCATGACATTAGTTCGCTTTTACTTTGTCTCGAGTTATTATTTCTTCCGGGAAATCGAATTTTAAGGGAAAAAAAGTCAATGAGTGGAGAAAGAATTATTGCTTTCTTTATGAAAAAGAAACTATGCGATTAATTTAAGCAGAGTTCCGCTAACAAAACAAACAATAATTCAAGGTCACAACTTTTCGAACTAAATCTATTAATAATTAGTATTTGATGATAAAAAATTGTTTATAATTATCATAAACAGGGTTGCCACAGGTCAGGCGAAAGTCAGGGATTTTTATTAAAATTACTGAGAAAAAATTAGATTTTTAGAATTTATAAGAAAATTCTGAATTTCTGTATCTTTTTTGAAAAACTTTAATTTCAATTCTGTTGAAATTAGTTTCAATTTTAAAAATTTTAACGCAATTATTTGAAAGAATTCAACTATCTTAATAAATATTAAACTTCTTTCCAGAAATTAAATTATTTTCAAAAATGTTTAAAAAATTTTCGTCAACATTTAAATTATCTTTATAAATAGCAAAATTAATTGTAAAATTCAATTATTTTCATAAATAACAATATTCATCACTTATTTTCAAAGAATCCAAAAAAAATTGTCAACATTTCAATTACTTATCTTTATAAATGAATAGCAAAAAAAAAAAATTGTTTGAAACTTTTTTTAATAAAATTCTTCGCAATAATTTAATTATCTATTTAAAAAAAATAAAACTCATTGCAGAATTTCAATTATTTTCAATAAAATTTCAATCAAATTCCTCGAAAAATTTAATTATTCTTAAAAATTTTATTAAAATGCGTCGAAAGAATTCATTTATTTAAAAATTTGTTGATAGAATTATGCATAAGATTTATAAATGATTTTCAGTTAGAGATAATAATTGAATTTTGGAGAAGTTACTAATAATTGCAATTTTTGGAAATAATTGAATTTTATAAAAGTTTTAAATTAAAATCTTTGAAAATTTGAATTTTTCATACTTTGTTAAAAAGACAAAATTTTGTCTAGAAATCAGGGAAAAACAAAATTAAATTTTTGTAGCAACCCTGATAAAGTTCTGAACCCTTTTTCTTTTTTTTTCGACAGAGAAGCTAAAATGCAGTCTAAAACTTGGGATAGAGAGAGAAATTTCCATCTCTTTTAATTAAAAATGTGTAAAAAATGGCAGATTTGAGAAATTCCAGAGAGAGCAAATATTATTGCAAGTTGTCATCGTTCCTAAATATTTCCCAGCCTTGATTATTCTAGGAAGTCTTATTATTATTTTTTTAAAATACTTTTTTTTTGCAGCAAACGTCTAAAAGAGAGGAAGGACTTCCTGCTCTTGAGTCTCGGGCAAAGTCTGAAGAAAATATTGCATTTATGGGGCATGGACCCCATGCCAAGTCCATTCGTTTGGGTTTATTTATACCGTCAGGGCATCAAGAAGACCTATCGTAGATTCTAGAGACGCCTGTTGAATCTTCGACAGAACTAAAAGGGAGAAAGAAAGACAGAGAGAGAAAGAGAGAAAGAGAGATTTGCGAGCTGGTGGTTTTTGCGAAAACATGTGCCCGACACCTGTTGCCCTCTTCCTTCATATTCTCCACGCTTCTTTCTCGATCATTCTCTTCCCGCGATGTTTTTTGTTCTTCGTCGCCAAGACTCATGAATGGCTCCTTTTCGCACCACCTTTTTTACTCACACCACACAATCCTAATTTTTAAAATGCAATTTTAATCTCACACGCCATCATTTACACATTTACACATTTACGCCGCCTATTCAGTTTTCTCCACTTTCAAATTACAGACTTTTAAGATAAATAAAAATACCCATTTCAGTAAATTTTTGTTAAACGTTTGCGTACAAAAAATTGGGGTGTTGTGATAATACCCACATCTGAATTAATAAAGGCATGTGATACTTATTGTGTGATGAATGTAAATATTTTAAATTTTGGAATTCGTCACGTCTGCCATTTTTTCTTCATGTGGACGTTTATTAACAGATAAAATACTCACTCGTTCGATAGCGGTTATGCGGGTAAGTTCATCCAGGAGGTAGGAGAGTCCAAAACCACTTTTTCGCGTCCAATCGAGACCGTGAAGAGCGGCAGCGATACTGGCAGCGGCAATTATACTCGGAGTGTACATCAAAAATTTGAATTCTGCAAAAAAGGGAACAAATTAAATGTTTTAGTCTCTTTTTAAATTTCTCACTATATTTCAATTTTCTAAATTTGAGAACCATTCGCAAATGGTGGTAAGGCCCTTGAAAATTTTTAACACTGAGCAGTAAATCTCTAAAGGTAAAAATGAGTCACACTCAAAGTGAAAGGTAAATCCTTTTTTTGTCAAAAGCCTCACAAAAGCAAAACTTGAAGTTCAATTTCACTTTTTCACGGGAATTTTTCTACCTGGAGAAAAACTATATAGGTTTCTTTTTGAAAACCTGCGAGAACCCCAATTTTACAAGGTCTCTGAAAAATCTTCAATTTTGGCCAACACCTTAAAAGGCAATAAAGAAGGTAAAATTTTTTTCTCTAGCGATTTTTGGTCCATATTAAAGCAAACGACGACAATGTAGTTGATTTTACAGCAGTTTCAAACAAAGTTTTTTCTTCTCGCAGATTGTTGAAATTATATTTTAAAGTTGAATATGAGTTTTATTGTTGAGTTAAAGCAGTTTCAAACAGTAGTGAATCTCTTTTTGCGTGGTGGAAAAATAAATGTGAATTTAATGACAGTTGAAGAATTTTACGTTAGCGACTTTAGGTTTGTGGTTTTGAGTTCGGTTACTTATAGGCATCAATATACTGATATATAGCTACCTGTGGCTTATTTCAGAGCCGCCGCCTTTTTCCACAACGGTCTGTGGGGAACACTTAATGCTTGTGAGTAACGTGCAAATATGCGATATGTGAGCCCAGAGCACCATATTTCCCTAGAAGTGATATATATCTCGTCTCTCGTTGAAATATGACTTGAATTTGTCGCCAACTCGCATTCCTTTCATAATTAAAAATTAATAATTGTCACTTGGTGAATTTACTAAATAATAAATTTATAAATTTACTAATTTTACATTTACCAAATATCAATAATTCTTCTCTTCGGCTTATCTTGAAATTAATAAATACCGATATTTTTACAATTACAGGAATTAATGATAAATTTTCATTCGGCGATAATATCGCCGAATTGCCGAAAAAATTAAATTGTCGAGTTTACTTTTAAAGTGCAATATTGACTTGATCCGTGAGATAGATTTTTTGCACTCAGAAGCAACGAGTTAAAAGATACGTGAGGAATGTGGCATATATAAGTGTCACCGAAACGATAAGATGTGGGCTCTTTAAATCACCCTCTATCTCTAAAACAGATTCTCTTCTCACACGAGTTTAGATACGAGCGGAAGCAATTTCGATAGTCTTTCGCTGCTTCTGATACTCGAGTGCATCATTTAATTAATTTATAAAATTTCTTTTAATGTGCTCGAAATGAGAGGTAAATTATTTATTTTGAGGTCGATTACTGTGTCTATTTTTTACTATTCGTACGTGGCCAATTGCTGCATAATTTCGAGGCGAACCGGAAGGAGAAATCAGAAATAATTTGATGAGGCGTCAGTCGGTCGAACACTATACTCTTTATCGGATACGGGAGTGAGACTCAATTACGGATGCGCATATTTTTATTTCAAGGCACGCTTGGTCACCGTTAATTTGCGTAGACGAAAATCCACCATCGCAAAACTTGACAGGGTTGCGTGGCAACCTTGCTTGAGAAAGAATAAGAAAATACGTTTTTCAACTTTGACGATGAAAGGGAGGGGAAAATGACGTTCTTGTGCAAGTACAATTTGATTGAGTAAAAGTTGCACAAGATGGCCGCGAGTAAAAACTCAATTAGGAGGTCGTTTGTAGGCAAATTCTTGAGGCGCCTCGGTTTCGTACTTTGATCGTTATCCGTGACCCAGAGCGGGATTTGGTTTGCTTGTCGCTGTCGGGTGGCTAGTTTGCTTCGTGAGAAACAATCATTTCGGAGCAGGTCTGCCAACCCACTGGGCCCGACCCGGTCCTCGCCAGTTTCTGCCACCGCGACTCTGTAATAACAAGAGCGGGCAGTCCGCCACAGACGTTGAGGCATTTAAAACTGCGATCTTCCGAGGCCCCGAGGGGTTCCTGTTTGTGGGTCCCGAGTGCGGCCTCTGCCTCTCCAGCTAGTTATTTCGCCGAAAAGATTTCTAATTCGCTGCTGCCCGGCTCGCAAGAGGTATTAATCGAAAGCTAAGGTTGTTAGAAGTCGACTGCAGACAAATATTATTATATCTCTAATTCACCCTCCTGTTTGGATCTGCGATTCACAACAATATAGTCGACGATGCTGACGATGCTGACGATGCTTTAATATATTTATAAGAAGCAAGTTTCACTTGCGTAACTTTCTGCGAATTTAGAAAATCAAGATTCAGAGGACGAAGCAAATCTGCAAACTTGCCATTTCGACTTTCGGACAGGAATATTTTAAAAATAGACTTGCGCGAGAAAAGAGTAACGGGATTCGAATTGTGTGATCCGATATCTTGCTTTGTTCTGTGTATCGAAAATCTTTTTTCCAAGATTTACTGCTCGGAGAAAAGTATAGAGTTGAAATTTTTTCCGACTTGACTATAGTTACTTCAAACAGTGTACACAAGTATTCCATGTAACACATTCTAAACGGAATAAATTAACCATTTCCAAGAAGCCATTCTCGAAAATTTAGATTATGTCGTCCGTTGCGTAAAATTTAAATTTCTACACTCCATTCTTCTATTTGTTGAAAAAAAACATGTGCAAAAGTATTTTTAGAGTGACAAATAAGATAAATGATTTCTTACCCCTAACGCTAAGTGCAATGAATGTCTGGGCATGCCTCAAGATCATCGTGGTGTCCCATACTTGATGATCGACCGGCAAGCGCCTAAGAATGTGAAGAAGAAAGTCACCCGGTGTCACTGCCGATAATTCCCACTTCAGTTTTGAAACCACCAGCTGCTCCCACCTCTGTAACAATCGAAAATTGGTCCATTTTATAATACTGTTTACCTTTTAATTTTTTCGATTCTATTCTCCTCATCCCTTTGTTTTTCTTCCTTTTTCCAACTATTATTTGTCGCATTTGAACATCTGTTTAATCCAGGTTAGTGGAGGGGAGAATAAAAATCTAAATCCCGTTTTTACATATTTTGGAAAAAAGTAGGTCAAATATATTCGTACCAACTGTCTAATTGTTATTTTTACCTTGACATTCCTTTGTTATGAAATATTTAATTCAAAATAGTAAGGTCGAAAAGTTGATTCAGTTTCAACTTTCAGTAAAGTTGTCAGAAAATTAGAAATTGAAATTAATTGTTCAAGTGCAAAGAATGAAAAAGTACCCCTGTCGAAGAATCACGTAATTTGTGACTCAATTTCCTCCTGACAAAGAATCAATGTCAATTACCCTAAAATTACAGTAGACGCCCGATACTAAATCGTGCGATTTATTACGAGGATAGATCGTAAAGACCGTTAATTAATTCGCTTGATACGCATTTCGAGGCCCGTCAGTCGAGTTGAATCCAAAACTTCTCAACGAGCGAGTCGTATATTTTTTCTCATAGCGTGAATGCAAATTACCAAAAGGGGACAGGAATCCACTGCACATGTCTGGTCCAAGTTAACTTAGAAGGGGGAGAGCACACAATCTTTCGTATATCGCATATACACGTACTTGGTTTGCTACTTTGTCTCCAGTTGAGCGTTCCTTTTAAACTTTTAAAGCCACGCTCGTTAAAGAGCCGACACAGTCGCTTATATACCTATATATATATTGAGTAGAGCTCAAGCAACTGACGGAGGGTTGAGCGGGGTGAGAGCGGGGCGAGCGGGGGGCCGATAAGCAAAAAGAGAGGGATCGTCGTCTCGTTGAGCATCGTGCTGTATTTATTGTGCGAAAGCAGTCGTAAAACAGGTTTGTCTAAAAACGAATCGTTTTCACTCCCAAGTTAATTCCAGCGGGTGACGTAATTTCCTTGAGTCGCGGCGCTAAAGGCTCGTGCACGATAACGCTCTCGTGGGAAAATCTGCTCCACTTAGAACCCGTGGAGGCCAAAAGCCAACTGATATCACGCCAAATGATAAACACACAATTTAAATATGGACAAATTTTTATTTTCATCTTTAGCAACAAATTGTTTTAAATTTCTCCTATGGGGCCACTGGTAATTTACAAGGCGGCCCTGCTGGAATAACGAAATACACTCAATATATTATGTATTTAAAAATAGCTCCAAGGCCGAATTATCAATTTTTCAGTTTTCTATACAGAGTTAGAAAAGCCGAAACGTTTATAGTTGATTATTTTCTAATTTTTAATAATTTACACATTTCTTTCAAAAAAAATTAAAACGAGGAGAATCGAACTCGGTCCGTCAGATTAGAAGCAACGTACTTTTCCCCCGATCCAATGATAAGAGGAAAACAGTGAATTAAAAAATGCTGTAAATTGTAGGAAAGAGTTTTTTTACTCAACATTACCAAGACGTGAATGGGATATGGAAAAAAGTGCGATCATAATGTGGAGAGAGTCTCGTCGAGACAATCAGAAGGGATACATAGAATGTTCACAAACAAGGACAAGGGTGAGAGAAGAAAAAGAAGAATGGGGAGAGAGAGGGGGGTTCAAGGTACAGACTCACAGACCGTGAATGTACTAGATTGTAAGATCGGCGTTATGTACGCGTGCGTACGCAACGTACCGTGGCCTACACTCGGAATCGTCCGACACTCGGACCGTAACGAAGTCGGTGAAGTCTTTGTTTCATTGACGAAGGAAAGAAGAGGGAGAGGCAGAAACTGCTCGCAGTACTCGCCAGAGAAACGGAAAGTCACTTCTTCTTCAAGTACTCGATGGAAAGGCAGTGGAAAGGGGAGAAGAGGTCTTACGCTTGCGCATGCTCGTACTATGTACTATGTAGTGTGTAGTGTATAGCTATAGTACGCGATTCACAAAGGGGAGAGAAAAAACTTCCTCTATTTCCGGCTTCGCGTCTATCGCCACTCGGATATCCTGTCTTCGTATAAAGAAATCGAGCATGCACTGAATGCTATGAATCATTTTCACTTGCGAAAAAAATTTATTCAACTAGCTATTTCTTGCCCTTCATTGAAAAGTACTTCATTGTACTTTTCACTGCATTGAAATTGAGTTTATTTTCAAAATAAATATCCTTGTTTTTTGAATAAATAATTTTACGTCTTTTACGTCACTTTGAGGTAATGGGAAAGGAAGAAGACGGGTCGTGTCGTGGGACTTGAGCGAGCAGGTGGTGTCGAAGGAGAAAATAAAAGAAAGAGAGACATTTGTCTGTTTTCGTTTGCACGCAAACGATTGTCATCGTACCTGCGTACTACCTGCTTCTAATTGTAAATTCACGTTATAAAGACGTACCTGAAAGGACACTAATTGTCTTGTCCTTGTTCCAAAAAAATCAATTTCTGTACAAATTATCCTCAGTGATGTGAATTTGAATCTGCATTTTTACATTGTTAAGCGTCAATTAGATTCAAAGTAAATTATCAAAAACTACTGGAAAAGAATTAGTATAAAAAGGAGTATTTTAGAGTTGAAGGTATATTAAATAGAATAATAAAGATAATTCTGTAACTGAAACGGGCACAGCTGCTGTTCTTTATGTTCTGTAACCAAATTATTGCTGATGGAAGGGAATGTGTCTGCCGGCTGTTCGCCAAACTCACAGAAATGCAAAGATTCTTTATGCAATTCTGTTTGTGAATAAAATAAAGACTCTTCCCGAGATCTATTCAAATGTAAAAACCAATCACTTGGAAATAACGATTTTAGACAATTATTTAAATGTAATGTGTGTGAGGCGCCAAAAAATTATGGGTTTTGTTTATAATACTGTAAAACTGTCATAATCATAACTTATAATTTTCTGTCCATCCCTTTCTTTAGGGGATCCAAGTACGGACATAAATTTACTTGTTAATAAATGATACGATTAGTAACGTTAAATATTTATTTTGGTAGAATCACTTCCTATCGAATTTTTTTAAGTAAAATCAACAACTGTTTGGCACCAGCTGTCCATTTGAGACCATCAGATTAACAGAATAGACATTGAAGCTGCCCTCCTGAGAAGCGCGTAGTTTACTTGCCAAGTTAAAACAGGTGGTCGTCGAGGCCGGAAGACTTTTCTTTCGACCCTTATAATCTCAAGACAAAAGACTGATAAAGACCATTATTTCTCCATTACTCGAGTTAATTATCTAGGGTGCGTTAGGTCGAAAATTATACATTTCAAAAAATGTATTAAATAAAAGTAATTAAATTTTTAAATTATAAATTACGATATTGTATTATTATTATTATTCTTACAAAGAGAACATTTTGTTTCGATTCTTTTTCGGACCTTTATCAGGAGAGAAGAATTCTTATCAACATAAACTGATAAACATTTCAGTGGAAGTGGAGTTTTTTAATACTCATTTTGAGGGCCTATTAGGAGTTCGGAGTCTGAGGGGACAATAGCGCCTGAGCTATTCGAGCTGAAGCCAAAGCAAGCCAAAGTCTACCTGGCAATTCCTGGAAGTGAGTCCCCGATTTATCTGGGCCGCACAGAGACGATTCGATAGATGCTTTTGGGAGGGAGAGTAAAGGCAATAGCAAAGCAAATGAGCGAGAGAGACGGGCAGAGAGGAGAAAAGTGGACGCAAAGGGCGGCGCCTCCTCTGAGCAAGGTGTTTACCATTCGGGCCAAAAATAAAATACAACTTTGGTCGCGGCGCATAACTGGCAAACAAAAAGCAGAATCACCGCTCCGCGAATTCCTGGCGAGCGTGTATAGCAATTTTTAGTGTGTGCGCAGGCGCGAGCGATTGGTCCCACCACTTTACCCCCACATTCAACCAATTGTTTCTTCGTCTCAAATTTCATTTACGTAACACTCAATGTTGTAACATAAAATTAGTTGAAACTTGAAAATGAACCCAACTGTTGCTTTCAAAAAAGTCAAATTGTTTACCATCCCACAATTTTGATTAATAGTAAAAATATGACACAACAATTTGTCATCACTGAATTGATGACGAAAATGACAATTCGGGACCATGTTTACAAAACGAAAAAAGTCAAAAAGGGAGGGGATCTTTTCGCGGATTCTCAGCAAATCGGTCCTGCTGCTGCTGCTGCAACCCCAGTGATAGTTTCGTGAATGGGACAGAGCTTTTCGACCCCACCCTTCGTTTTTGTCGCGGATCGCTAATAGAAAAAGGGGCCCTTTGAATGTGCACCCTTGTTCCAGGAACATTTGGGGGACATCTGCTCCGGTTTCAGGCATTCTTTACCCCCACTCGCTCACCGGGCTGGCTGGCTCGCTCGCTCGTTGCTTCTTAAACTTGAGACGAAAAAAGAGAGTGGGAAGAGAAAAAGAAGGAGAGAGAGAGAAATACACCGGAACAGGAGAATAATGGCTTTGCTTTGGCTGAGGAGAAAGTGCAAATATTCCACCCCAAAAACTTTTTGACAATTTCCACTGAATCAACAGTCGGATTTTTTAACAAATTTATTACTTAATACGAGCTGTTATTTTTATTTTCGTTAACCGAAAGTCATTTTAGTGACTTACAGTCAAATGCAAAAAAAAAAAAAAATTGTAATACTCAAAGGGACCGACCGAATTATTTAAAACAAGAATAAATATAAATATAGCAAGAAAGAAAATTGATGTTTTAGACAAAGCGCGACAAAGCGTGTGGGAGACACTAATCTGGTACCTATACACAAATTTCAAAACTAAATATAAATTTACTAAGCATAGAGTTGTGGAAAAAGTAGCCAAATGCAATAATTAAACATTCCTTTTGAATTTCCAAGCTGCATTTAAATGGACAACTCTACATTATTTTGTGCAACAAAGTAGCTTTGAATATTACAAACTTTGCCTTCAGTCCGCTAAACTGTCTTTTGGTTACGTGAATTTCGACAAAATGAATATTCCACCAATTGAAATTTGGAGAATATTCATGAGTCCCTAACCTGAAATGGAATCGAGGCACAAGAAGGCATGCAAATTAAAAATGATAATTGCTCTATAATTAAATGTTAATATAAAATTAGATAAAGCAATGCGTTGAGCAAAAATAAATTAGTCATGAATTCGAAGCAGGTAAAGGGGTCAAAAATAGGTTTGTTTCCCCACCAGGTTTTCTTTCCCACGAGAAGGTGCTTTTGCGATTGGTTATAATCGATACGTCACATCCGGATACGGGTTTTATTTCTAGTGAAGCGATAGTCTAGAAGTTAGAAAGCACTTTGTGTTGGTTTGTGTCCTCGACTCGGTCAGCGGCCCCACCCCTCCACTTTTTTTTTCTTTTTTCTACACTCACGGTCAAACTATTTCTAATGCCTCGCAAAAATCGCATGGCTTACTTAGCGTACAAACTTTCGGAGTACGTGTGTGGGCAATACTTTCGACCACAATTGGTCATACGAAAAAAAAGAGTCTCGTTCCCCTTTCGAAGAGAGAGAGAGAGAGAAAGAGAGAGGATGCCAAATTCTTGGCACGGTTCGTTTTTGCTTCCAGTGACCCTGGCCAAATCGGCTCTGGAATTTTCTAAGGGTTTCCAAACCACAGCAATCAGTGCTAATTTCGGAAATTAGTTCTAGTAGTCTCTAGAATTAGGACGGTCATAGGCGACATTGATAATTTTGCCTCGCGACTGCATTAACATTACAGGGCTCGAACCAGTTCAAGTATTTAAAAATACGGACTTTGCGGACCAAAAATCAAAAATTACGGACCAATTACTGACAGAAATATAACTAGTCCAAGTCAAATAAAAGAACATTTTACTGAATTTTATCTGAAACCTTTTCAAAATCTAATTATTTATAAAATTTTACGCTCTAACCCTTTTAAAATTTAATTATAATCTAAAATTTTAACTGAAATCCATTTTTAAATCAATGTTTATGAAAAAATTTTACTAAGATTCAATTATTTAAATGCAAAAATAACAATTATTTATTGAATAGTTGCATGTTATTCTTAAAATTGAATTCTCATAAAGAATCTTATCAATAAATTTTTAAATAACTAAATTCTTTTGACGACTTTTAATAAAATTTTTAAGAATAATTACATTTTTCGAAGAATTTCATTAAAATTGTATTAAAAATAATTGAAATTCTGCAATGAGTTTTATTATTTATGAAAATAATTGAATGATTGCGAAGAAGTTTATAAAACAATTTGTAAATAATGAAATTCCTGTGAAATTTTTATAATTTTTTGAAAATATGTAATTAAAAGTTTGTGTAGAATTTTATTAATTTTTTTTTTTTAAATAATTGAATTCTTTTGGAAAATTTGATAAAAATAGTAGATATTGAAAATCATTGAATTGAGGATAATTTTTGAAAATACTTGAATGTCTGTGAAGAATTTTATTACTTTTGAAAATAATTAATTGAATTTCTGCAATGATTTGTAATTTCTTGAAAATTCTCCAAATTATATCGTATACAATTTACGAACTTTCCATCCTTTTTGAATGAAATTACGGACTTTACGGACCTTTTTTAAAAAAAGCGGACTTTTACTATTATTATAGTTCGAAAACGAGTTTCTGCCGCAGAAACTTGCGAGATTCCGATCCGAGTGTGGTTTTAAAATTTAAAGCTCCTCCCCGGAATAATCTTTCACGAATTTCTAAAGATAACTCTGCGCTCTTAATAATTCCACGTGCTACATCGAAAAATTTCTAGTCAGCCTGCTTCAAGGACGATGTTTATTGTTGGGAGGAAATCAAGAATGAGCATTCCGTTCTCACAGGACCTAATCGAGAGTATATTGTCGGAATTTCTCATCATCGTGTTGAAAGAATCCCTGCCTTTGCGAAAGTGTTTTGCACCTTGTGAAATCACCGTTAGACCCACGTCCGATTTTCGGGCATCGAGCATTATTTGCCAGCGGAACGCTCATTGTCGATCCATGAATGAATTTCTCTTTGTCCTTGTTTAGTAAATTCAACCAATGCCACAATTTTAGATATAAGCAGCAAAATAGTCTTTCAAGAAATTGGATGATTTTTTGCATCTTATTTAAAAGTTGCGAAACTGTTTTGAATTTTCGGGTTGAAATTGCCTGAAACATTGCGTAGTGCGAAATGGGAGTCGCCGTCACCTGTTGCACCTGCAGATGCGGTGTAAAGCCAGCCCCGATATCTTGAAACAACTGATGCCAATTTCTTCATTTTTTCACCCACTTCGCCCGAGCAGGTTGCCAGTCACAGCTGCAGAATCGAGAGATCTTTAGCGATTCGCCACCTGTCCTTCTAATTAGGAGATAGCACGTGACCCTTTGGGATTGAAGATAGCTGCAGTTTAATTCCGAGGCCGAGAGGAGCGCTCTCCACCTGCTCTCGAAAACGCTGCTTCTCGCTCGGATGTTGGAGGGGATTTGACTATTGCCAATGGAAGTGACGAGCTTCAGGAAAGAGTGAGATGCTTTTTATGGAGAGTAACATACGGTTTCTTTATCAGCCCGTATCCTCTTGTCTTGAAGACAGGTTAGGACACGAAAAGGGATGTAAAGGTTCGCTCGCTGCAATTGCAGCTGTCGCGGACGCGCACGGGCCGGGTGCACCCTGAACAGGGAACACCACCTGGCCTCTCACCTGCTTTCCCTTTCGGCTCCTGCGAATCCGCGACGTACCACCCGGTTCGGAGCCTACTACGCAGTACGCAGTTACAGCCTGTTGCGTGCTTCACAATATCTATTATCTGTCGACGCAATCCCGATTCTCCGTGTCGATAATTCGACAATTAAACACTGACCTCTTTTATTTCCCAATTCTCAAAATGCCAAATTCACTCTTGCGAATAAATTCAAAAAAACTTCAATACTTTCCTTACATGTGAGTCGAAAGATCGAAACAATACAAAAAAAAATAGTCCCTTGTGGCAAATTACGCAATTGTTAAAGTTTCGTCTATCATAACAACGCCATTTGCCGCTCACACCATGAACTTTCAATATTTCTACGCAAACAGTTTACACACGATCAGAATGAGTTTCCGGAATAACAGTCAAAGCCCGTTTACTCAATGTCACTTTTTTACACGCGCTCTCGAGTTATAAAATTAACGTGAGTTTATTAACCGCAACGATCATTTCAATCTAAAGGGTCATTTTCTTATCTCCACTCAACAGATGTCAGTGAAACTTTTGATGCTTGAAAAACCAATTTTCCCAATAATAACAATGAATAGTGTGTTAAAGCGAATCTTCAACTGGCGTCGAAATTAATGACTCGACAATAATAAATAATTTCGAGTGTAAACTTGGAACGTTGCGAAACAATTTTTATTCTACACGTGCGATTCTCATATTTTCGAATAAAATTTGCATAGCATCGCCCGGCCTTGATGAATGAATTTAGCGTTCGCAGATACGAATTTAGTACAAGCTTTTTTAACGAGAGGAATTTTACAGATAACCCACCCACGATTTCGCTCAATTAAGTTTCGATAAAAAAAAAGTTTTCGACTCTGAAAAAGTTGCATAAATAATTGAGAAGACCGTGTCTCATTGAGTATAATATCAATAATGTTTAAACTTTGTGAAATTAATTTTCCTTCTTTTTTTGGAGTATTGACAAGATTAAGTTTCCTGAAGCAGCTCGAAACTCAATAAGGCCGGGATTTTAATTAATATCAAGAGCTCCTATCAGCTGTTATCTGCTAAGGCTTTTGCGGGCTATCGCTTGTTTGCCTCAAAAGCGAGATTCTCGTCAAGAACCTAAACGACTTTTTTTGTGGACGCTTGTGTGAGAAAATTAGAAAGCAAAAAATCGTGTTATTTTCAGATAAACTTGAAAATTTACGATCGTCCACAAAGGATTTATGAAATTTTTAATTTTCATACGAGAAAAGAAATGAAATGTTTTCTCGATGCAAATTTTATCAATGTTTCGTTCCTTTTTTTCCCGAGATATTAGGAAACGGTTCGTGGTTCGTGGAAGGGTTAACTAGAAAATAATAAATTCTGTGAAAAAAGTATAGCTTCTGCGATAAATTCTTCTCGATTGGTGAGCAGCTTTAATAGCCGGATTTGGTACAATACGACCCACGGTCCCTTGCGAGAGGAAGGCGGTCTCTCGGTGGCCCTGATCCTGAAATAGTTCGTCTGGAACTGCGTCATCGGAGATTAGAAACTCGGTACTTGCCTAATGAAACGCTGTCCGATATCGTTGAAGGGTAATCCGAAACTTTTTGCCACACAACAAATATCTCCGTGAGAATGTTAAGAGTCATTGGAAAATCAGATTAGACCCAAAATTCTGTCAATCTCAAGCAACAATCAATCTCTACAATCTAAAAGCATTTCAAAAATAAAAATCGACTTTTGCCTCCAACTCGCTCTCCTATTCTTCGAAATTAAATTCATTTTCTTTACAATTTATTCCAAACAGAATAGCTTTTAGCACTAATTTTCAATTTTTAGAAAAGAGGCAAAAAAAAGTTTCGAAATAAGTAGAAAATCGAAAGTGAATTTTTCTTTGGAAAATTTTTCGAAAATGTCAAGGCAAGGAATATTATGTCTGATGAGAAATTAAAAAAAAAAAAAAAAAAAAAAGTAAAAAAGTGTTTAAAAGAATTGTAATGTAGGAACAAAGACGGCACGTGTTAAAAATTCCGAAAGGAGGTTTTTGTTTTATTAAATTGGTTTAAATGGAAATACACACGCACACATTGAAAATTGAAACACACTTACCCAGAGGTCATCGAGACTGATGGAATTGTCGGTGTAAAAGACGAGCACCTCGGCCGATAGAGGCCTGGGTTCCCTTAATTTCGAGGCCAAAAGAAGGCAAGCCGTTCCCAGCAGCTGGAGCTGTGACTTTCTGATTGGACAGATAGAAAGAAACCTGTCGACGTAATTCATCGACAATGGAAAAACCTCCTCTTGACATTTTTGATCCTCACACACCTGCAAAGCAGAAATAGCAAAAGAATTATTAAATCGCCCTGGCAAATGGTCGCAAACTTAAAAACAATTATATTTTTATCCGGAAATTAAAAAATTATCATAGAAAATAGATGAATTTCCGCACAGGTTCCTATAAAAAAAGTCGGTAAAAATCGTTGAGATGTAAAGATAAGTAAATTCGCCAGTTAAAATTCAAATGTGTTGCAATTTTTGCTGTAAATGAAACGCAACAGGAGTAAAATCAACAGGTGATGGAAAAACCCTAAACTCGTGTTGTGACTCTAGTGCTAAAGTACTTTAATATTGTTTGCGGGGGTCACGCTCGGTAATTCTGGCCCTTTTGCTCCTCCCCGCCACTCGACAGTCTTGTGGCACCCTTCGGAGGATAATTACACCTGGCGCGGGTGCCTGCCAGTGATAATTAGCAACTCTCGGTTTACGCCCTAATTATCCTCCCGGTCATAATTTTCAGTGCCATTTTAACTTTCTTGAATACAAAATTCTTTCATGCTTCGCCAATCTATTTTACAAGAGATTTTAAATTATCTCCCCCATTAATTAGGATTTCCTTTTTGCAAATTTATAATGACAATAATAGTTTCCACCCTAGAACATTTAAATAATAAACGAGGGAATATTATTTACCTAATTTAATACTAAAATCGGGACAAAAAATAAAAGTTAATAATAAGAGAAAACAAATCAGAATGAGTAAAACAAAATTAAAATGTGCACAATACTTTTTAAAAAAATTCCTTTAGCGAATTAAAATTAAAACGAAATTTACTTCTGAGAAACAAGAATTAATTCTTGTTTTAAACGTTTGAACATTGCGAATTAGAATAAAAGTTTAAATATATGTATTCCAATAATGTTCCTCGAGAAGATAGCCACTACTCTTCTGGAATTTTAATGATTCCCTGAAACTTGTGGAATCTGAATATTGTTTACTGTCATTGCACAAGTGTTCCCCAAATATTCCAAGAGAGCGATAGTTTTAAAAATAACGATTCAATGATAAGATTTCGTTCACAAATAAAAGCTCGAATTTATTAAAAAAAAAAAATTTAGCATCGTACAAATACTCTTTAACTTTTTATGACTCTATAAATACGACGAAAAGTTTTTAATTTATTTTTAAAATATATTGCGAAACAAGTATAAAGTAGATTTTTTTTTGGTGGTATTCTAAACTCTTGAGTTTAGAATATTGTTCAATGAGAATATTGAAGCCAATAAAATTCCGCTCATCCAATCCAGTCACGTCCACGTCAAGGTCACTTTTACGAAGCAAATCCGTTTATTTTCAATCAGTCGGAATGTTACATTATCAATTTTCACTCTTAAATAACAAATATAAATAATAAGTGACAAAATACACTTATCGCTCTTACTAATTATTCTAAACATTCACCTCCGTTCGTAAAAATTTTATTTTCATTAAATAGATTATTTTCAAAGTATAAATTAGATAATAAATAAAAAAATGTAATTTTCCGTAAATTAAAAAAACATTGTAATAAATACAAAATTACATGTAAAATTAAAAAGAACAAAGTTTCCAGAAATGAAATTTATTTTTCTTGTTCGGTTGAGTAATTTATTGCTTTGCAAGCCGGAAGAATTTTCTGAGTTTACATTATCAATCGGCTTTAATTTTAGAAAAGTTTCGGCATATCAAGAAAGAAAGAGATGAAGAGAGAGAGAGAAACGGAAGACGCAAAATGGTCAAGATCTTCACATGGTACACGCGGTCCGGAAGTGCCACGATTCATTACTAGCATTATGAGAATTACAATAAAACGCAAAAAGAGCTATTCGCAGTTTGCCGAAAAAAAAGTGTACACAATGACGTCACAGGGTCTTTCATTCCGGTAATATTTGCGATCAAGTCTTTATGTACCAAAGTGGAAACATTTTTAACACAATATGTGAAAAAATGTGCGAAATCTCTTACGTATCTCGAAATTCTCGTGTTTTGCATACTCACTAAATCAATAGTCATTTATTTAGAAAATGAGTAGAAAAAATTTATTTTATACTTTATATAGTTGAATAATTTTAAAATTGAAAATTTAAATTATTTAATGTTAAATTGAAATTTTAAGTACCTTATGGAATAATTCATTGCTTTCTGATTCGTTGTATTAATTATTTTTGTATAAGAGTTTCTCTATCTAGAGAAAAAAAAATCCAACTTCTGAGAATTAGCTTGATAACAAAAAGGAGAAAAAGCAAAAACAAAAAAGAAATGAGGAGCCTTGACAAAAAAAATGTCAAATATTATTCTACGGTTCTACGAAATGTGTGTTTTTAGAAACATATGAGCATCAAATGTAACAATCACTTTGTAAAATGTTACATTAAAAAAACAGTATTTTAGAATAAGAGAAAATTAGTGGTTAAAAAGTTTTTTATGTAAATTTCCGGCCATGTTGTCATTTTGTCATTTAAAGCAATTTTTAAGTCTCTAATTTCAGGGTAACCTTAGAATCGAAACAAATGACTAATAAGCATTGTCGATCGGTTATTGAACTTTCCGTCAACAATGAGTTTTCCAAGGGCGAAAATCGATTATGCCTCTTGAGCACTTGGCGAGAAACAAAACAAAGAATCCCTTTAAATTTTAAACTCCACCAAATCTCTCGAGAAATTGCGGAATTTAACATTCTTAGAATTTCCATAAAAAAAGAAAACAAAATCCAAGGGTAAATAGTGAAATATTTTTTGATTTGAGAGAGAAAAAGAGAGTTAAAAATTTGCCAACGTACACGTGGACCGGAAACGACTTTTGGTTGCTCACCTCCAACATCCACTCGGCGACGATCTTGCGCATGACCGGCGAGATGTCTGTCTGCACGCATTGGAAATAAGAACTCCGGGGTGCAAATCTCTCCTCGGACTTGAGAAGATTTTTCAAAACTCGATCGTCTTCGAGAAGTGCCGGATCCGGGTATGCCCTGCACTCAGTCTCGGAATTTTCGCAACAAAGTAGATCCATTTCCATGTCGAGGATTTAAAATAAAAAATTGGAAATATAACTGCTAAAAGCAGACTAAGAGTAATAATAAAAATAATAACTTGGGATAACAAAAACTCAAAGGCACACTTGCACGAGTTCCTTCTACATGTAAATCACACGTGGCTCGATTCTTTCTTTCCTTTATCTCAACGAAATCAAGAGACGAGTTTCAACATGAAACACTTGGACACACTTCACATTTAAAGAAAAATCAACACTTTCCAATAGTAATAATAATAATAATGATAATAAATACGGGGAGAGTAATAAATAGGGGGTGGGTGGATCGACGATAGAAAATCGGACCCGTCCGAAATTCCTTCCTCTCACGTGATGATCTGATAGTGCTTCTGTCGATCCGACACTGGCTGCTTACCAGGTCAGAATGCGTGGTGTGTGCGCCAGTGGATCTCGCAGACCGTCTCTGCCCCCTCCACTTTTGGCGCCTCGAGTCACGTGATTGGCACTGCCGGCCCCCTCCAGGCCCAGTCAAAAGAGCGCCGGACTCGCCGCGAGCTGGCATGCTGGCAATCGCATTAATCCCCGCAAAACAGTAAGATAGAGACGAGAGCGAGACGCAGACGAGGCCCACGAGAAAGGACTTTTACTTTCGTACTGTTTCGTACCGTTCCCACGATTTTCGGCTCTACTTTTTTTCACCTCATTTTTTGTCATGCTTTTTACTCCGGCATTGGTACTTGAGCTTTTTCAAAGACTTTTTTATTTATAGAGCAAATTTTTGTCGCAAACTATTTCTTAATCAGAGTGACAACTAATCCTTGCGGTAGTTTTAAAAACTCATGTTGTCCTTTAATAAATTGCTTTTATAATTTCGCTCTTGGATTTTCCGTAAACAATCTGAAACTTTCGAGGTTTTTAATAAATCTTTATCTAGTGTCATTTCTTCAGTTTTTCGAGTTTTATAAAAACTATTCACTTAAGTTTATAATCTACTTTGAAAAATTGAGTTATTGTTCATTTTGCGATATGAAGGTAAAAAAGGGAGTCAAATAAATTAACAATCATGCGATTTCCACCGTAAATGACTGCATATAATTAAAAGTGGAAAAAGTTTATGAAAAACGATTTAAATTAATAAAAACACCCGGTAGATAGCCCGAAACGGATTCCAATCCAATTAGAAGAATAAAATGAAATACTTCATCTTGTTCTCGTTGGCAAAACTTGTTCGCAAATCTCTCTCTCTCTCTATATATATATATATATATATATATATATATATGTTTTAATGTGTATCGATACACATTTAAAAGACTTAGAACAAGTTCGCGGTTCAACGACAGCGATAAGAATGCGTATGTACGCGTATGTAGATTGCAAAAAGGCGAAATTGAGATGCTCTGCATCGACGACCGTGAAAAGTTGCCGTGTCGATGGCAACAAAATCGTCGTGCAATTAAATTCACGTGGCAAATCACAAAACCATAATTATGTACATTTATGATAGTAATTTTCATTAAATATCATACGCGAGTCAAATAGTTACACTATTACCAAAAGGTGTTCATTAAATAGGAAAAGGAAATATGCATTTTCATTTACTACTGACATGATGGATTGTAAATATTATTAGGTACAATTTTGTGAATTTACTTATCGCCGAAATGTCGACCTTTTTAAAATTATTTCAAGGAACTTACAGACTTCGCCGCACTCGATAATTAATTTTAAAAAAGTAGCAAAAAATAAATTTCAAAGTAAAAACAGTAGTAAAAATAATTTAAATAATTTATTTCTTTCGAATAATTTTATGCAAATTCTAATTTAAATAATTGAATTCTACAGAAATTTTTATTATTCATTAAAATTCTTACAATGATTTTTACAAAAAATTTTTTAAATAATTGAATTCTGTTTGGAAATTTTATGCAAATAGTAGATTATTGAAAAACATTAAATTACAAAAAGTTTTTAAAAATAATTAAATTATTTTACAAAGAATTCTATTAAAGTTTATGAGAAGAATTGAATATTTATTATCTATAAAAAATAAAAATAATTGAATTCTTGCGAACGATTTTATTAGAATTTTTTAAAATAATTGAATTTTTCATAAGAATTTTATAAACATTGTTTCAAATAATTAATTTTTTTCGAATTATAACAGGGGCGTATACAGGGGGGGGGGGGTTTAGGGTTTTTATCCGAAATTTTGGAAAAACATATATGTTAAAGCCTAAATTTCTAATTTTATTCTGAGTACACCTCTTATCAAGTTCCATAACCCCCCTCCCCCCGAAACTTTTTTATGGCTACGCCCCTGAAATATAATAATAAATATTATGAAAATCTTATTTTAAATAATTAAATTCTTGTGATGAATATTGTTATTTATGAAAATAATTGAATTTTTCGATTAATTAATTTAAAATAGTATTAAAAATAATTAAAATTCTTCGATGAGTTTTATTATTCTTGAAAATAATGGAATTATTGCTTAGAATTTTATTAAAAATTTTTTTAAAAAACTGAATTTCCATGAAAAATGTTATTATTAGTGAAAAATTAATTGAATTATTGTGAAGAATTGTAAAAAAAATGTTGTTAAATAATTGATTTTTTCTAAATTTTTTTGAAAATAGCGCTATTCTAAATTAATGGAATTTCTGTGGAAATTTTATTATTTATGAAAATAATTGAATTTTGGAAGAATTTTATCAATTTTTTTTAAATAATTGAATTCTTTTGAGAAATTTTATAAAAATACTATAGATATTGAAAATAAATGAATTTCGAATATTTTTTGAAAACAATAATTGAATCGTTTTAAAGAATTTGGTTATAATTTTTTAGAATAGTTTTTTGATTTCTTGTATTAGAGAATTTAAAGTAAATTTTCGAAAAAAACAGAAATAATAGCTTTTAGTGGCAGGAATCTAAAAGTACTCAAGTAGTAGCATATAACGTAAAAAAAGTAGTAAATAGTAGGTTTTAGTAGATGAGTGCGAAGCCTGAACTTAAGGGGATGTTAAAGTCGATACGATTTTTACACAGAGCTTGAATGGAGAAATCGCATTGAGTTTCACATCTCCTTAAGGGCGAAAAATGATTGTTTTATTTCTTCATCACTGTGTTTTGTATATTGTATGAATTGAGCGTTTCAATGCAATAACTCGTTCGACGTGTCGTATAAGTCCCCCCTTTGAGCCAGTTGCCAGCTGCGCGAGGGACAATGCGCACAATAACGACGAGTTATTGTATTCGATCGCTCAATTACTTCTGGTTTTCTAAGTTTTATTTCAATTTTATGTGGATTTTTCAAAGCATATCTTTGGAATAAAAGGTATTTTTCAAAATGAAATCTATATATGTTAAATCCATAAAAATATCTACATACAATTTTAAATTAATTCTGCTTATCTTTGTAATTGATGGTAAAATAATTTAAGACAGTAAGTGAAAATTAATATAAATTTATATTCACTTGAATAATTTTTATTGAGATAAGAACATTTTAATTTATTTTTATGCAAACTTTTGAAGCAAAAAGGTTTTTACACTACTGGCGACTGGTTTGTGCTTTTGCGAACACAGTATAGTTTTTCTGAGGATATCAAAAGTGATTTTGATTCGTTTTTTGTCTCAATTTTGATATCCTTAGAAAATATGTGAACTATTGTACTTTCTGACAGGAAATCTAGATTTGTTAATTTTTGAAGGTAACTTCTTACTTTGTTATAATTATTTAAATGCTCAACACGATAAAAAGAAATATAAATAAAAGATTATAATTTAAAGAGACAAGGAGTGTCGACGAAAACAAATAACAAACGTAATAGTTTTTAATGTCGATGTATTATAAGAAATTTTGTTGACGATTTTTAATCAGCAAATCACTACATCTTTCTAATATTATATTATTGTATACGCGAAGCAATATTGTGACACTTGTCTTTCGCAATAGTAATAATTAGTTATCAGGTATCATTGCTTTCTGCAGTTCTTTTAGTTTTTCTCTATGCTGATATTCTGCTTTCATTAAAATGATTGTGTGTACGTCAGAATTCTTAGACATTGCGAAATCTTAAAATCAAACTTGATGCTTCCGCAGGCAGTAGTCTCATCTTTCCATATTCCGCGTTGTGAATTGAACTTCATATTGCCTAACATTTTTTGTTTCTAATTATTAAACTGTTTATTAAAAAAATTGAATTTTATAATTTTTGATCGTCTCCAATTTTGCGACAATGTGTAAGAAATAAACTACATTATTGCATTGCTATATATAATGAATTAAAATTATTTTTGAAATGAAGTTGTCAGGGTCATTTGAAATTGTTAAAATGGAATAAAAAGACGTCCTTGGCATTGAATGTAATTTAAATGTCCAGTACTTGTTGTAAGCCCGTATTTCGTGTGTACTCAAGAGTTACTTGCTCGTGTATTTAATTTAACGAAAGCACGAACGTTCTGCCTTTTTGCTTCCCCATTACTTTACGTCTAGTATAGTGCTCTTCAAGTTCAAGGTATTTCTTTTTATTTTGTTCTGCTCTATGAACTTATAATAAAGTGAGTTTTATTCTGACGAAAGTTATTCTTTTTTCAGCTTTTTCTTTATTCTTCAGGAACAAAAACATTTATTCTCACATATAAATCTTATTAATGGAATTATCACTTTTTTACTATACTAATTGCTCTTTTATTATAAAATAAAAAAAAAATGGTTTTAAATAAAAAAAAAGCTGAAACTAAGACTTAATTTTACTCAAAAGGCGGTTTTTAAAAAGAGCTGTTTTTTAAAATTAGTTTTTTTCTTTTCATTCAAGTTATTTTACTTTTTAATAAATTTTTTTTTTAATTTATAGTTTATATTACAATATTCAAATATCTCATTAAGTTTCATTCCACGTTTGTCTCACCGTCTGAACTATGGTTGCGAACTCGCATATAGAAAATTTTATCGGAAATAGGGTCTGAGTATGACGGTATATTTTGTCAAGTGACGTGGTAAGATTTAAGTTTAAAAATGTGATAGTTACTGATATAGTTGAGTAGTAACCCTGAAAGGCTATTACAATTTTCCAAAAAGATTGTTACAAAATATCAAAATCCCTGAGTTCTGGAATGCGTTCACCGCGTAACTACGTACGGCATTTATAAAAAGGAAGCGAAACTTGTCCCGTCCAACGAGTTCGGTTTATCTTCAGAGATCGTTCGCATTAGGCATTTTAATTCCAGATTGAATTCTAGTCGAAGAAACAAATCCAAGGTCTCCTCTACTATAACTTGTATGTACAATTATCTTGGTTCTCCTTCGAATTTCCCCAAATTGCATATTTGTAAACTGATTTCAAGTGATTCACAAAAATGACAATTAAAACTTTTACACTTTTCAAATATTAATGATAGTTGAATTTAGTATTTTGCTTTTGCTCTTTTCAA